TAAAGAAATGAGATTTTCAAACCAAAAACTTCTTTTGTTTGTTTGTTTTTTTGTGCCAGGCATGTTTATTATTATTATTATTATTATTATTATTATTATTATTATTATTATTATTATTATTATTATTATTATTATTATTATTGTTATGTTTATTTATTTATAACATGTTTGGTTTTGCTTTTTTGCAGCCAGCTTCAAGCAGACACTTGAGGAAATGCAGTTTTTAGCACTTCCACATCGGAAGTTAGCTCTTGAAAAAAATCCACCTATTTAGGGCTCCACTCTGTCTATCCCATGGACTTTAAAGACGGATGGTGTGTCCAGTCCCCTTAAGTGATGCCTAAGTATTTAGTTGTTTTATGTGATTTACATAGAGTCTGATGATATTATCAGACAGATGTGGCCTGTTCAAGTCTTATGATTTTAGATCTAGTGGAAGGAAGGAAACACTGCAAACCATCTAACCTTGTTTTCAGCTGTTGGTTTTTTCATCTTACTCAGTTTTTAAATGCCAAATTGTGAGAGAGAGACAGTTAAGCAGAAACCTTACACATTATCATAAACTCAGTAATAAAGTGTTGTTAATATTGAGAATTTGATGAAGGAAACATTCTTCTCATAAGAAAGTTGGGTTGATTTAATATTTGCATCTATACATCTACTAGATTCTAGCTTTTAAGCTTCCTATTGTCTGTGTGTATTAATGCATGTTTCAAAATTGTGCTCTAACAGCCACCACTGCAATCAACTAAAATTAACCATCAGCTGGAATATGATAAAACAGATTTTGTGTTTTGGACATGACATTTCAAAGTTTTCTTCAGTCCAGCTTGACTCTTTCACATCTTGTTTAGAAGCTAATATTTTTATATTTCAAGGGACTTTCTGTTTTGTATGAACATTTTAAAATTGTGTGTGTTGTTATGATTTCACTTACTAAGCAGTAGCAGCAGGGCCACATTTGTGTAAAGAGTATGTTATCTACAGGGTGGGAAGAATACGGCAACAAAAGCCTTACAGAAAAGAGTGAGTGATCTGCTGTGATTGAAGCAATTAAAATGAAAAGTGGAAGAATTTCACATTTTACTTTTACATCTAATCATATACTTCATCAATTATTTGAGCCTGAACAATTTCATAGTTTCGGACTCAAAATGAGCATGTACTAAGAGCAAAAATCTGTACCAATAATCAGAATAAACATGACTTTTGAATCGTGAGCTCTGTCCAGAAACCACATGACGCACAGGCACTACTTCTCCCTGTAATGACAGCAGTGAAGAGCTCCTGCGGCTTCACATCCACTCCAGTTCTGAAGGCTAATAGAGGTTAGCTCTCCAAACAGGGATGACCTTTGAACTCTGAAAGTGAAGAGATGAAAGAGGAGAAAAACAGAGCCCAAAAGCTCCAACTGCATGGCAACGTCATCACATCTGCCTCTTTTTATCTGATTATAAGAAGCAAGTTTAGGATTGTTGTGGCTTTGCTGTGTACTGTAAAAAGACTGTTTTTTTAATTGAACATTCAAACATGAGACTTTTAACTCAAAATGTTCAACATAAAAAAAAGTGAAATTCGATATCGATATTCGATATGGAGTTTAACTGATATACACAAATATTTATTCAAGTATGGATACCAAAACTCTCTCTAAGGTAGGGTGACGATACATCCTCTTTTACCCAGACATGTTCTCTTTTTGGGGGGCTGCCCAGCCTTGTCTGGGGGAGTTTATAAAATCCTTCAAATGTCCGGGCGTTTGTATGGAAGTTTTGAGTTTGTGTCACGTGGACCAACTGAGTTAGAAGCGTGTTAGAAACACTCGACCCGACCCCAAAAACTACTGTCACACAAGACTCTGTGACTCCACCCCGCGTAGTAGTGTCCTCTTTTTGGGTATTCAGAATATGGTCACCCCACTCTAAGGGCGCATTTACACCAGGACTGTTTGGTTCATTTTAAAAGGACCATGTTCCTCGGCACCTCGCGTGAATTGGGACAATGAAGATTGTGCCACAAATGAGCAGGTGAAGGACAGTGATTTTCCCTCATAATTTTCTCTCTTTTTAAACCATTTGGTTCGCTTAGCAAAAGTCCCAGGCAAACGCTAACCAAACCAAATGCATGTAATGTAAACATTTGGTCCCTGATCCAGACCTTCTAAGTGGACTTTGGATGAAAAAGGCCCCTAAGTTTGCAAGTGACATCAGCCTAATAATGACTCTTATTCAAATTCATCTTTTTTAATACTTACTTTCTAAAGTGAGAAGCTCATACAGCCTCGTCTCCTAATCACACCCTCATAGAGCCATAAATAAGTGAAAGTTTGTTAATCCACCAGGCAACAGCAGGATAAAAAGTCAAGATGCTTTTTCCTTCACAGAATGGCTCCTATGAATGAAGCAGTGAAATGGCTGGGGGCTCAGCCTTTCTCCATGGAAACTGAGTTCAATATTGTCATGACAACCTTCAACTGAGGAGAGAAAAAAGGAAAGAGGGGAAACAATGAAAGGGAGTAATCAAGGATGACAGAACAAGCCCTGACATATTCTGTCTCGCATATCTTCCAGACACTGACTACTTCTCCCAGAGTTCATCTGGTTTCATGAATCACAGCTCTGAATATCTGTCAATCACTTCCACCCCCCCACCCGTCTCCCCCTACACATACAAGAGGGAGATGCTGCTTCACTGATGGAGTTATTCAGGTGAGGAAACTCTGAGATACATGACAGATGATGGCTTTGTGTTGATGGAGTCATCAAGATGTGGCATTCAACCAAATCAAAGGATCCAGCTGCAATTATCACCTCTGCGCCTGGGGACACGCACACGTTTCAAAAGCACTGTCGGGAAGGTTTCCCCCCATGGATTTACCATGAAGCTGTTGTTTGCTCTACAGTACAGGAATAGTTTGTCTTTTGTGTTATCTTCAGTGGTTTTTCTGCAGGGCTGTTTAAATCAGGTGAAGATGATGATACCTGTGGTGTATGACCGTGACATTCAAGAAGCAGAAGCAGTTAGAAGAGAGCTGCAAAACACCAGCTGCAATGTTGCTCTTTTCACATGTTCAGAAAACTGTTTGGTGGAGGCAAAAAGTCAGTATGTACCCACTGAGGAATAGACAGCAATTAAATAGATGTCTAGTTTTTTTTTTAGACCTAATTTCAACCGTCTAGATTCTGTATATTTTTAGACAGAATTTAGATGTTGCACTTTAACCCATTATTCAATAACTATTTATTTAAAAAAGAAACAGTGAGTTGCATAACTGATCTCCAAGTGCTTAACCAAAATAACTGTGATAGCCGTTGAGCAATATACAGTGTAGACCTCTGTTAGCCAGCTAGTCTAAACTTGGTCTAAATTTAGATGCCTAAAAAACTTTCATTTTTAGACCTGTGGCAGCCTGATTTTAGAACAGTCATCTAGGCTACATTTAGACGTCTATTAGATTTCTTTTAGACCAAAAAATGCTCAGTGGGATAGTTTCCAGAGATTAAGGATGTTATGAGTGTTTCTCTGATGAAGGTACTCTACTCAATTGTTGTAAATGGGAATATTTAGCCAATCACATGGCAGCAACTCAATGCATTAAGGCATGTAATCGTGGTCAAGACGACTTGCATAAGGTGAAAAAGAGCATCAGAGCGGGGAAGAAAGGGGATTTAAGGGACTTTGAATGTGGAATGGTTCTTGGTGCCAGACGGGCTGGTCAGAGTATCTCAGGAACTGCTGGGATTTTCACGCACAACCATTGCGAGGGTTTACAGAGAATAGCCTGAAAAAGAGAAAAAGTCCTGTGTGCGGCAGTTGTGTTGATGAAAATGCAGACTGGTTTGAGATGTTTGAAAGGCAACAGTAAGTCAAATAAACGCTTGTTACAACCAAGGTATGCAGAATACCATCTGTGAACACACAACACATCCAACCTTAAAGCAGATGAGCTTCAGCAGCAGAAGACCACAGCAGGTGCCACTCCTGTCTGCTGAGATCAGGAATCTGAGGCTACAATTCACAGACTCACCAAAATTGGACAATGGAAGATTGGAAAATTTTGTCTGGTCTGATGAGTCCGATCCGATATATAGTTTATAATCTTTATATATGGCCTGTATTGTCTGTAAAAGTAATATGTTCAGTCAAAAACCTCAATCGGTTGTTCTCTTACCACTCTCTGTATTTGTTGCGCAAAAAGATTCAAAAAGCAGTTTTTTCACTTTGCCGTCAATCATCTGGTTTGACACCTACACCCTCGTGGTGTTTTTAAGAATTAAAAATTACTACAGGGAAATTGTCACACTTTTTCCTGACAGTATCATTAAGAGGTATCAGTTTCAATCTGTTTCTTTTTCAGCTAAAAACTCCTTAGATGTTATGTTCCAATACTACTACTTGGTGTTTGAGAGATCCTGTTAGTTTGCACTCTTTGTCAGCCTTCATGAACAAATAGTGCCTGCTCAAACATTTATGCATCCTTGTTGGTTTAGACTCATTGGTGACACCTTAGCCTGCCCAAAACCCCACACCACCACAGCAAACATCTTTAAACATCAAATGCCACCCATGGGCACTGAGGCTGAGCTGAGGTGTGTGCTGACGTGAGAGAAAGTGGTGTTTCTTTCTGTGTGAAAGACAGAGGAGGGGAGGGGGGCAGTCGAGCACTAATTAGTGTTGCCTGTCATCCCAAATCACCATGGAGATGTGTTCTGTATGCCATGTGCACCTTGGCTACGTAATCGTGGAGGCACAGGAGAGCAGGAGGCATGGCTGTGACTGCCATTCCTCCACTTCAGGCAACAAGACAAGATCAACCAGCAAATTACACTTGTGTCATCATCACTATAAATAGCAGTAAAGACACAGTTGGGCAGACAGAACAGCAGCCATACAGCCGCAAACTGTGCTGTTAATAAGAAAAAATGCAGATTCTTCAGCAAGCTGTGAGTGGAAATAAAAACAACATGAACATAAATGACAAGATTTAATCTCCAACACCAGATGGGAAAATGTATTTTTATTTTGATTTCCACATAGAAACACATGCCTATATGATACATCACACACACACCCACACACACACACACACACACACACACACACACACACACACAGGCACACACAACATATGACGGTTGGATTTCATTTAAATCCATCAGTTGCCTATACTATCCATATTGAGGAGATGTGAATCTGATGTGCTGTTAGCGTCTCTGTCACATTCATACATACAAAAAAACAGAGAATGAGGCTAACTGTTAAAAATATCAAAATAATAATCTTTTGTAATTGATAAACATCTATTTCATGATGCATGACATGTCATATACAGAGGAGAAAATAGTCTATGTAATTAAAATCAAGAAAATCCTACTGTGCTACATAGGTACATGTGTGTGCTTATACATAATTACATGACCTCAGGGTCAGCATAGAGACGGAGCTGCAGTCTAATGAAGATGAAATGAGCTTTCCCTTTGTTTATTAAACATAAGGCCACTATGGTAGACCAGGAGGAATATATTCGAAGTCACATGTGAAAGAAACCACACTCCCACTGCTTCTCTCCACATGGAAACAGTTTCCTATAGATCCCACACCACCAGAAGTGTTAAGAATAAATCCAACGACATTACTGCAGCACACGTTAAAGCTCCATTACTCAACATGAGGCACACGTGGAACTGATGGCAGTGGACTGGATGTATCTTCGACTAACAATAGTACTGAAAATCTACCATGTAATCTAATAGGTTGTACATTTGGTCCAGACTCAACCAGCAGTGATGCATCAGCTAATGTATTTAACAATACTGCTCCATTGATTTTGCCTCTTCTTATGTTAAACTCTCCTTTTGTACAAGGATTTACAAACGTTTTGTAGCCTGAGCACCACCCATACCATGTTGTGTCTCAAGAGAAGATCTGCATGTTTCCCTGTGGTCAGTGATAGAAAGCAGAGAGAGGCATTTTTCTGATGAAAAAGAAATAATGATTTCAGGTTTTCAGCTGATCCCTGTTCACAGTTACAGTTTGACTGTACAGACTGATATTCACAAAAGTCTGAGAGTCCTTTCTTTGAAAACAAAAAAAGGCATTTATGACTAAAGGACAATAGAGCGAAGAAGATGAGGGTATTGTTTTTCAGCTCCAACAAAAGCTCAAACTGTTTTCTATTAAAATTACAGAAAGAAAATGACACCAACACAGAATCTAATTAGCATAAATGTTGTTAGATGGTTTTTAAATAACTTTTTTTTTTTTTGTTATTTCTTTCTCTTAGACAATAAATACTCTTGCCTTATAAAGGAAAAGTGAGGTTTCAGCTAATGCTATTATGATTTGTATTTATTTAGAGATAAAATCTCCAAAATACAACTTTTAAGGATGGTGAGGTTGTAGTTTCCTCGAATTAGACTGACAGTGGTCAATAATCCCTTCAAGAACCAAAAAGATCCTAAGGACTTGATTTTAGTCTTCCCTTGTTGGAGCGTGACACCTTTATACCACTTCTTTCCTTATTTGCTCTTCAGAGCAGTGACACTGGGCTGGGAGTTGAAAAAGATGTACAATTTTGTCAGACTGTGGTGTTGTGTTAGTTGGAAAATGACAGGAATGAACATGATTTCAGGGCTTTCAAGATGAGCAATGATGCTGCTAAAAGAGAAGTCTTTACATGGAGCCAGTCTTGAGTACAAACAATGCTAGTACATGCAATGCATGCAAATGTAACACCTAAATGACAGCTCATATGGTAGATCTGCTTTGACTCGGTACCACTAGGTTTTTGCAGATGACAGAAACAAAACATTGTCCAAAATAAAGAGAGTCCAGTCTGCAGATTATTGAAGTCAAAGGAAACAGGGATCAGAGTTGAACTCTGCGCATCATGTACTCAACAGACAGTTCATGCTCTTTCTCTTTTTCACAGCCGATCAGCATCAGGTCAGAGTGGTGGCCTCTGGCTGAGTGTAATTTCCAGGGCCGGAAAGGAAGTCTTTGCAGCTCTCTGTAAGGGGACACAGAAGAACAAAAGTATAATAAAACACAGGGACTGGTGTTATGAATGTGAAGGACTGAGAAATAGCTGTGGAGTAGAGCTGTTTTTGAGACAGTGTTAAAAACTCTCTGCAGAGCAAAATTTGAAACTGTTTGAGTTTGATTTCACTCAGTAATTTTGAACACACAAATGAAGAGGTTGTGTGTTTTACAAAATGTCTTAAAGACCTACTCCTATGAAAATCAAGTTTTTCTATTTGTCTACAAGTTCATATTGCATTTTCTCTGATGCTACAGGACATATCATGAGAAAAATAAGACCAGAATTTCATTTTAGAGTATTTCTGAATTCAGTTCTCTGTGAATCTCTGGCAGACCCAAACAGCAGGTTCAGACACAGTGAGATTTTCTACATCACAAATCCAAGCTCAACCCCCAGAGCCCGGCTATGCAGGCCAGACTCGGAGAAGTAGAGAGGACAATCACGGAACAAGTGTTAGCTGACTGCAATGCTCGTAAGAAAGCTAATTATGATATTAACTTTAATCATGTCCCTAAAGACATTAGTGTCTCAGAGCTGTTACCTGCTACTTCAATGTTAGGCTGCAAGCTAGCATAAAGAGGAGTGTGCAGAGCAGCGCTGTCTCCGCCCACGACTCAGAGGCGAATTGCTAATGAGCTACTGGAGCTCTGCAGAAGAAAAGCCCTTGAAAATGACACAGGTAACATGATTTTGGCTAAAAACTTCATAATCACGATTTAAAGACCACTGAGAACACTTTAAATTAAAAAAAAAAAAAAAAAAAAACATCAGAGTGGGACTTTAAGCCCAAAGTTACATTTGCATCTTATTTCCATGACCACGAGCTATTCCAAATTCCCATTTCTGTACATTTAATGTTGAATATATACAGTTTATTGTTGTTTGATGAAGAAAAACAGTAATTCTGTCAATTTAAACACATTTTCTCATATTTTCTCAATAAGAGTTAAATGAGTAATTCAGTATTTTTACTATGTTCTGCAGACAGATATCATATAGATCTGAACATCAAGAGGCTTTTACACCAACCACCTGTGTTGTTAATGGAAACCTATTAGTGTCAGAGGAGTCACTTGGGAAAACGCCTTTTTTTTCTGCCTGTCCATGTTTCCACAGCCGCCCCGCACCCATAGACAGCAGCTTACTCCCTCATGATGAGTGCATAATGGTGTGGCAAACCATTCAAGAGCTGCTGTCACTTGACTGAGAAAATGTGCTCTTAACCTGGACACATTTGCCTTTCTAAGTGTATTTTGTGACAGTGGATGCTGTTTCAGACTGCTGATGATGACCTTAATCACTTCAAATCCTGCAGCTTTCGGTTCCCTCTGCCGGGTGGGTGGTGGTGGTGGTGGTGGAGGGTGGGGGGGACCATTTCCTGTCACTGATAACCATCCAAGCATCTTCAGACCTGCTGCATCCATTCATCCTTTTCTTTGTTTCCTGCCATACTGCTCTGGTGAAATATGATCCATACTATGTATCCTGTAACCCTGGAGTTAACCTGCTTTCCCTTATGGGTAAATATCTGAGGAGCAGAGCCTCTCAGCTTCCGTCTTTCTCCAGCTAACCAGATAAAATGATGCTTTTTGCATGTTAGAAAAAAACAGACTTTTGGATGTCTGACTCTGCTACAACAATCCTAAGCCTGTTAGGAAACAGTGAGGGTTCACTCGCAGCTTTTTGCAGGTAATGTGCTCTAAAATGTGTTGTGTAAGTGTGATATTTCCCTGTAATAGACTGGGATATCATTATCCACATATTCACCAGACACAGCCCTCAGGATTGAATTATCCCCCCCCTCCTCTGACTCAAAGATTAGTTTTGAGGGGTTCTGGTTTTGCTCAGCTCCCGGTTGATTTTGTGTTTTCAATCAGAAGAAAGCTCGCCCCGCAGTTTCATGAGCTGACAACACAGTTTGGTGTATTATTAGAGAAATCAGCGTCGAATTGAACCAGGGACAATTTCTGATAGTTTTTCCCCTTAGTGCGTCACTGTATGTCCACAGACATGAGAAAACATGTTTTCTCTGTTATCTGACAGTTATGACTCAGATTATGTGTGTTGTTTGTGTTTCATCTGCATGTGACAAGCTGCAATTAACCCACAGTTGTCTAAAAACACTCAACACATTCAGGGTTGTCCGAGGCTTTCAGGAAACATGTTCAAATACAGTTTCTGGTAATGGCCTGTCAAAAAAGGTGGGGCGAGTGCTCTCACAGGACCTGCGCTATGGTAAGTGCACAATTCATGTGTTGTTGTCTCCTCAACAGTGATGCGCTAATGAGGTCTGGTGCCCCAATAGAAAACATCCTCAGTGTCATTGGGCTGTTTGCAGATAGATGATGAGAGTCAGGATGTGAGCTCAGCTGGAATTTATCCTTAACTGTCAAAGGTAGAGGTAGTGTCATAAGGAGATACTGGAGATACAGATAAGCTTATATGTGAGACACAGTGGATATATTAATGAACTGAACCTGAAGAATGGCTCTGTTTTGACCTATGTTGCAGAAAGACCCTAGAAAATGTAAAAATGTCAGACTGTTCCTTTTTCCTTTTTTGAAAAGAAAAAGTTATTACCCTGGAAGTCAATGTTGCATGGCGTCTTGTGTGACTACTAACTCTAATCTTGTGGATCTGTGAAGAGGGTAATTGAAGGGAAGCTTCCACTCTGAGACAGATAGATGATGCAATTAGTACTACAAAGCTCCTCCATTGATTTCCTTTTGATCTCTCCTGTGAACAATCTGTGAAATCTCACCTTAACCAGCTGGGGGCCACCGGAGGAATGAAAAACGTTGAAGATTGAAAGTTTATTGTTTTTTTCTATTCCTCCAAGCTCAAAAAAAGAAAGACGACAGATATTTTTTGCTGATACTGAGAACTCCATGCTGCTTCACAGATCACTTAATGTTTCCCATTTTAAAGCCTATTTACTGTAATCCATGTTTAACTTACGTTGGACAACTAGTTTGGTCTCTGCTCGAGTGACCTCTTCAGCAAACTGGTCTTTGCTATAATATAGATTTTGCCTTCCAAAAACACTCAAACCTTTGTGTGTTGAGTCTGGAGCTCTGCTTCCAACATTATATGAATTTGAAGCCAAAATGTTCTTGATATTTCAGTTTTTCTCCACTTCCTGGAAACACCACTTGCGCAGTAGTGTTGTTCGCATTCAGCGGAAGAGTCGCTGTGATGACGCTCGGCTCAAACAGCGTATCCCCTGGGTGAGCTACGCAATCTCTGTACGCCCATAGGCTGTATCAAGTGTCAATCATAGAAAACATGAACTCCCTGATAACTTTTAAAAATGGAGCTGCACAGAAAAAAAAGGACTTGAGCACAAACCAGTCTTACTGTAACTACATGTCAACATCGCAAGTAGGGGGAGAAAAATTTATATTCTGTGTAATCAATTTCTGAAGTTTGTCCACAACTCCATAGGGATTGCTGGAGGTGGCAGAACTTATGACCTTTACTGCAGCCTGTCACCAGAGGGTGCTGTTCTCGCGGTGGCTTCGCCTAGCAAAGAGGCAGATGGCGTCCATTCTACATACAGTCAATGGTCTGGAGACATTTACACAGCTCATCCAGATGGCTGCTGGAAAAAATTAGACTCGTCTCCATTAAACACTGTCCTGACATTCATGTTTCCAAAAGCATGGGTCTCACTGACTTAAATGATCTGCTGCTTCCTTTGTAGTTATAAAACCAGATCACAATAATTGTATTTCAAAATATTTAAAAACAAATAACTTCTTCATCAGCACACTGCACTGTGTTTCGTGGTCAATAGGAAAATGTGATCATGCAACCACAGTCAAATAAGAAAATGCACACACAAATAAGATACCAATATGACATCTGCATGTTGTCTCTGTGAGAACTATAGCTTGGATTTTAAACTTTGATAAAAATTTTTATCAATAGTGAAATGCCTAACGGTTAAATCGAACAAAACATTTCATATAATCTCACCAAATAAACTTACAAATGATTCAGCTATAACAACAATTCAACAACAGTTGTCTGTATTACAATATAAATGTATTCAAGGTGAAAAATTGCACAACCATGTATATAAAAAATTGTACCTGTCCAAACTATTAAAATAATTTCACAGGATAAAGCTGTTTTACTACGACACAACATCTTCTAACTATATGTTTCTGACAGTGTGATGTTTTAACATAACACTGAGATCGTGTTCTTCCTGTTCTTCCCGTTGATTGGTGGAAATCTATAAATAACAACACATCCTTCTAGTTTTTCATTCGGCCATCATCTGTGTGTTTTTCTGTGTTGTAACAGCTCCGGCTGTAGATTTGTCAACTCCTCTGACAGCTGAAAAATAATAAAGTTGCAAAATAATGTGAGGGGCAAAGTTTATGTTCTATATTAACTGGTCATTGTTGCCTCCATCAGAGTTGCAGCCTGAGTAAAGAGAAATAACTAAACCAAGAACATGGAATAGTACAATACTTCCACAAATTGCTTATTTTCTATTTTTATATCAATAAATCACATTGATTAAGTCTTTCATGAACCTCTGCTGGTAGGGTGACTATTTTACTGGTCGATAGAGCCAGGCTTGCTGTTTCCAAATGCTCTAACTGTGCTTGGATAGCTGCGTCCTGGTTCATCATTTGTTAATAGGCATGAAAAAGGATTTCAGTCCTAATGTAATGGCTGTAATACAATTGTGTTTTCTTTCAGGTATAAATGCATTAATGGTTTAGATAAAACTTAACTGTGATTAAAAGAGCAACAACATACTGTAGGTGAGAATAAAGAATACTGCATGACTGCAGAGCTTTACTTGATATTTATCAAAAGGTGAATTGAATAGCTGCAAAGTGCAGAGCACCGCTCAGCGAGCAAGCATAAATGATAATTTCTATATGTATAGTATATAACTTACCAGTATGGACACTTGGATCTTCAGGGGCTAAGAGGAAGCAGGTGGCTTCTTTCTTAGTCTTGTCTCGCCCTCTGGAGCACCGCAGTGACCATTTTTCACTGGGGGACAGCGGCTGGGTCAGGCTGCAGCCCTCCTCCTCTGAAAGGGCCACATTAGCATCTCCGTTCTGTTTGGAGTCTGACAGGATGACAAAAACAAATGGCAACGTAAATGCCAAAGCTTTTACTGAGACTACCCTGAGGACTCAGACTAGAGAAAGGTATATGGCATAAAACCTGTTTTTTTTTTCTGTGAGGAAATTCAATTGGAGATGTTCTATGGATGGTAATTTGATCCCACGTGTTCCTGTTTATATGACTAAGCCAGCTTCATTTGTCAGGCAAAAGTATGAGGCACCATAAAAATACTGGCTGGAAGAATGTGTTAGACTGAAGATATTTCTAGATAAAAACAGATGGTGAATGGGATGTTATGCAAAGAGCCATTTAAGATAGAAAACAAAACAAAGTCTCACAAAGTCCTTATGGTATTTATACATGCAGACAGTTTTGGTAAAGATTTTTACCTTAAATCAATCAAGGAAAGTGAAATGTATTTTGTGCTTGTTACACCACTTAAGAAATAACTAAATATTTAAATATATTTTATCTAACAAAATAAAACATTCAGGAGGTGTTATGAGGATCAAGTTTCTCAGAATCGTCCACATCAAACACAAAAAATTACAGCCTCTGGTGAGAGTCATTAGTGTGCAAACCAAAAGCACATTTCTAAACAGTATACCTTACTCTATAAGTAACATATCATACAACAAATTATATGAGAAATTAAAAGAGTAGAGTGCAACTAAAAGTTTCTGCATGGATTTATAACACAAAAGACCAGTGAAAGAACGTTTTCTGTATTTTAGGTGTAATGGCCTTTTATTGCTTTGCAGCCTGACCTGAGCGGTTCCTGCCAACGCTCTCCTCTGCAGCAAGTGGACACGTGTCGCTCTGGGTGCTGTCCCTGTGTGAGTTTGTTTCTGACTTCCCAAATGATACTGAGTCTGTCGGGGCGTCCGGGTTGGGGTTGTGCTTCTTCTTCTTCTTGGGGAGCTTCTGTTTGGCCATGGCAAGTGAGTAGTACATCCCAAAGTTATTGACGATGACGGGGACCGGCATGGCGATGGTCAATACCCCAGCCAGCGCACAAAGTGCCCCCACCATCATACCCAGCCACGTCTGTGGGTACATGTCTCCATACCCTAGCGTCGTCATGGTGACTACAGCCCACCAGAAGCTAATGGGGATGTTCGTGAAGTGTGTGGGGTTGGGGTCATTAGGCCGGGCTCCAATACGCTCAGCGTAGTAGATCATGGTGGCGAAGATGAGAACACCAAGTGCCAAGAAGATTACAAGGAGGAGAAACTCATTGGCACTGGCCCTCAGTGTGTGGCCGAGCACACGCAACCCGACAAAGTGTCGCGTCAGTTTGAAGATCCTGAGGATCCGAACAAATCTCACCACACGCAGGAAGCCCAGCACATCACTGGCTGCTTTGGATGGCAAACTGCTCAGACCCATCTCCAGGTAAAATGGCAGAATGGCCACAAAGTCTATGATGTTGAGAGTGTTCTTGATGAAGACCAGTTTGTCTGGGCAGCAAACGATCCGCACCAGGAACTCAAAAGTGAACCAAACCACACAGATGCCCTCCACCAGGATCAGGACGGGTTTTGTAACCAACTCACTCTTCTCCTCTATGCGGGTAATATTACCCACAACCACCTTCTTTGTCTCGTTCCTCAGTTCATTGAAGGCTTCATGGGTCTCCAGGCAGAAGGTGGTGATGGACACCAGGATGAAAAGTAGAGAGGCTAATGCCACACCCTAAATGAGACAGAAAAAGCACAATCAGCACAACATCGTATCACCTCAGAAATATATCAGCTGTTGATCATGCTTTTATGACACTTTTTGTTACCATAAAATTTCAAGATGAAAATGAAAACGATATTTTTATCTGGTGGCATCATTCATGACTAACAGGATCACCCAGGGTTTAAATGTGTTCTGTTAGCAACTAACAGCAGGAGGCATTCACATGGTGATAATTTTGAGGGACTGTCTCATTAAACCCACCATGAGACTACTGTGAGAGTTGTCTTTCTAATGACTCAACCAAATTAATCTTTTCTCTTCCTTTTTTTTTTTTTTTTGTTGTTGTTGTGGAAAAATTAGATTTTTGGTTTAAGCTGAGTCTTTTCTGACCAGAATTCCACATGGAGAGAGGACAGGAAGTTTTTAACAAACTTGTAAATCTTGTTCTAGGGTGTCGGACACAAAAGCCAGAGTTCCCTTTAATACAACCATAAATTTAATACAACACAAATAAAACTACCTGTCTTAAAAAAATACAAAACCAAACAAAATAGTGTCTGACTTTAATCAGGGATACACACTGAATGACATTCATCTGATCCAGCACAATGCCTGTTGTCTTTGTTTGTGTGAGCATTGTGTGCTCACTCGTGTCTGATCTGTCCTTATTGTTTATTTAAGCCTGCACAAAATTATAAAGCATCGCCAACCTTTCTAATCTGCAGCTGGATAAATATGTACCTGAGCCTTGCATGCACTTCACTGTTCTCCCTCCAGGCTTCTCTCATATCAATCTGCTTTATAGTGTTAGGGTCCCTGATTAGGAAAAACAAATAAAGCATTTCATGGCCGATAGGGCCTCTAATTCAATGTGGAACAAACAACTGCAGAGACCGCACACAAAAAAGATCTACAGTGAAGTCCATATTTGGTCTCTTCTCTTTTGTGCTCTGTGATAAGAAGCGGCTTTCCACCACCACGACTTTGAAGCACTTACACCTCTGATCCTTGGAGAAGACCAGGACTCAGCCTCACAGGGAGAGGGAAGCTCTTACTCTGCCCAAGATGGAGCTCAGAGTTCCTCTGATAGAGATTTCCCAAACGACTCCCAGGCTAAAAAGCGTGTTTCTGTGTTTCTTACAAGGCCAAGACCATAGACTGTATATAGAATGGACGCCAAACATGAATGTCAGGACAGTGTTTAATGGAGACAAGCCTAATTTTTTCAAGCAGCCATCTGGATGGGCCGTGTAAATGTCTCCAGACCATCAACTGTATGTAGAATGAACGCCGTCTACCTCCTCGCTGGGTGAAGCCACCACGAGAACAGCACCCTCTGGTGACGGGCTGCAGTAAAGGTAATAAATTTCCACCTCTGCCAGCAATCCCTATGGAGCTGTGGACAATCTTCAGAAATGTATTACACAGAAAATAAATTTTTCTCCCCCTACTTGCGATGTTGACATGTAGTTACTGTCAGACTGGTTTGTGCTCAAGTCCTTTTTTTTCTGTACAGCTCCATTTTTAAAGTTATTAGGGGATTCATGTTTCTATGATTGACACCTGATACAGAATATGAGCGTATGAAAACTGCATAGCTCACATCACAGCGACTCTCCCACTGAATGCGTGCAACACTACTGCACAAGTGGTGTTTCCAGGACGTTAAGAAAATCCCGGAAATACTGAGAGCAATTTGGACACAAGGCGGAACCAAGTTGTCTATAGTATATACAGTCTATGGCCAAGACACAGTAATGAAAGAGATCAGAAAGTAAATAAGCAGTAAGCAGCAGACACTTGGATTTGTAACCTCTATAGTTAAAACATTTAAACAAATTTAATTTGATTTGGTACTTCAAACCAAGTAGACAAAAGTTTTACCAGAATCAAATTTCTTTATTCTCTAAAACTTGACTTTGGTAAGTAAAACCGACCAATCTCTTGGATCTGAACACATAACCTTAACACTATCTCTGCTCTGCACTGTTTAACAGTTTATGACAACCGTCCAGGAACCACAGAAAGAGCTTGTGGTTTCTATTGAACAGACAGAGAGGACCTGACAGTGTTCAGTTTACTCAAACACTGAAGGGTTTACACTTTAGCTAAACAGAGCTGGTTTCCACAGCAGAAGCACCTCTGCAAGGATGCTGCCGGAGATCCTGGCACACACAAGACAATTTTCTCAAAAGACAAACAGTTTCATAACAAAGCCTGACCCCACATCTGTGTGAAAGAGAGCCCTCCTGAGTGTTTGCTCCTGTGTTTGTTCCTTTTTTAATTTGTGTGTGTCAATGTTTGCAGGTCTTTGTTTTATTGAATACTAATAGTGCGTTCAAATGTGTTTCTGTTGTTTATTTGAGGCCTGACGAAAAGAAATATCACTGTGCCTTGTTTACAGCTTAGCAGTGGAAACTTTAAACATGCTCCCAGTGTTGAAGGGATCACTGAGGGTTATTGATTATCTCTTGGTCCTGAATTATTTCTTATATAGCTCATTTGATCCATTGTTGAAGGAAAATATTGATAAAAACTGCTTTAGACGAAAGTTCTGAAAACACAGATGGCTGACTGACATAAATGATCCCACTGAGGATCTAAACTTAAAATCTATACATAGAAGAAAAGTCTACAGGGAAGCCTCTGGGACACAAAACCCCAAACTGAGGTGCCAAAAAGGCATCAATCCAAGGTTATCAGTTGTCAGTGTCAGGTGTTATTGTGCAAACAGAGCAAAGGACCCCCCTGAGGGAGCAGCCACCCTGTCCCAGCTGGGAACATCAGAGCGCAATGAAGCAAGACACGACAGGCAGCAATGTGCGTATCAGCAAATAGCTGCTGGGGAGTCCCAGCACAGCCATCATCACCTCCAGCTGTTCAGCATCAGCCGGTGTTTCTGACATCCAAGAACAACAATGACGGCCCATCTGAGCAGTCAGGGGCCACAGAGCCAATGAGAGCAATCACCTCCAATGTTTTCTTAGTGTTAATGTCACTCTGATTCATGTCTGAGAGTCAATCCACCCGAGGACAGAGGAGGATTAATTTCCACTCCTCTGCCTGTCAGCCATGCTCCTCCTGTGTGTCTGCAGAGACAAAATTAATCATCCCTTCTTTATATTTAATGGAACTTGGTAAAAATGGAGTAGATGATCCATTCTGTGACATGAAACCGTACAATAGTGAGCTATTTTCAGGTCCACTCAAACTTCATCACCTGTCATGAACTGCTCCATCCAAAAACCGCTATTTGGCTGCTTAGCTGGGCACTGCTATGAACCAAAGAAGACCAGGGTAGATCGAATCAACCACATCATCTTCACATATCGAAAGTAATTTCCTGCAAGTTTGTTTGATCTACTATTCATTCATTTACTTATTTGTTCATTTGTAATGTTGCTAAAACACTCCAATGTAAACTAAAAGACTTTGTTGATTATTAAGTTTCAGGTTGGGATCAACCTAAGAGAGCAAAGCTAAATTTAAGCTTGTATAAGTTATGATCAGTTATTTTCGTTGTATCTCCCATTTTATTCATGAGGAAGAGGCACAAAAACACTGAGATTTGGCTTTTTGGTTTAAATGTTGGTAAAATTAGATTTTCTTTGTTTTCTGCCTGTTTGTTTCAATGATCGCAATGGTCTCATTGTTTAAATCGACTGTTTTTTCTTTTTTAATTGAATTTGTTGATAAGGTTGTTGATTTGTGAAATGTAAATAACTGTTTTGACTGTCCTTCAGTTTAGTTTGCTTAGTGTATCATTGTGGCGATGCAGCAACTCTATGTCGACATCATAAACTGTTGAACTAATCTTTAATTCAAAGGCGATTGTGTATCAACCCTGAAATCCACCCTGAATCCGACCCTCTGTTAAGGTCAAGATAATCCAGTATTCTGGATCGAAATTACCCCAATCTGTTTGAAAGGGTTTGAAAAAAAAACAAACTAAACATTGGATTCAGACAAAAACCAAAACTGGATTAGCTGATCTGGTACCAGAGTAGTGTTGTATTAGGTGGTTTTGTTTGTGTTGACAGACTTACCAGTACCAAATTTTACAAACACGAAACTTAAAAGCTTGTTCTATTCACATTTTGTATTGATATTGAGTTGCGTTTTAATGTTGTTTCATCTAACATAAATACTGTTAATTAAACAGAATCTGAACTATAAATGAGTTCTTAAAAAGCCTTGGCTGCTACTGTAGTGCCAGGGCTTGTGACATCTGACACATGTGGCTTCAGCACCCATGTTTGCATATATTTACTTTATATTTGCATATTTGTATTATGGCCCTAATTTCTACTTGAACTCACTGAATGTGTATACCATTTGCTTGAGGTGTTACATCACTTAGAGATGTCCCGCTTCTTCAAGTTAATTTATTGTCTTTTTATTCAACATATCAAACATCTGTCTTTAGTTTTTTATGGTCGGTCCATTCATGGTTTTAAAAGTGGATGTAATCTTTGGATAAAAATCCTAAAGGAGTGTTTTCAACAGGAGATCAGTAACAGATTTACTTCCTCTCAGATCCAATCTAATGATTTTGTTGCATCAGGTTTATGTAGAATTATCAGATATTTCTAATCATGCGTATCTCTTTAGTTATTCATTTATATCAGCCATAAAAAGCGACTGCAACTCTGTGCAGACTTTGAGATGCATTCGTTGATCTCAAAGTAAGACAGCTGATCTATTTTCAGCAAACAGCTTGGAAACTGAGCAAAATAAACAACCACCATAATCACACAGGATTACATCCCTCCTTCACAGAGAACTCAGTGCTATGAGATTTTCCTTAACCGTTCCCCGCTGCTTCAGTGATGTGTGAAAAATCAAACCCCGTGTTTTTCAATGCAAACAGCAGCAGAGAGAGGTGTCAGGGGTGTGAAACATGGGCCCAGAGGATGATGAGGTTCTGCTCATAAGGCTTCTTTATTATTTATCAGATGTGTGTCGCGTGGAGACAAATGAGGTGTGAAAAAAAGGTTTCATTTTCAGCAATGAGCAGAGACTATTATTGAAAGTTATTGGGCATTTTCCTTCTTTTGAAAATCAGTGCTGACTTCTTTAACACCAAATCTGTATCAGGTAGAGAGATGAGCTCCTGATGACAATAATGTACCACACTGAAGAAAATAGGTTGCTTTCTATTTCCTAACAATAAGTCTATTTGTGAAAAATATAAAGCTAAGGAGCATTTTATTTTGCCAGACTGATCGATGATTGGATATTTGGTCTCCAGATAACATCCATCAACATTCCCACATCAATTAATCCCTCACTTTCAAGGCTAATTGATGTCTCTCTTTGTGGGGGATGAAATGCGATGCCCTTTTTCTGTGGGAAAGGCACTTTTTATTATTCACAGATAAGTTCCCTCATTTTACCACAGTGCTGATTGTTAACAAACACTTCAGTATTGCCTTCAACAACATAAAACATGTCTACGTACAGAATAAAACATCACAGTGATTAGGCTCTCCATGTGTTTGTACCAAATATCAGACAGTCAGGCTTTCAAAGTAACTAATATGATGCATGTTAATCTCTTTAGCTTGGCTGGACTTCCTTTTCACACCTAATTAATGTTTTTCTCACAAAAGAAGTTCATCTTTCTTTCGATAAAATGTATCACCCATTCAAAATGTCTGCTTTAAGGGAGAACAACCAGAGAAGCTCCAGGCCTGTAAAATGTTAACACTAGGCAGGTTTGTGAATGGAGTCAGGTATTGGCTCTAAATATTTTTAAAAATTGACTTTTTATTCAATTTTATAATTACTTTTTGTCATTCACAAACAAAAGGCTCAGATATAAAGTCAAGAAACATACTAATTACTGCTTTGAAATGTATTCTGACATTTACTGACATGCTTTCTTGTCATTTTCACGCTCGAACTTTAGCATCTTAGCATGCTAACAGCAACAAAATTGATGGTGATGTGAATGAGTTTGGGATACTTTACAGTATTTAAAAAAGTTCTGTTACGCTGTGAGTTGATGATGATAAATAAAACTGAAAAAGAAAAAAATCTGGGAAAATTATCTGACGTAAGGCTAGCATGAACAACTGGCAGTTCATCAGTGAGCTGTGAACTGAAAACCCCAAGGTTCATCCCGTATAGAACAACTATCAAACATGTGCTCTGAATAACCATCAATGCAATAAACTGAAATGATTATATCCAACTATCCAGCCAGCACAGTCAGTCAAGTCCTCCTTGTTCCTCCTGCAAGTCAGTGAGGGGTCCTGATCATCTTGTAGGAGACTGATCATGCTGATTCACTCGCACATGTTATGCTCTGTTTAATTGTTAGTTCACTTTCTCCTTTACCATCTTCCTCTGTAAAATAAAAAAGGGCCAATGAAGAGTATGGTGCCTCGGCAGAAATGTAAAACCACTTTTGTTAAACCACCTAAGCAGAAACCACTTTTGACATCACATTCACACACCAATGGCAGGGCCTGCTGTGTATAAAGCCCATCAGTTTTTGACTAATCCCATTCATAAATCACTGAGCACAGCCAACGGGAGCAGAGGGGTAAAGTGTCTTGTCCAGGGAGACATCAGCATGTGGACAGTGGGACCTGAGATCAAACCCTCGACCTTCCTATTGGGAAGAAATTGACTCTACCACTGCCACAGCCGCCTTGATGGAGTGTGGAGCAGTCACACTAGCCAAACACGCTGGACTCTAGGGGTCATCAAGGGTCTGATGAGTATGTTTGCCCAGTGTAAGGCCGTCTCAGTACGATCACCTCATTCGGCCACTCTGATGGACACTGTGCCCCCTTTTACACTACATCAGTGAACTTTCTATTATGGAATTATTTACACATGGTTAAGGCAAGAAAAGCGTCTTTAAAGGGAAGGATGGCTGGAAGTCAAGGAGAGGAATCACTTCCTCATTCTATGTACTTATGGTCATGAACCCTTTTGGGAGAGGGGGTGCTTTTTATGGAGGGAGTGGGGTTGTAAAAGTACAAATCTGTGCAGTATGTGTGATGAAAATACGATGCCTGAATGATAACTGAAATGTGTTTTTAAAAATACATTATGGTTTTGCAGGTTGAAAATTTGTGCCCCAAGTACCACATTTTACTGCTTACTTTTTATGCCCTTTGTTTCTGATTATTCATCAGTTTGTTTGTGTGCATGGCGACTTTAAACACCACACATCACCTTTCACAGCAGTGAAGCTCCCGTATGGGTTGATAGAAGGGAGGATGTGGCTGCGAGTATGGACAAATTAACTTCCGTCTGGAATCACATTACCTGAGCTGAGCTGGGAGGCTCTTTGAAACAAAAAGGCCATAAATGTAACGTGACCCCTTCAATATGCACTCTGTATCTTCAGAACAAACACAGCGCATACATGCATACATGAATCAGCTGGACTGGAATCGAACAAAGAACATTATGGAGGGGTCACTATGTCTCGCACTCTTATCATTAAAAATACAGCTGAAGAAATCTACATAATAAAACTTCTCAAATCTTCAGCGAAGGAGACGTGAAAACTGCTATGGTCATCCTCTGATGGCACCAAAGCATCAGCAGCTGTGACTCAGTGACAGGCTGCTAACACCACCTGCACCAGAAGCTAAAATAAACACTATTCAAGTGTGACAGGCATGCAATGAGAGCACTATACTTCTGCGAGAGCTTCTGAATAGACCATTCAACTCAACAAACAGAAATTAGAGAGAGAGCACCAGCCTCTTTCTCTCTGGACTAAATGTATTTCTCTTTTTTGTCTGATGAAAGCTCCTGGCTCTTTGCCTGACAATCCAGCTATAGTGACACTCAATACTCGCTTTCCACGTTTACTTCACTGAGTACTCTGCTGCCTTTGATGCAAAGCCATTAGGCACAGCATTCTTACAAATGCCTGCTGATATCCTCTGTGGAAGTAATAAGAGCAAATTGATTTTAATTTACAACTCGGCAACAATCATTTTATGGATAGACCCAACAGAAGAGTATCCTGTTCATCATGATTAAATAAAAAAGTAAAGGTTTTGAGGGGAGTTCGTACATGTATAAACCTTAAGTTCGTGCCGACAGAGCAAAATTCCACTAAAAAGTAGAGACTTTAGGTCAAACATTCCTGTTTAATACACACACTCAGTTTCTGCACATGACTGTACTCTCCTGCTGCCTTTCAAATACTTGTGTTTTGAGGACCTCTGAGTGCAAACCTTGAACAGGATGTGTGGGAACAGCTTTTTTCACTATTTTCAGCATTTTGGAACAATTTCACATCATATATTTTAGTAAGACCAGAAAATCTGACTTTTTACATGACTGACAGAAAAATTAGGTAGCCTTGGAAGTATAACCAAAGTCTGGGACCTAAATCAAATATTTCTTGTGGTCATTACAGAAATACAGTTTGGTAGCTATATGTGTCTATATCGTCAAAACATTTGACATTCTTGCAGTAAAAAGAAGTCAAATTAATTTTACATTAAACTAAGATATCATTTTCACATTAAAAACTTCAAATAAAAGGGCAGATATAAATCTATTTGTTTAATGTTTTTATGTTTTTACATTTAAAAGCTGTGAGATCACTCAAAAAAATGTTTGATTCACCTCTAGAATCTCTTAGGGCCAAAGTTTTAACTCTTTTCAAGTAGTAGGATACTTAGACACATGCCTTTGGTGTTAAGAACAGCAATAAATATCATATCGAAATACAACAAAAACAAAACTATATATATATATATATATATATACACACACACACACACACATATAGCTGACATGCTGAAAAGCTTTTTGTTAGCATTATACAGGAAAGGGTCTTTTTCAGACTGTTGCACCAACAACAAAAAGATAGCCACACTTTTTTGTTGTTGTTTGTTTGTTTGGTTTCATCTTTTATAATGCTTGTCATCCAAAAGAAATCAGCAAAATAATGTGGGAGTATGAGTTTCAATGAAACTGTTATTTAAAACATGATCTTTCTGAAGAGGATGTTCACTGTGCTTTTTTTAAAGGATGTTCACATCTTCAATCCTTGGTTAACGTGTGGGTGAGTCTACGTCTGTTACTGGAAACACAGACAGTGGAACAGATTGGGAGATACCAACTGTGGCCAGAAATAAGATATGTTCATAATAAATAATGCAGGAAAAAAACTCAGATCAGCCAACACAGACCTCCCTTTAAAACACTGTTAAATCCAGCATGTATGGTGTTAACAGTCGTTTTCACACTCACATGACAGCAGAGAAAAGGTGGAAAACAGACGCTAAAACATGAAGGAGGTGAAAAGTGTGATCATTGGCAACAGTGATAGAAGCTGTTGAGTAGGTAGATTCAAACATCAGTACACTTGACTTACAGATGGTTATTATACTTTCATTGTTCATAGCTCATTGTTAATATGCTGTGTGTTGATTTTATGTGTAAAGATGGGCAGCATAGAAACTAGGGTTGCAAAGGGGCAAAAAATATCTGGTAAATTTCCAGTAAATTTCCAGAAACTTTCCATGGGAAGTTAAACCTGGGAATTTTGAAAAGATAGCAAATCGGAAACTTTCCATGAGAATTATGGGAATTTATGGGAATTAACTGGAATTTGGGGGTAATTTAAACAAACTGTATCATATCCAAACATAAAAGTAAATATTTTTCCTTCAACATTAGCTCGTGTGAAATGCTTCCACACATCAGATGGTGATCATGGCATTTTTCTGTAGAATAAAATAACAAAAAAGCTTGTAAAAACACTAATGCAATGGCATGAACAGAAATATAGTTGGCTAAACAACTGCAATGGTCTTCAAAATATTTGACAATTGATGTATACATTTTTGTATGGTTTCAGAAAACCATCTTGCAGGAGTCAGAAGAAAAAGCATTACATTTGAGGTAGCTACCACCACCATAATAAGCTAGCCCCTTAAATGGTCAATATAATGAAAATAGCTTACATTTAGCACCTGTTTCTATTTATTTTTTTTGCAAGTTAAATATTGATACTATTATAGATCAAATATATTTACCCAATAATATTATCAAAACTTACTTGACTTTATATAGTCCGTATGCTCTTGGCTCAAAAGTGTGGCCTCCAGGGTTCAAGAAATCATATGTGCATGTGATGGAGGAATGCACAGTGCATGTAGGGTGTGTGGCCTCAATAGCCCTGCAGTACGAGGTGTGCTGTGTGCATGTGATTGAGGAGTGTACTTGCATTAAATCTGGTTGTTTTAGCCAAGATTATGCTACCACATATTTTCCCCAGCTATATTTAAGTTCCCTGTTGAGGGCCAACCTTCAATTTTGTAAATCTCTGATTTATTCCCATTAATTCCCATACATTCCCGTATGTTCCCGTTAATTCCCATATGTTCCCATTAATTCCCATGGAAAGTTTCCAACTTTAAAAAATCACAGAATTTTGCAAACCTACCTTAGATTCGGTTTTTCTTCATTTTTTCTTTCTTTTCTCCTTCTTTCTTTCTTTCCTTTTCTCTGTGGAGTTCCCTGTTGAGGGCCAACCTTCAATTTTGTAAATTTCTGATTTATTTCCATTAATTCCCATATATTCCCATTAACTCTCATGGAAAAATCTTTGGAATTCTGCAACCCTAATTTTAACCATTGCTATAAGGAGTATAATGGAGGTAGGTAATATGGTTGTATTAAAGGAGGAGTTCTGTTATCGCCATTTCCACCAATCAAGGAGAACATAAGAGTCACATGATCATCTCTGAGTCTACCTCTCACATGGTGATTTTTAAGGCTGGAAACTGTTTTTTCTGTTTTCTTCTGATGTAAGACAACTAACTTTTTAATCAAGACAACATTAACTTAAATACTCACAAAGTCACGTGACTTGTAATAATTTAAATTAAGTATCTCATGCGAAATGTGATGCATTTTTTCCTTGATATCAGACCACTATTGCCAACCATAACTTCTTTGATAATTATTGTGTTTTTATAGTATAGCCCTGTCCCATCTCTTAAAAATTTAACAGTGGACTTTGGGACCTATACTGCAGCCAGTCAGTAGGGGGAGCCCTAAATCTTTAAGCTTCATGGTCAGTAAATACTTACCAGACCCTTTTTTAAAATACAGCTTGTGGCATCAACTTCTGATGGTCCATTGGTGTGTCCACAACCAAAACCACCTAATAACACACTACCTACGTAACCAAATATTATGTAGTGCATATTGCCTAATAACTCGAGGGTTAGTCTGCTACTCATAAAATACTCATGTATATCTCTTCTAGTCACACTTCTTTATTAATTGCTGCTTTAGGCAATAATGGCAAGACTAGCACACTTGTTGAGCTGTATCTGAACTATGCAAATTTTAATCACAGCTGAGCAGTGATTCACTTTTTAAAATCATTATGAATATGAACCAAATACTAATTTACCTACTTCTATAGATATACTTACCATCACAAGTATGTACGCACACATGTATTGTGCACGCAGTTCTGGGTCAGGGAAAAGTGGATCTGAGTTTCGGTCCCTAACAGAGACAGAAACATGTTCTGCACTGTGCTTTTATTTCAATAAACCTCTATATGAATGTAGTGTGATCTCTATTTTTTGTTCCTTTGTCTTATTGTTGCTATCTACATCGAGTATTTGAGATCAACTTAAGAGGTTGTTAAAGATGCATTGTGTGTTGGTGGTGTAGGTCACTTAAGTGGGTTGTATTGATAGGTATTGTTTATACTTTGCTCCCTTCATGTTTGTGAATGAAGTGGAAAAAATATAAAGAACACTTTCATTGTAGAACTCTCCAGCAGGCTACACCACCATCCACTATGTCTTCAATATTAATCACCTGCCTGCTCATGACAACAAATACTGTAAAGTTAGAGGCTCCCTAAATGGAGAAATTATAGTTGAGCTGATGTATTATGTGGCTTAGATTAAGGTGTTCATGATGTTTTGGACAGTTGTTGTCTCCAGATGTTGTACCTGAGAGTGTTGCAGCCTGATTGGCTGAAGCTACAGAGGGACACCTGTTGATCAGGCTAACATGTGGCCTCTCAACAGCAACTACTTCACAGGTTGTACTGTCTCAGTGTGCCACATTAGATCACTGAAAACACTTGAATGACTCACCCTGGCAGCTTTAGACGAGTAGGGGTCGTCAAACAGGGCCCAGATCTTCGGCTGCCAAACTTCGCAGCAGCTCCTCGACCTGTCCGGACAGTCCTCGATACCGAACCGCCTCGGCATCTCTCTCTCGTCGTCAGTGTCATCCGGCTCAGGCGGCTCAAATATATCCAGGGCCTCCTCCGCGTCCCGGTGCTGCCGGTAAGTCATCCAGCAGCACGGCTCCACGTCTGTCTCATCAATCCCCCAAAACGCCAGCTCCTCCTCGAAGAGGGGCCCGCAGACATCTGCCGGGCAATGCAGCTTCCCGGTCCTGTAGTAGTTCAGCACGTAGGCGAAGATGCCGGGGTGTCGGTCGAAGAAGAACTCGGTGGCACTCGGGGGCACAGGGGCGTCTGAGTCCGTGCTGACCTGCGTGTCCGGGTCTGCCAGCCATGCCAGGCGGGTCCCCGGCAGGGTCCTCAGAGTGCTCTTGTAGGTTTCATGACGAGTGCCACCCACATTGATGATAATTTTGTCCGAGTCCTCTCCTCTGGCCATCTCCTCCTTCAGACATGATTTGGACGGAGGTTTGTTGCCCGACTTGCGCCCTCGGTAAGACGAAACACACACCGAGCTTATCATCGAGAGGCAGGGACCTTACAAACTGGTGTCCAGTCGAACAAAAATCAGAAAATTAAGGAAAAGTGCGCCGTCATTTCACACACAAGTCCTTATGATGGCGGGAATGTCTCATTAATCAAGAAAGAACAGCCAAACAGGTTACAGAGAGACGCTCAATAAACCCACCTGTTACAGAAAAAGCGGATCCGTGCTTTAAATGTTCAGCAGCGTGACTTCATATCTTCAGATATTTTTGGACATTTCCCTGCTCTTAAACTTAAGGCTGTTGCTTATTTTATTTTATTTTATTTTATTAAGAAACTGTCTATAACTCACGCGCTCAACCTGAGTAGCTCCACGTTAGTAACACTCCTCCCCTTTTCTCAAAAACATCACCAAAATTCAGCGACGCTAAAGCCCTCTTTAACTATTCCTGACAACTTTTCCCGTCCTCACACAACAGGAAGACACCTGATGAAAAGACGCTCGCGCGCCACGCAGTGAGATATTCCTCGAGACCTCCCTTGCTGAAGACGCTCAGCTCGCGCGCCATGCAGACAGATGTGGGCTTGTTTTCCAGCTGGAGATCTGTTGCTTCTCCACAAGTAGCCTATCTTCCCTTAGCGACACAGCACGGTTGGATGGTGCGCTCACCAACAGGCTCAGCGGTTTAACCCTTTGGTTGTTGGTGGAGGCTGGCGCAACGGTGAACCACTCCCTCCATCACACAGAGAGAGGGAGAGAGAGATGCTGGTTAAGTGTGTGATAGTGAGTAAAAGAGAAAGGAGAACCGTAACTCAAATAATTCATTAAATGTCAAATGACCTTCTGGTATAGACTCATTATACAGGCGAATTCAGTTTTGCATCAACACAGGAAAATTTACCTAAGTTAAATATATATAAATATATATAATAAATATATTCAATTTATTTACTAAAATCACAGTTCTGAGCTACTGTCTGCATGTTTCGGATGTTTCCCTGCACCAACACACCTGATTCGAATGATCAGCTCGTTATCAAGCTCTGTAATGGCTTAATAACGAGCTAATCATTTGAATCAGGTGTGTTGGAGCAGGGACACATCCAAAACATGCAGGACAGGAGTGAGCTCGAGGACTGGATTTGAGAACCACTGGCAATAGATGTAGTTGTCCATTAATAAGGTGCACAACTCCTACCCAGACTTACTTAAATGATCAATTTTGATGTGTGAGTATAGACAGAGTGTTAATCTGGAATTACAGCACTCAAAAATCCAAGTTTGTTTCTTTCTTCTTTCTTCGTCTGTGTCTTTGAAACTCCAAATTATGATCCAACAGGTCGCTCTGAGACCTCCACTATGTTCATAACTTACTTTTAACTCAAGACTGCCACCTCGTGCATACTACAGTAAACAACACGTTGGAAACACATTTGAAAGACTCATCCTGCACTGACAGATTAAGTTCATTTTTTTCAACGTTGAGGGTACTCACCTAAAAACTATCTGTTAGCCTAATTTAAATCAAACTACATTTAGATTAGTAAAATTATGCCTATCATTTTGCATATCAAAGTCTGTTAACAGGTAGGCTAGGTATAAAAATCAAAATCTTTTTACCTACCTATTGACCTTGCCTATGTTTAAAAAATAAACAAACAAATAAATACATTTGCTACTTCTATAGACTGTTTGTTCAGGTCTCAAATTAAGTTGGACCGGAAGGTAATAAATTTGAATATGCAAACCTATTGGTGATGTGAGGTTCATAAATGAGTTCGCCAGACTTCATACAGATTTCTGTAACCAGACACTCATTTCATCCTTGACTAACAGCTTGAGGCTACATTAGCTACCATTAGCATATCACATTTGAATCATCCAAATAAGAGCTGCATCGTTGACAATGTGTAAACAAAAAGAAATTAAAATATAGGTGTGGAACATTTGGAGTTTGTTTTGAAATGAAAGAGGCAACTACATTTGCTTCAACTCAGGACACTATAGAAAAATGTCAGAGGCTGGAGCATTTCAGAAACAGTATTCAAGGTAGTTTAAGGCATTTTGGGACAAAAAATGAAAATCCATTATTTTTTCATATAATTTAATAGTCTTATTAGTGCTGTGAAAAACACTTATACTTGCTTGAGTGTATACCTTCAGTCACAAATAGCCAACATGTACTCTGATCATAGGATCAAGCTGTAAACTAAGATCAGTTCCCATGTTTGCTCAGAGATGTTGTCATTGCGTTTTGTTTGTTTGTTTGTTTGTTTGTTTGTTTGTTTGTTTGTTTGTTTGTTTGTTTGTTTGTTTGTTTGTTTGTTTTTTCAATATGAAGTGGCCCAAATAGGATGTGTTGAATGTTTTTGGAAGGTGAAAACTTGAACTTTAACTCCACAAATAAAGACTTCTGTCAAAATGTAATGTTTGAAAAGTTTTTATTTTATTTTAAAAAATCAAGAAAAAAGTGATACAGGTAGGATAACTCTAAATGAAGTTCCATTCATCCATCATGTCAGTCAACTTCCTCAATAGTGGGCCCCTGAGAGCCTCCGGCCTTGCTGCCACAGCCCCCAGATGGTGCTGCCCCCTGTTGGTACAGCTTTGTCACGATGGGATTGCACACCTTCTCTAGTTCTTTCTGATGATGCTCATACTCTTCTTTCTCTGCCAGCTGGTTGTCCTCTAACCAGGAGATGGTCTGTTTGCACTTGTCAATAACTGTCTTTTTATCTTCCTCACTAATCTTTCCTTTAAGACTGTCATCCTCTACGCTGCTCTTCATGTGATAGGCGTAAGATTCAAGAGAGTTCTTTGCTGTGATCTTCTCTCTCTGCATGTCATCCTCAGCTTTGTACTTTTCAGATTCTTGCACCATCCGCTCGATGTCCTCTCTGCTCAGGCGGCCTTTGTCATTGGTGATGGTGATTTTGTTCTCTTTGCCGGTGCTTTTGTCCGCTGCAGTCACGTTCAGAATGCCGTTGGCATCAATGTCAAAAGTTACCTCCACCTGTGGCACACCTCTCGGAGCAGGAGGGATACCTGTGAGTTCAAACTTCCCCAGGAGGTTGTTGTCCTTTGTCATGGCCCTCTCACCCTCGTACACTTGGATCAGCACACCTGGCTGGTTATCTGAATATGTGGAGAAGATCTGCGTCTGCTTGGTGGGGATTGTGGTGTTTCGTTTGATCAGATTTGTCATGACTCCACCTGCAGTCTCAATGCCAAGAGACAGGGGAGCCACATCCAGCAGCAGCAGATCCTGGACGTTCTCTGAAGTATCTCCCATAAGGATAGCAGCCTGGACTGCTGCTCCATAGGCCACAGCTTCATCTGGGTTGATGCTCTTATTCAGTTCTCTGCCGTTGAAAAAGTCTTGCAGGAGCTTCTGGATTTTGGGGATCCGGGTGGAACCACCAACCAAGACAATTTCATGGATCTTTGACTTGTCCATCTTAGCATCTTGCAAGGCCTTCTCCACAGGCTCCAGTGTTCCCCTGAAGAGCTCAGAGTTGAGCTCCTCAAAGCGTGCCCTTGTAATGGAAGTGTAGAAGTCAATTCCCTCAAACAGAGAGTCGATCTCAATGCTGGCCTGGGTGCTGGAGGACAGGGTCCTCTTAGCTCTCTCGCAGGCGGTGCGCAGCCTCCTTACTGCTCTTTTGTTCATGCTGATGTCTTTCTTGTGCTTTCTTTTGAATTCCTCCACAAAGTGGCTAACCATACGGTTGTCAAAGTCCTCCCCCCCAAGGTGAGTATCCCCTGCTGTGGCTTTCACCTCAAAGATGCCATCCTCAATAGTCAGGATGGAAACATCAAATGTGCCTCCACCTAGATCAAAAATGAGCACATTGCGCTCTCCTCTCTTGCCTTTGTCCAGGCCGTACGCAATGGCTGCTGCTGTGGGCTCATTGATGATCCTCAGGACATTCAGTCCAGAGATCACACCAGCATCTTTGGTGGCTTGTCTCTGGGAGTCGTTAAAATAAGCTGGGACTGTGATGACAGCATTTGACACCCTCTGTCCCAGATAGGCCTCAGCAATCTCCTTCATCTTTACCAGCACCATGGAGGAAATCTCCTCTGGAAAGAAAGCCTTGATTTCCCCTTTATACTCCACCTGGACTTTTGGCTTTTCATTATCATTGATCACCTTGAAAGGCCAGAGTTTCATATCTGACTGGACAACAGAGTCCCTGAACTTTCTCCCAATGAGCCTCTTGGCATCAAAGATTGTGTTGCTGGGGTTCATGGCAACCTGGTTTTTGGCAGCATCTCCAATCAGCCTCTCTGTGTCAGTGAAGGCCACATAGCTGGGAGTGGTCCTGTTGCCCTGGTCATTGGCGATGATTTCCACTTTACCATGCTGGAAAACTCCGACACAAGAATAGGTGGTGCCCAAATCAATGCCAATGGATACTCCCTTAGCTGAAGACATCTTGTTCTGTGCTCTAGATTACCTAGAAAAAGATCAGGGAAAATTACATTTCAATCGTTAATGCTACACACAATGCAAAGACTGTACTTGTATTATTTAAGTCCTTTTACCAACATGTATCTATAACCCAATGGCAGACATGTTTTAAAATGCTAACCTGTTGATAGGGATGTGGTTTAGTACAGTCGCACACATCAACAGCTTTGTTCCCGTGTGTTTTTTCTCATCCACTTATTAAATTCAATCCCTTATAATTGCCTACTTACACAAAAATAAGAAATAGATTCTATCTATGAGGGGATCCTTTCACTCCTTTTATCCATGCATTCTTAAGATCAAAGAAATCTGTGTTTATTGATAATGTTCAAAACCTCAAATTTTAAGTTATTTTAAGTTATTTTTTCTTTATTTAGATACTCAACTTAAGTTATTTTTTTAGTGTGGTGAAAGAATAACGTCATTCATTTATGAATAAAGTTAAGAAAGCTTAAAAAAGTAGGGGATGAAAACAAATCTTTAGCAGGCACCTTGAACAGAAACAGACTGTCTCACTATTTCATACTAAGAGAGCAAAGTCCGTTAGTTAGTTTCTTTTCTTACTTACTTCTTGGTGTGAATGTCAAAGATGTTGAAGGCTCTCAGCAGAGTCCCTTGCTGTCGTCTCCTGTGTGTTGCTTCTTTGCCTCTGTGTGGTTCCTCTAATGCCTGCACTACCCCGGCTCATTGCTTTTATAGGTACTACTCTGTTTCCAGAAAGCTCCAGCCCTCCCTCTATCAAACCCCCTCAAGCCCCCTCCTTGCAGCTCCATGACTCAACTGTTAATATTAGCAGCTAGTGCAGCTGGCCTGGTGCGCGAGACATGGTGAATATTCCAGAGCAGGAGAGCAGTGACACTCTGCGGGAAGGGCTGACTACAGGGCAGCACAATGTAGTAAATGTGGCATGTAGAGGTGAAAATGTTAGAGGCCTTGAATATGAGCTTAATCTAGAGAAAAATATATATATACTGTAAAAACCTTTAAATCAACAAGCAGAGGAGAGACCTCTAGTTTTGTTTTGCTGCAAGAAACACAACACATTAAAAATCTATTATATGGATTCGCTTTATTGCTGATTTGATGCATTATTTTACATACATTTTATACACTTATGCACTTTGATCACACAAAATATAACTTCAGGTGACACTGTTGGATCAAATGACGATAGCAACAATCATATGGCAAACATAAATTCTAATATTTTCCTCAACTTATAGCTCACACATCAAAGTCATAATTAATACAAGAAGCAGTGAAGGGAAGACATAAAATGACGTGGTCGAACAAAAATAGGGGAATGTTTGTATCATTAAGGTCAGTGCTGATATTTATGAGTTGTAAATTATTAAAAAGGCACATTAATACCATGGCCTTGAAGGTATTATCCAGTCAGAACACATTAAAACGAACATTTGCTCCTCAGTCACACATACACAAACGTCTCTGAAGAAAGGAATGGACATTTGGTATTAAAAGAAAGGAGTTACACTTTCCAGCTTGTTCTCAACCCCTCCAGCTTTTCCTTTTAAGGATCATCATCTTCACAACACCATCACATAGCAGAAGAAGACTTCTTTGTTTTAAGATCATTTAAGAGATGAGCGTTGAATGCCAATACCTAGAGTCAGGAATTAAAAATGCACCTACCCTTACACAGGTTGTTAAAAATTCATCTTAGATAAACAACATGGATGATACTGTTTATAAAGCAAGTGATACATTTAATCATCATTGGTTAAAAGCATGACTGGATGGTACCTTTTCAAGCATGTAGGCAGATAGTATTCAGTCAGTTGAGTTAAAAGAGCTTTTCAACATTTCTAACATCATTTACATGAAAATTAAGTTCTTGGCTCAACCTAAACCTTCATTAATGGAATGTACTCTGAAAATCTTCAGACACAAAATAAACGGTAACATTCCCGTTCCTGCGGTATCCTTTGGCACTGTGCATAAGCAGGGTAAACAAATGAATCAGTAACTTTGTGATCAGGTAAAAGAAGTGACTAAATTAGCACACACACACGAAAGCATGCAAGCAAGCTTTTCTTATAACACGTGACAAGACATGTAAAATGTTAGTTAGCAATACATCTAATGTTTCCTACTTTAAATGTTTCCTGTGTAACACTATGTCTGAAGTGCTATTAATAAGTTACATTCAGCTTAAGTAAAATAATTCCTTCATTTTGTAGCAATTGAGAAAATAAAATAGATATCTCTGTTTATCCAGGGCAACTGTGTGTTGAAGATCTCGCCGTCAGACACTCTTATTAATACCTGTGGACAAAATACAGGGTTAATTTTTTCTAGTTGATCTTTGGTACAAATATGTGATGCTGTATGTCAGTGATAAGGGGTTGATTCAACCTACCTATAATAATTAGGTTTGAAGGGGCCGTTCTTGTTAAGGCCCATGTACTTGGCCTGCTCGTCAGACAGCTCTGTCAGGTGGGCGTCAAAGTTTGGTAGGTGCAAACTCGCCACATACTCGTCTAAGGTAAACAGATATGAGTGGATTCATCGGTTCAGTGCATGGTGTAATGTCCAGATCAAGTCACAGGATGGCAACAGTGAGTAACACAAATCTGGCTACCATCAGAAACTGTCCACAACAAGAATTTAAAACTGAGAATGTAAAGGTTTCAGTAGAACATTCTTGAATAAATAACAGCCTGAATCTTTTTTCTTACCCATCTTCTTGGGCAGGAGGTACACATCCTGTTTGTAACGTCCTTCTGGAGCATTGAACAACTCGATCAGGGCCAGGGCCTACAGACAAACAAGACCAGTCGTGATTGTCTATCTTTCTTCAGAAGAATATTAAAGTATCTGTGAAGGAGCCAAAGAGGAGCCATTCACCTGAGTGGTAGCAGTGATGGACAACACAAACGTGGGCACTGTGGAGCAGCTCAGGTTCAAGAGGCGACCCTGAAGAACAGGAGGAACAAAGAACAGTTAGATGAAGAAAGTTGTTATACACATAAACTGTTGCATACTCCAGCAGCAGCATTTAGAAGATTTATAAAGACTCAATGAGGGTGCAGCTTCTGGATGACCTCCAGAGGAAATGGACTGTGTTTTACTGCGCCTTCTCTTGTCTTCTGACCACTCAAGAGCCTTTTCACTGCATTTCACATTCACCCATTCACATCACATTCATACATCAATGGCAGAAGCTGCCGTGTAAAGTGAGCAGTATTGATCAATCCCATTCATATCTCAGGCACAGCCAGTTAAAGCAGATTCTGGGGTTAAGTATCTTGCCCAAAGACCCTTCATAATGAAGGACAGCAGGACCTGGTGGTCACAGCAGCCATTTTTTTTATTCAAGAGATATAAATGCTGCAACTGCAATACTGAGATGTGTGTTGATGCATTTTCATCTTGCAGTTTAATGAAGTCAGACGTAAGATTGTAAGTGACACAGTTTCGAGTGTGTTACCTCTGCAAGCATCACAACCCTTTTCCCATCGGGCCAGATGATGTGGTCCACCTGAGAGCGGACCCTCTCCCAGGTCAGCTCAGGGCTGCGAAGACTCGCCTGAGGAAGAGAAGACAATTCAATCCAACAACTGTAGTGGGAATAAAGACAGATTAAAAGGGTGATAACAAAGGGGTGAGGATGTTGATGATGACATCTACAGATTTTCTTGATTAACGTTAAGACATTGAAGACACAGAAACTTAAACACGTGACATTTAGGACTTTTTTGGTAGTATCCAATCAGAAGAAAGTAAATTAAACATGGTGAAGAAGATCAAATCAATGATAAGACGTAGACACATTACCACGTCAATCTCAGTGTTGGAGTGACCCATGTTGCAGACGATGCAGCCATTTTTCATCCGGTCAAGCTGTTCTCTTGTCACCACGTTTTTGTTTCCTAATATGGAAAAAACACTCATCCGTGAAAGAGCAGTGATGGCATGATTGAATAGAGTGAGATTGCAGATGAAATCAGAAATCAGAATAAAAGCATCTGTTCCTGTTCAAAGAATTAACTCCAAACGATGTGTCAATCTGACTTGTGATTACAGCCACATGTCCAGCAAAAAAGAAAAAAAACCCTGATAGTTCTGGGACTGAAATTGTGTTTTTGGCCTCAAACTTTGATATCTAAGTGAGGCGTGAGCTCATTCGCTGGATACACTGTGACTGTCAAAGCAGAAGTAATGTTTGTCACTGCAGGGATGGGGGAGTACCAGTGCAAGTTATCACCACGTCCATCTGTCGGATCACCTCACTCAGCTTGACCACTCGGAAGCCGTCCATGCTGTATGAAAACAGAGAAAGACGCTTTCTTTATTTAAGCAGCTCAACAAAAAAAAAACACTCTGATGAGTAATTGTCTTGAGCGAACAGGATGCAGAATGTAAAGACGGAAGCATATCTCCAGGAGCACATTAACAGAGCAGGGCTGAATGTTAATGGATGGTGACTCACCATGCCTGCAGAGCACAGATGGGGTCAATCTCTGTGATGCACACAATGGCTCCAAGAGCCTTTAGAGCAGTGCAGCAGCCTTTCCCCACCTACACACACACCACAGGACAGAAGTTGGAAACAGAAACACACAGTTAAACACAGATCTGTCGCACCTTTAAAACAGTATCTTCATTTTATACAACAAAAGAATGATTCACCTCTCCATAACCGCACACTACGACTTGTTTGCCTCCAAACATTATATCTGTGGTCCTCTTTAAGCTGGCAGAGAAAAGAAAGATGACACACTTTATCCATCTGTCCAACCCACAAAAAAAGAACCTGAACTGTTCACACTGTGAAAGAGCTGCTGAGGTGTGTATGCAAACAGCGGCTCTCTTATCTGGATGATTATTCTCCTCACCCATCCAGGATAGATTCACGGCAGCAGTAAAGGTTGTCGAATTTCTGTTTGGTGACGGAGTCATTCACATTCATGGCCGGAACGCACAACTTGCCAGCCTTCGACAACTGGTACAATCTGAGAGGACACAGGGGAGGAACATGTTCAGGCAGAGGCGCAAACACAGAACACATATCAACAAATAGCAATCCTGTGTGACCTTCTCCCTTTCCAGAGTGTCTGACTAATTGATTCCACTGAGAGTGGTACGTGCACAGCTGCAGTGACCTGCAGTGCCGCTCTGTCGTGTTTACACTCGTGCTACTGTCAGATCAGGGTGCTGACCTTTCAAAGCTGTCCTGTCACTCTATTGATATTGCTATTGCTTATATAACTGCTTATGGTACTGTTTGGGCTGACACTTTCATTCATCAGGAGGCTTGGCTCCCCTCCGTACAGCTCCACCTAGAGGGCAAAACCATGTTAACATCTCACGGAGAAAGATCCTGAAAGCTACAGTATATCAATGCTACAACAGTGAGTGTGGTAAATGTTTGAGTCTATTTTCTGTTCTCATTAAGTGCAGCAGTTTCAGAAATCATATGAAAGATAAGTGAAATACAATCAACATATCATGAAATATAAATTTTAATATAACACTAATTTAAGAGGTAGAAAAGGTGTGACAAATGTGATGTGATCTATCCTCATTTTACAATTAAAGTATTTTTATCGCTTTCTCGCGATCATTTTTCATTTAAGGTTATTCAAATGTTGACATTACAGGTGAGCAGAGGTTTGTCTTTTTACTTAATGGTTGTTTACTGAGTGCAACAGACAAGTCAAAGGTGTAAATTAGGAGAATAAATAAAAGAGAAATGCCTCATAGCCCAGACTAGTCAAAAATTATAACCACTATTCACATTTCTTCATTAAAATCAAAACCTAGATTTAAATTGATGCCAAAATTAAAAATATATATATTTTAATTTGTTTTTAATCTGAGCCCCATCTCACCTGTGCACCCCGGTCACACTCTCCTCCACAATGCCTCGCACCTTCTTAAAAACACTGGGATACTTCTTGTACACCCAGTGGGTTAAGTCTCCGCCATCATCCAGAATCTAAAATACAAACACAACAGTTAAAGATAACCTGCACTGTGATCGTGTCGTAAAGGACAGATAAAAGCTGGTGTCCGATCAATGGTCAGATTGTCAGGTTGATACCATATTGGCCTGCCAGCTCTCTGTGTTGACACAGCGATCGATGCACCACCAGAAGTCATCCTCTGACTCACCCTTCCAGGCAAACACAGGCACCCCTGCAGAAAAAAACACACACACACACACACACACACGTCATGGCAAAGACAGATAACAGAGGAGGAACCAGCTTCATGTCCAACAGGTCCATGAGCACATGCATGGATAATGGTTGCCTTTCACTTTCAAGTGAAGTGTTCACTGGACTAAACTCAAAATCAAAATAACTGCAACAGGAATTTTTCAAATGCAGTGTCACATTGAAATGGATGAGTCAAATAGCTGGAGACAGATTTAAACCTCACAGTCTGGGGTTCGAATACATCGTCAGACTAAATCTATTAAATAAAACTTTTTTTCACGTGTACTGATTTTGTCTTTCATCCTTCTATTTGATATCTGATGACAATTTTGGTCCATAACACCGATGGTCTGACTTTCTGATTGAACTTGGCTATAAACAGCTATCTTGCAAATAAATTAGCATCCCATAATAGTAACATTTCAAAGGAGAGGATCTGACCTGTTTCAGCGAGAGCGGCAGCCACCTCATTCTGAGTGGAATAGATGTTACAGGCGGTCCAGCGACATTGAGCTCCAAGGGCCACCAGAGTCTCGATCAGGACCTCATTGGGAAAAAATGCAGAATATAGATACATGAACATGTAGCAGAGATGTAAAGTAAAGATCTAATATTCAGCAGGATGAGAGGACGTACTGCTGTCTGAGCGGTGATGTGGGTACAGCCCACTATCTTCGCCCCAGCCAGCGGCTTCTCTCCCTGAGCTCTCTTCCTCAGGGAGATGAGGGCAGACATGTCTGCAGGGGATCAAAGAGAGAAAAAGTTTGTAGGGTTGAAAGGTCAGCTACTGTTTTCACAGAATACAAAATTTACTCTGTCTAGAAGCCATGAAAAATAGAGACTGATTAATAAGCAGCATGTCAGCAACAGCTGTTGCTGCCCAGGCTTGAAGCCTGGAGAACACTCATCAAACACTCACTCCTACTTATCACGCGCATGAGCAATGTAAACAGCCAGGGAGACAGGAGTGGGAGAGGGGAGGAGAGGGGAGTGTACAAAAATCGCCTGAGATGGGAGATGAGGTATCACAGAAGAGGAAAATAACAAATGATGAATAGCTCTGAGACAAAGACCTCTGATAAGGTTTCCTGAACAACAGTGACCCAGCCCAAACCTGGGGTCGCAAGATTTAACGAATCATGAGAGGAGAATCTTTATCAGCTAGTGTCTCACCAGCAAACCAGACGCTGTGTGATATGTGAGAAGGAACAGAATCACAGCAAGTATTACAAAGCTCTCTTTATATAAATAGGATCAACAATACATCTCTTATGGCCTCTTTTCTGTATCACAAAAATCACAGAAGAAGAAGAAACTATGAAACCATCTTTGAACAAGTTTACCTCTGCAGGGAACTAACCCTGACTTTTGACTTTTGCCCTTTTGCTCAAATTTTCACTGCTAAAAATACAAAGTGCTCAGTTTACAAGCATGGAGATCTTTCTACAGTCTATGTGAAAACACAATTTAAGAGAAAAACATGAATAATCTCTGAAATCACCCTGTGCTGGTGAAGTCAGATGTACCTTGTTCTGCTATTTCAATTTCACGGCGACCAAATTCGGCCTGCTTGATGTTCTTGACGCAGAAGTCAGTGCTGCCGTGCGAGTTGACCTGCGCTTTGTCCCGGGGGGAGGTTTCATCGTCTGAGCTGTCAGTGTACGATGCAGCTGGGAAACAGAGAACATAAAAGGTCACTATTGTGGAAAAGCACACAAAAGAGCCAATTATGAAATATTAACTTCAAATCCACTGTGTCAAGCAGAGCATTTGTGTGTTTTTCCGTTTGTGTGTAGAAACTATACACACGCTTTGTGTGCAAAGAGGAGAACAATCATATCCAGACCAGTTTTAAGGCTGATACTGACATAGATATTTGTGAGTTTTGAAGATATAATATTAAAAATTTTTGTTTTTTTTTCTTGTGGTTGCATAAAGTACTCGTTAATAGAAAATTTCAGCTGAGCCACAGAAGCAGGGTAAAAGCTAGACTGTCAGTCGCAGCAGTCTGGGTTAATCATACCATGACATTTCACTTATTTTAAAGCAGCCCCACTCAAACACCACTGTACAAGTGTTTCAGAGCTGTACTTTGCCTTGTTTTAGCATGATTTATGGACCAGGCAGCACAGTGATCAGCGGTTACGGTCCACAGGCTTTGAAGAGAGTCAAAAATACTCCTATCACGAGTGGGACTTGGTAACAAATCAAAGGATACCAGTGTGCAGCCTTATACGAAACATGGCTCTGTCTGGTTTTGTTGAATGAAGACACAACCTCTGCTATGAGCCGCAAAATAAAGGGACTTCTCTAAGGGAAAATAAAAGGCTAAAGTCTTTTTTTTCTCTCTTTTACTCTATATGAGCTTTAATATCACTGTTTGTTTTATATGCTGCATTATAGGGTGGTTGTGCAAATCTCATTCTAAAAGATACAGCTCGGTTAGAGGTCCTGCAATGATCTGAAACTCTGAATGAAGGTGAAATCACTGGTACAGGTGTTCAGCAGAGTACCTGAGCTGTAGCTGTCTGTCGAGGACTGCGAGATGGAGCGAGAGAGGGAGCGCCGGCCTGCCTTGGTGGGGTATTTGCTAAACTCTTGTTTGTCCTCTGTGTTAGCAAACTGGATCTACGGAGGAAAAAAAGCACAGCAGATTAACATTTAATGTAAACAGAATACAGATAAAACTGTTTTTGTGTTCTTGTTGATTTTTCTATCAACAGTGAAATCGTGATGTTTCCCCTTTAAATCTTGATTTGCTTTGATTTTGCTGTTTTAGCAACTGAAACTGTCAGAAGGTAAATTGCCTGAGCCTGTATCAATAAATCTCAGGTGGGTGAGGTAAGATGGGGCAGCAGCTTATTTTTAGATGTTTGTCCTGCTTCGTGTTTTATGCTTTGTTCAAACACACAGGCCTCAGTTGTTGCTCTGGTTCATCGTGTCAATCCAGCCCTTCAAAGAGCCCAAGATCAAAGACCCGGGACACATGAAGTGGGACAAACACACAGCCTGCCTGTTTTTTGTAAATAGCCTGTAACTCAAGATAATAGTCATCTGTTTGGGCTTACTGTATCAACAGACAGAAGTTGGACGAATACTGAAAACGATATTATTTAAAGCCTTTGGCTGGTGTGAGTTTGTGTCTATTTGGGGCTTGGCAGGCAATAGTTACTCTTACAATCTCACAAATACACTGAGTGTCATTTAAATACCCTGAAACTGTGTAAGTCTGGCAGCAAAAACAGAACAAGCAGACAGGGGTCAGCAAAAGACAAATTGAACCCTGAGGTTTTTTTTTTTTAAAGTAAACCAGGCCACTCAGGGCAGACCTCAAGGAGATACCAGTTTCAGTCTGACAGAGTAACAGGACTAAATTGTTCCAGACAATCATTAAAATTTCAGAGAAACAAGCTGTGGTGGGCTGCAGGCTGCCTCCACTGTGCTCAGACCTCTCTATAAATAACCAGCAGCGTAAAAAAAGACTCTGCTCTAGACAGGTTCACAGGTAGAGGAATTACTCAGCACTTTCCTCAAAGAGGAAGACCGCAGAGGGGTTTCAGGTCTTTGGTTTTCAGTCCACATTTAGTCTCCACAGAAGATAACATCTAGTCAACAGACAGGTAACACTATTTTTTAACTCACTTGTCCAGGTCAAATAAGGATGTGAAGTACTGAGATTATAGTATGTTGTATAAGAGAAAACCTTGAACCAATGATACAGTCAAATATCTCAAGACCTGATGTGACCTGTACCATCTGTACATTTCCAAGAAATCCAGCATTCATTGGTCAGTAGGGATGGACGATAAATTATTGTTTACGATATATCATCAGAAACATCTTCCATTATAAATATTTGCCATCTCATGATAAATACGATACATGCAAAATGATGACAGAAACGTGAGCGCCGGACTCGCGGAATAACAACCAAACATGGCCGAAGGTAACGAAGAAGACATTTCTGAGCAGCTCGTTACCGAACAAGGCTCCACATGAGGGATTTTCTTCAAGACTGGGGTTTAGATGAGTGCAAACAGGTATGCCTGACATTGGACAGTGGATCTGCTGCCGCTGTTCACTCTGTGTAATAAGAGTTTTCAACAAATGTTGAAAATGTTTCCACATTTGAGACTTGTCTGATGTCATTAGTTTTCTCTATAACCTACCACTCAAACTTGTAGTTAAGTTTCTTATTTGACTATTCCAACTATTCTCAAGACAAAATGAGTTAAAAATATAGATTGGAATTAAAAATATTTTTATCAAGACTTTCATCGTTATCGCCAGAATGGCAAAACTCATCGTGATACATTTTTTAGCTCATATGGCCCATCCCTGTTGGTCAGTGTAAAGTGTGCTGTTTCAAGTCCAACTCAAGCACTAATGTTGTGTCTCTTGTTTTAACACAACATCATGTCACATCATTAAATACCATATCAAGGTATTAAGGACTCTTAAACCTAGGTTATCATTGTTCATGAAAACTATGAGAATCAAATGTGAAAAATATACACAGTTACTGACACACAAATCAAAACAAGGCTTTGCAATTAAGAACTACAAATATCTAAAAGTGTATTGTAGCCTGTGTTTACAAAACAAAAGAGTGAGGACAGGGCAGACGCCGTCCCCCGCGCCTAAATGTCTGGAAAAATCCTGAAAAGGTATCCTCCTGTCTGCTTTTCTCATAGATAAAAAACTATCACATGCCGTCTCTAGTGTCCTTTCAGTGGAAATCATATGAACCCCCTCCCACAGATGCCCTTACAGTGGACAAAAGAAAAACAAATGCCCTCTGGGTGCCCTTTGGAAAATGTTCATTGTGATAATGTTATCATACTGACACTGTACTTGTTCGTACAGGACGTTAAGCACTACAGAGCCAATCAAAAGTCTTCTTGTTACTAATTTCCTGTCCTATATTTGATCTACTGTCACTTCAGGTGGGAAAACTAAGTTATTATTTATTTAAAAACAACTCACCAAGGGATTCAACAGGCTGAAAGAAGAAAAACACTGTTGAAAGGTGATCACCTAACCTGACACACTGACCATCAGAACAAAGAGGGTGACCTCTAAGTCAATCATACTCACAGTAAATCCATGCTGTGTTGCCTCATCCCTCTCAGGCATCAGGATTTATCACGCAGACTTAATAAATCTTATTTTGCTGATGATCTTTTCCTCATTTCTAGATCATACTCAGACACTATTTTTTCTGCACATTCTTTACGTTTAAGGTAAAACTCCTCACAGAATCTTTATTTGTAGTTTTATACTGAAAGGTCAAGTGTGTCTGCAGTTCTGCCGATAAAAACCTCAAGGTTCATTTACGGTGTTGTTCTTATCCTTCAACGCTCGCTCCACTTCACTGATGTCCAGTTCAAATGTCTGCACAAAGTGTTCACTGTCGCACCCTCACTGGATTTTCATGTCCCCTTATTTTAAATGTCCATAGTATGTGTTTGGACCACAAACTAACTCACCAGCTAGCAGAGTTGACACAACACAGAGATGATAAATCCAGCAACACATAAAAGCCTGACCCACAGCAGTGAGATGAGTAACATTCAAGTGTGACTGTACAGTGCACGTTTGGACATCCAACAATCTTGTATGATCATTAATGGTCTTTAAGTCCAGTGATTTTATAAGGAACAAACTTTAGAGGAATACTTACTCCAAATAAATTCCGCTAAATAAAGTGTTGAGAGGATGTTATCAAACTACAGGAAGTCCTAGTTGATGAATGTGGTTCCTTTGACTTGTAACATCATTTATCCTCTTTAGAGAAAATGCCTGAACACAGTGTTTCAACACTTAAATTGTAGATTCTCACCCAAATTGAAAATGACAGCTTTGATTTCTGTTCCTTTAATACTGAAGTCACAGACAGAAACAGCAAAAGCTGAAAAGATTCCCTGAAAAGATTTCATTCCCCCTCGATCCTTATTTTATGCACAGTAACCGTTTTTTTTTTTTTTTCAACCATCTACTGTGTCAGTACGAGGAAACTCAAGAAGCTTGTGAGACAGTGTGAACTCTGGAGCTCTCTGCGTGTCTTTGTTTTCGCAATCAAGAGTTGGCTCCGTCTCACACACTCGCAAAATACTTATTTTATGTTTCTGAAGTTTCAGCATAGGTGCTACACTGTGTTTTTCTCTGCTCTTGAAAGACATGAAAAACAGACTCTTAAGGAAAAAATTAGATAAACGAGACTTTAATTTGATAGATTTGACACTTCTTTGTTGCTTTAAAGCCCCAGTGAGAAATTTCTGGTTTGTGTTGATTTTAGTGGCCCTTGTGGATCGAGCAGTATGGTTCACCTTTTTTGCTCATCCCGCCCTGGACATGACAAAAACTCTCATCCTTCTTTAATTCAAGAATCTAACATGCACTGAAAGTGAATTTCTGGCATTGAATAATTAAAAGAAAACTGTCTAGGCAGTGTGGTGTTGAAAGTCCACTCTACCTCCACGCATTTATACTCACTTTTAACTCATAATCTTTTCTCTAATGGTCTTAAAAATATGTTCTGTTCACCACTTTGCCACTCAGTAAACTATGCATAGGTGAGTTGAGGTCATATGTGTGGCCTTCACTTTTTGAGGAGACAATCATTCTTTCTCTTTCATTTCATCTCAAAGAAAAACACCTGCAATAAAGTGCTGAAAGAAGACAGTAAAGCAGCCAAGAGTGACTTCATCATATCTGTGTGTGAAATATAAGTATGCCTGCTGGATAAGCTCCAGGTGTTGCATTAGCAGCAACTCACCCTTTCTCTGCTGTGCCCATGTTTGTGTGCCATGTCTGCCATGTCTGCCATTCTCTGCCCGCTCTTTCTCCCTCCAGGTCTCCAGCCTACCTCCCTCTGCCTGTGTGTCCTCTGTGAGATGGTACTATGTGTCTCTGATGCTATTATCCCAGAACACTCCCAGGACGGGCTGGGGGGAGGTTCCCACCTATTATCCTGATTTCTAATGGCCAACCTGGGGAGAGAAAGAGAGAGAGGGAGGAAGAGAGAGAGAGAGAGGCCTAAACAGAAGGGGGGTTTAGTCCAACTGAGCTCTCTCTCTCTCTCTCTCTCTCTCTCTCTCTTTCTCTCTCTCTCTCTGACTCTGCCCTTGACAACCAGCTGCTGAAGTCAGTGGGTTGTATTTTAGGATTAAATGCTACAAAATAAAATTTACATGAAAACCGTAGAGCTACTGAAAAGAAACCCAGAGTAAATCACAAATTCACTTAAACAAACCAAAAAAGAAAAAAAAAACAGTTGCTGCACTCCAGATTTAAAGTTCCAAATAAAAAAGGGATTGACAGGGCAAATTCAACGCTGTTTCCATTAGCCTTCTGCTGCATCAATAAGCAGCCCATCCAGTCCCATCCTGCTTCTAAAAATACCTTTTCTCTCTCAGATAGCAGGCCAGGTCACAGACTTAAGCTGCGGTGTGGCTGTCAACTGGCGGCTGTCAAGGGTTCAATGAGGACCTGGCATAAGGTGACATTAACTACTTAGCCAGGCACCACTAATGCTCTACAGCGCCATCTAACAATAAGGACACTACGACTAATCCACAGATCTGACTGCTTACTGTAGTTAAGTATTAACATGTGAAAAACAGATGGTCTGAAGTACCCCTCTGAAATTCACCTCAGGAAAATCATGGATCATGTGATGCTCGAGTAGAACTTACATTACTGACACTTCCTTTTTCCTGCAAAAGCACCTGTTTAGATCAACACATGCATGTCGGATTACACAGTGTTGTGTCAAAAACATAAAGACTGCTAATCCTTCCTCCTGAACTTAGTGACCTTTAGCTGGAACTATATCTTCCTCTTTTCCCCATACATCCAGTCTTCAGTGAATAGTACAGTAACTTTAAACCATAATTTCCAAACAATCACAAGGACATGAAAGCCTATTGGCTAGAGTATCATTTTCTGTCTGAGACACAGAGAGCTAAAATCAAAGGCAGTAGTTAACCTTGAGAGATCCTCTTTATGTAGCAGTGGTAGAGCTGAAATTTCTCAGTATGGATGTGTTATATTTCTCAGCCTATGGTGACTTTTCTCTCTGTGCTTATATTCCTCTTACTGTGGCAAAAACACTGCACTTTACTTTACTTACACAGAGTATGGGAGACAAACTTTAATTTCAGCTAGAAATAAACGGTTAGCAAATATGATTTTTATTCATTCATTCAGTCGCAGCAGTCGGAGTCAAAATCCTGTTAATCAATAAAATATGTTGGTTATAAAATCTGTCAGATCACCTTGATAAGTTTTTGTTTTCAGGAACAGTCCTGCAGAAGACGAGAAAAATGACCGAGAAAATGAACCCATGAAGTCTTCACAATGCCTCCAGATGTGTCTCAAGGTACATCTTTAACACTAGGGGTCATCAAAGTCACAAAATGTTAAATTCCTTTTTTAATTAATGCGTTTGAAGGATCTGATTTGAATATTACTTTAATACCTTTCCCTTGTCCTATATCAGGAATGTAAAGCCGAGGCGGTGGTTGGATAATGTCCCATTACTGTTATTACAAGAGACATAGCTTTGTATTCTACACATAGACTGTATATAAGATGGACAGAGTCTGCCTCCGCGCTGGGTGAAGCCACTCCGAGAACAGCACCCTCTGATGGTGGGCTGCAGTACAGGTCATAAATCCCGCCTCCGCCAGCAAAGCTTATGGGACTGTGGACAAACTTTAGAAATTTATTACACAGAACATACATTTTTCTCCCCCCTGCTTGTGATGTTGACATGTATTTATTGTAAGACTGGTTTGTGTCCAAGTCCTTTTTGGATATTAGTTATTAGGGGGTTCATGTTTTCTATGATTGACACCTGATACAGCCTATGGGCGTTCAGGGATTTCGTAGCTCTCCCGGGGGATACGCTGTTTGAGCCGAGCGTCATCACAGGGACTCTCGGCGACTGCGCGGCCGAATGCGCGCATCGCTACTGCGCAGCTCTGGTTTCAAGGAAGTGGAGAAAAACCCAGAATTACTGAGAGCTTTTTGGCTTCAAATCCGTATACAGGCGGAAGGCGGAACCAGGTTGTCCATCTTATATACAGTCTATGGTTCTACATAAGTAGGTTCTTACCGAGTAATTTCATTGGATAAGAGGCATTTCATGAGTATTGATATGGAGTATAACTGCACTAGGACTTAAAAACACCTCGTTCTAGTGTTCTGGGTGTTCATCAAGCAGCAAAATGACTTTATTAATATTGATTTATCTCACATGCCCCAATACAACTATAAATATACTTATCTTAACAGAGTGCATGTATGATAGTTAGAAAAATAAAGATGGATAGCCAAAATAAAAATTTTGCAGCAATTGTAGACAAACACAAAATCACAAAAAAAAAAAGCAGGGAGAGAGGTTTCATGTTGGTTGGACACACTTCAGGTCCAGTGAAGTTGGGGACCTAGTTATGCTGACAGATCCAAATGAGCAATTTAATTCGCAAAGACATAATTGCTCATGGCTTTTTTATTTAAATGCCATCTTCTTTATGAGCAGACACGGAGGCACATAAAACAACAGATTAAAAATGGTTTTTGATGCATGGTAGCCATACTAGTGCTGAGCGGGCTTAATGTCTCAATAATGAATTATTATTTAATCAAAATACAGTTAAAAAAGAAATGAACCAATGTCAGCTCTGTGGCAGCATCAACAGAATTAATACCTGCACAGTGAAAAGTTTGGTTGTGTGTATTTTCTTTCTTTAACCTTTTATTTCTAACTAATAATTAAAGAAATAGATCACAAGGTAACTGGTGAATGAGATTTGGTATATAGGCTCTGAGTTCACATCTTTATCTGACACTAGCCTGAGATCCATAAGCCATGAGAAGAGAAGTTTCATTTACCATACTGTACGTCTTGAAATTTTTCCACCCACCAGGTTTGCAAAGGGAGGAGAAACATGCCTCAGACCTTGATGAAAACCTGTCATGGTGTAGGGAGTCATAGAAGATGAGCAAATGAAAACTGCGTATGAATGAGACACATCTGAGGATTCATGAAAAACAGTCCTCAGTTAGGAGACAGAAATGATGAAGCATGAACAAACTCAGCGAGTCCCATTCCTAGGGCGGCATGTTGTGTAACTGCTGGATGGATGCGGAGAGGAGGCATGGTAGTGGTGTTCTTTGACTCACCCACCCACACGCTCACTCTTCCTCTTTCCCCCTCCCTCACTGACACTCACTCACACATTCATTTCACATTTTAATTTGTATTTACTGATTTTGTTCAGTACCTGACGTGATTCTGCACCAATCTCACTTTGACATGTGTACTACTCTACTTTTCTATGCTGTGATTTAGGGATCTAATTAATTTGACCTTTTCTTCTCATTTGCAGTGTTTCTTTTTCTCCTTTGTTCTTCTTACATGCAAACAGGTGGCACAGTTTGATTCAGGGCTCTCACGTTTATTCATAACACACCGCTTTGTTTTCATAAGTAGAGTGCACATTCCTACCATCCAATATGTTTTCAATCAGGCACCCTGAGGCGGTTCACAGTGCACATGTTATTGCCTTCAGACAGGAGGTCTGAGCTAATATTGTAAAGTCTGTGGGTCCTGCTGCTGGGAAAGTATATGTTTTTTTTATCCTGATTATTTTGTCATAAACCTGATGATATTTGTCTATAATAAAGATTTACACTTTACTAAAAAGACATCACAACATCATCTCCAAAGGTAATCATTTGAAACAGCTCCTGCCAATTTTTTTTTTAACATTTGTGAAATAGACAGAAATCAATGTCCAAGCCTTTCTATGACACCCAAAAAGCAAATAAGATCATTGTGGACTGTATTCATCATTTTTATATCATAATTTTTAATGCCTGGACCTGATGGGAAGGGGAAGGTGTCAGGCAGGCGGCTGAAGAAACAGACATGTTTTCACACTTTACACAGAAATGATTCACAATGAATGATGCAGTGATGTCAAAAGTCAACAGCTTGAGATTTTTGGTCAGAAGACAATGGTTGAGCATGTAGAGGACAAGATAAGCAAAGACTGCTTTGTCCACAGGGGGCGCCAAAATTAACACAAACCATAAGTTACTCAAAGGAGCTTTAATATGAGGACCACTTAAAAGTGTCGAATTTACACAAAGTCACTCAGTTAGCATTTGTAAGTGGTAAAATTGTTTTTAAAAGAAGTTTTTCTGTCATCTGGCACCATTCTCATGCTGCATGTTAAAAGTCCATATGACAATGGCTGTGATGGTAACTATAAATGTGCATTCTGTACATCCTTGTTTTTGATTTAATTAAATGTATTGGGTTTTTTTCCCTCTAATGGTATCTTAAATTTGTATCTGGTGACAGGTACCAGTATTGGCAGCAAAATCTTTATTCAGTTACATCACAACACTTTCACATGCCTCCTGGTCAGGCTTTTGACCTTCAAATATTAGAGCATTTTTTTTCAAAAAGCCCCAGTATAAAGATTGATGATAAAACTATCTAAGTTAGTAAACTTTTCAACAGGTATCAAAAGTGCCAAAGGATGATCACCATGATCCAACAAGTGTAATAAAGCCCTAATGCATCAATACAAGAACAAAGGATGAAAAAGTCACAATGGTTTTCTTGTCAACAAAAGAAGAGAAACCCAAGAGTTCTCAACTTTACCGTCTGTTCCCTGGGCCCACTCTCTGCAGCCTGCTGCAATGCAATGTGCTAGATCTGTAATGATACTGACAGCCATCTCAAGGGAGCCTTTCATTACGATGATTGTTCGCTGCTGTTGTGTAACAGCCAAGAAATCCAAGGCCTTTTCTTACAGGTGCAACTTGTGCTGCATTTTTCATCAAGCTGCTCTTATTCCTCAGTGATGATGCCCACACACTTCTGCACAAATCAAAGGCTAACTAAACACAGGGATGAGTTCACGGAGGACAAATGTGATTCCTTCCGACAAATTAGAGTCTTTTGACCTTACACCTTCAAGAACTGAAGTCTGTGGCTGTAATTTGTGGCACAGTGCAATTCTTCAAACTGCAAAGCCTACACCTCTTTAAATAGCTCATACTTAGCGTGCAGACCCCTGTCTAAGCTCATGCATGTTGAGTATTTCTTTACTCTGCAGAGGCCTTGATTTAGAGGTTTAAGAGCTCAACTTGGCTTATAGTTGTTTTCTGCCTACATAATTTTGGCATGATACAGGCATTTGTAGAAACAGAGGGGGATTCAATAAGGAATGCTAAACATTAATCCAGTTTCATTTAGGATCCATGTTTTCACCTCCCTATTACAGTGTCAAAACAAACGTGAAATACTGAAGTAAAGGTCACCTTTGTAGCATCTCTTCTCATGGTGTTTGGTTTGATCAGACCAATGTCATTTTAACTTAGCAGCAGAGCTTGGGATGCTGTGGTCCCTGCGTGGGATAGCTGTAAAATGCAGCTCTCACTGTGACATGTGACGCTGCGGTATAACCCCCAACAATGCATTAACCTTCTCCTTCTGTCAACTTTGGGAAGAAAATACAGATTTTAGCTTCAACCACGGAGCAATGTCTACTTCACTGCAGTAGACTAAAACATGAAGGTGTCTGTGACAGGCTCATTTCCATTTTGCTGTACACAGCCAGCTCGTCTGCAGTTTGCCCGGTGTCAGTGACTGATGGCGAGCATCACGTTTCTTACCTTCTTAACGGTCTTCAGAGTGGGGACTGCGGTGAACGCTGCGGAGGGCATTTCCCCGACGTTCATATTCACATCACTGCTGTTTTTGCTCACAGTCAACGCCGAATATTTTTCCGCCACGTTTTCGGTCTCCTTCACATATTTCGTGGCTTGTTTAACCTCTGCCTTGCTATCCACAACCGAGTCGGTCATTGCATCCAGGTAGTGCCGATACAGTTACAGGAGAATTGAGTGCAGACTAACGGGGTTTCGCTTCCTATGCCGCCTTCTTGCTCTCTCTGTGGCTTGAAAATGACCGAAAAGACGCCGAAGCACTTCTGTCAGAGCTCACAGGAGACAAATAAAGAGGAGAGATGTGCCTGTTTTCTATTTTCTCTACTTTTTCAAAGAGCGATGCAAGCACTTGTTTCTGTCCTCCAGTTCTGCTGTCATCCACAGTGTTACATCTCCGGGAGGAGGGGGCGGTTTGTTGAGGCTGTCACCTGAGCAAGTGGGCAGTGTGTAGGCGGTGAACAGCCAGTCAGCGCCGGTGGAAGGGAAACGGAATAACAATGCCCGAGGCTTGTTTCTCATACCATTAAAAGCGTCTGTTAAGACAGGGGGGTACTACTAGGGTATAAAAAATATTCAACAGTAAAACTAGTGAAGCGGTATGCGCGTACATCACATGTTTCCATAGCTATCAGCAGAACGGTCACAGCCTCCACAGACTTCTGTCTCCTAGACAGTTGATAAGTTGTCCCGCCTACCTTTGTTTCTATTGGCTGACTGCTGTACCGACGTCTCTCTGCAGCGTCTGATTGGCTGAACTTGTTCGGGACAGTGCTTAACCTGCGAGGTATAGTCAAGACAAAGATGATCCAGTAGTCACATATCAGAGGGAAATAACATGGTTACATAATATTAAAATATATTACCGTAATGTGAGTTACACAACCAGCTCAAAAAGTAGCATTGATTTGAATGAAAACCTATGCAAATCAACAGCATGGGGGCGCCAGACTGTAGTGCTTATTCTGACGCTCAAGAAAAAAAATATATTGAAGTACTTAAACCCCCCTTCACAAAGCCATTTCAAATATTTGTTAGTTTGTAATATTACCAAATTCATTATCAACTGTTGAATAAACTGATATGAAGCATATAAAAGGGCAAAACACTACAGCCTTCATGTAGTTTCATTAGCATGCCAAAGAACAGCTCTTGCCTGACTATATCAGGACCAAATATAGGGAGAAAGAAACACCAGTAACCTCTAATCACATAAAAAATTTAATCCATATGTTTGATGAATTCAATGTCCTATTTTTTTTTATTACGGACATACTTGCAAAACTTCATCTGGTGAGTAAAAAACTGTGCTATCTAAAATGAAAAAAAAAAACAACAACACTTGGGTATACTCACCAATGAAGTAATGTCTACATGGAAGGAAAGTGTAGTATGAAGCCATCAAGTTATGTTTTATACAAACACTATGTTTATCCACAGAATAATAATAAAAAAATTCCTCCTGAAATCGGTCAAAATAGTATTACGCTGGGGAAGAAGAGACTTTATGTACAATATCTTCACATTGGTTTCACATTTCAGTTTTTTGTTCGGTTGATGTTAAATCTGTCCCCCACAGTACACAGACAAAAGGGAAATGTTTTAAAAAAAAACAAGGCATGACACAAAGATAAAGGACACAAATGTATCATTTACAATTGTAGTGTCCCTGAAATAATTATGTACCATTTACAAAAAAAAAGGAAAAAAAAAAACAATATTTAAAAGCAGACAAATTCTCATCTTGCAAACAAATCAGTTGGAAAGAATGGCTTCATAGTTTCCAAGTAACAAAAATCAATGTCCTCAATGTCCAAACAAATCCTCATGAGAATAAAAATCTAGTCTTATGTGCTTGACCAGATAAGACAAACGTGGAAGCATCCGCCACTTCAGGAGAGACGACCGAATAGAACTGCAGCCTCAGCTGCTGTGTGTGGCCAGCTCCATGGAAGACCAGCACAAGAGCGGGAAGAAGACAAGAGATACCCTAGTGGCAGTGCTGTGGTTGAAGGGAGGTTGGGCAGGTGGGTAAACTGGGGTGAAGACTCTCAGACAGAAGGAAGTGATGATGTTGGCTATGAGTGCTATGTGATTCTGATCATCTGAGCCACTGTCTCATCTGCTACTGCCTGGGACACATCCTGCTGCTGCTGCACAAGAGGAGAGAAGATTATTAGTTTCAATTAATAGGCCAACCAAGTCAAAATAATGACAGATTCAAGTAAAACGGCATCTTATTTCATTACAGACTGAAAACATTACCTGTGCCAGAGCCAAAGCCATTTCCTCCTTGTCTTTAGGTGAAAAGAAACGTCCTCCATCCCCTCGTTTACGCTGCATGGCATGACGGTGGCGCGACTCATGGAGGTATTTCTACAGAGTAAAAGTGTATAAAAACAAAATGAGCCAGGAGCCAGTAAAGAGAGAAATAAGAGCCTAATTAAAATGCATTTATCCAAACCAGATAGTGAGGAAGAAAACTCCCCTGTGCCAGCGTTTGTGTGGTCAAATTCTTACCCTCCTTTCTTTTGGAATCTTGCCCTCAGCCTCCAGCTTGGCTCTGGCCTGTCTTCGCTTCAGGATGCGGTGGTACTGTTTTGCATTGACATATAGAGGTTCCTCTTCAAGCATCTCAGCCCCTGGCAGAGGGATACGCTGCATTGTGGGAACTCCACCGCCTCCAGGCACCATCTGATAAGAGGATGAGACAGAAAACAGGGATGCAATGCTTAGGACCTCTCCTGCAGACAATTTAATTAGAATATATCCAATACAAGGTGGTTATCTAATAGAAATATTAAGTATACTATACACACAGCCTTAAGTTTAAAAGCTCTTCTTTAAGGTCATACACACTCACATTGGTATTCCCAAGTCATTCATTAAAAGACTTGCCAATGAGCCTTTACGGTAAGTTGAAAATTATTTATGTTACAACTGATAAGAATCCTCAAGACAAAGCTCTGAATTCAATGTTGATAGAAGGATAATAAAACTAAATAAAAGAAAACAGGTGTGGGTGATTGTAGGTGCTAAGAAGGGATAATAAAACACTCTGTATTTAACACAGTAAATGAAATACACTTGACCACAAATAGAATTTATCTGTTTATAGTGTACAGTCAAATGTAGGGTTAGTTCAATCATCTTTTCAATACAGTTTTCCAATTCTACAAACAGAATAAAGTATCATCAATATACTCTTGATAAATAGGAAATTTAATTTTACTTGCAGAAAATTACACATCTCCACCACATATGTAGAGTTTCAAGTGGGAAAGAGAAACAACAACACACACCCTTGTGAATAAAAAAAGAAAAGATAAGAAGATGCTGGGTACCTCTGCACAGGGTCTTACCATGACCATTCCACCTGCATTAACCATGTTACCGGAGACGGGCAGGGTGACGGTCACAGTGCCTTGGCCGCTGTTGGTCGTGTTGGTGTTGGCACCCCCTGCCTGCACGATCTGGGCGCCTGCCAAGCTGGCAGCTGGAATTGTAATCATTCCTACCAATAGATTATAATCACAATTATTATTCAAATAGACATCTCAACAGTGCATCGGATCAGAGAGTCTTTAGAGCAGAAGGCACACTAAAAACAAGAGAGAAAACTGAGTGTACCCTGCTGCAGCACGGTGCCATCTGCATTGACAGGCTGGTAAACAATGGTCTGTCCATCGGCTGTTTGTGCCACCTGTTGGCCTTGCACACTTATCTGCTGACCCTGTAAGACCACACAAGAGCAGAGCAACACTCAGTATTGACATCAATAATTTTAAGATCAAACGGATTGTTAATTGTGTTTACTGCATGAAACCTGGTTCTGTCCAGCCGTGATGGCAGTCTGGGGCTGCTGGATGATAATCTGCTGGGGCTGACCCTGCTGGCCCTGGAGCTGTAGAGTCTGACCCCCTTGCAGCTGGATCTGGCCCGGCTGCACCAGCTGGATCTAAACACAAGTGACAAACCACAGATGGATTTGTTTGTTGGGTTTTTCAGCCAGACTGTAAATTTTGTATGTTTCTCAAAAATCTAACCAGATCAGTTCAAACTCAAAATCTGATCTACAATAACAATGGTGCCTTGTCCTTTACCTGCTGTAGTCCTTGAGCTCCTGACACAGGGACCTGCATGATGGTCTGGCCTTGACCCCCTGACATGGCCTGTACCATTATGGGTTGTCCCGATGATGTGATGAGCTGCCCACCGCTCACCTGGACCATCAGAGGCTGTCCCTGGACCTGCAGAGAGAAAGACAAAGCTGTCACAGCAGCACTAAAAGGGTTTTCTACTTACACCAGAGTAACACTTGCTTGGGATTCACGCAACTGCAAGCAAATGATGGCACACGAGGAACATCCAGAACTGCACAAGATCTTAGATAAAACAATGTGATGATTTGTTGTAAATCAGTATTGGCAAGTACAAACAAAACAAATCTATAGCACATGGATTAATTATAAACCCTATAATCCCAAGTGTCTCTATAATTAATTTAAAACAAATCCTCCATCTCACTTTGCTGAAAAACACCAACAAGCACAATTGAGTCCCTGAAAATGTGATTTAAAAGACGTCAGTTAAATTAATCTATACATATGCAACTTCACTAACATGCATGTACAATGACAATAACAGATAACTTGTAACGTGCCTGTCTTTGTTTTATAAACAGTAACTTTGAACAACATTGGATAACTATGGGTTCCTTCTAACTGGCTTAAGTACTTGCTGTCAGTAACACAATTTTGATTTGTTACTTTCAATACATGGACCTGTGATCTTGAGATTTTAATGGGGCCTACCTGAAACAACTACTTGTTTTTGCATCATCTCTGGAACGTCAACAATATCATTATGATTGGATGTTTCTATTCACTGGGCTCTTCCAGACACTGAATGGAAAACAATCTCCTACCTCAGACATGAAGAGGAATGTGTTTGAGTCAGGAATTAAATTAAGTAGCATCACAAACTGGTGGTCTCTAGTTGTATTGCAGAAAAGGGTGACGAACAATGGCATTTTGCAATAAAACAAGAATAAAAAACTTATGGTGGTGACAAAAAGGTGACATTCCTGGTGTTCATTTTGGTTCTTTTTTTTTTTCCAACAAAATAAGCTTCCAAATGACTTAGGTATCAAATAGTTTTTCTCCTGATTGATAAGAACAACAAATGAATTGTGAAATTTGCTTTTAAAAGCATGAGACAAACACAACTCGGACAAACAGTAGTCTTTTGACAACTACGACAGCACAAGCGTAAACCCAAGGCTGACACACAACCACTGTGTGCTGAGGAACATGCAGTTCAGGCAGCTGCAAGACATGCGGAGTGTGGGGGTGGGGGGTGGACCAAACAGCACTGCAATGGGTCATGAAAACAGCCCTTGTTGGAGCATGCAAACTTGCAGGCTGCAACACTGTCGTGGCACTGACACAGGGCGGCGGTGACACCACTACCTGGAGTGTCTGCACCTGCTGGCCTGAGGCAGTCACCACCGGCGCCTCTGTTTGCAGCTGCACAGCGGTCACTGTGCCCTGTGTCTGCAGGCAAGGCAGGACAATACAGTTCCAGATAAGTAATGATCAAGAAAACTGAGTGATTATGGAGTCCACTGAACTGTTCTCCAGCTGGGCATCCTGGAAACTCACAAATAAATATTTGAAGGCTTGGCAGGAAAATATTCTCTCATCAAAATCAACATTATGAGGGGAAACTAACGCCTTACCTGCTGCTGGATCTGTCCATTGGCAGTCTGCACAACAATCTGCTCCCCTGTGGTAGTGGTGGCAGTGGTGTACTGCTCCATGGCTTGTTATTATCACAATCCTCTATGAAGACTGAGGAAAGAGACAGTATTGGCAATGAATGATGAGCAGTGACAGGCCATAACATAGTGAACACCCAGGGCCTCTGATGCAATCCCCCAGAACGGCTTGACTACAGATTTGACAACAAGTTTCTGATTTTTCAGCTTTTGCAGACATGATCTGAGAAAGGATGCGTGTTCTTTACACCTTAAGATGTAGAGGGTGGTGTTAGTGTAATGAGGAGTGTAATGCTGCAGAGTGTTCCTTATATTTTGTCCTCTTCATTACCAAACATGGAGGGGGGAAACATATTAGGAACACATTTCTTTACTCTCCACTTAAAAATAAGCACTTGCGGAAATAAACACGATTGTTTTGGGGTTTTGTCGTTGTTTGTTTGTCTTTCTGACATTACTGATGTCAGCCCATTGTTTCCGTGAGTCATTACTTATAATATTGGGGCCCTTTTTCTTCATATTTTTACGCGCCAACCGATGCCATAAAATGTAAAAAGCCATATTTGCATTGAGGAATCCATTTGCCAGCCCCGCGCTGTGTGATCATGTTCACGCCAGCTGCTTTCTTTCTCTAAACAGCATTTTTAACAAATACTACGAAAAGCTAACAAGGCTAGCGCTTATAGGCTAAAATGCGAGGTAAAAACGGACGACTTCAAACGTGGGCCAGTGAAGAGACAGACTGGTATCGCTGGTTCTGACTGGGTTGAGTGTTTTTATGATGTGCTGGGTGCATTTAGAGGAATTATTTACTGAGAGGTTGAGCATTTGGATCCACTCCTTTGTTTGAGACTATAGCAAACTAGCTCATGCTAGCTAAGGCTCGACGTCTACCAGAGATCATGTTTCCACTCCGAAGCCCACATCGGAGACTCAGACATATTTGTTGCCAAACCAGACAGAAACGCAGCGGTCCAAATCAAACCGACGGTCCATTTTTTGCACTTAGCAAGGTTAGTAATTTGGTTGGTCCATAGTAAACCAATCCGTGCTGACAACTACCAATGCCTTCAATAGGGTCTCCCTTACCGTGTCTCCGCTGTCCGGTTTCCCTCTGATTGGCTCTGCTGTTGCTCGCGGAAGCCCAATCAACAAAGTGAGCAGACAAAATGGCGCAAATGAAACAACGGCGCCTAGGAGGAGGTGCGTAGCTGCGTGACACATGAACGGAGAGGATGCGGTGTCTAAAGTGTCCAGCAGGCTGCGCTATTTAGCAAGTTTTACATATTTTGCTTATTTTATATGAATTCTCCAACCCAGCCCTCCCTCACCTTCTCTCTCCCTAAATAACAGTCACTTCTTCACATTCATGTGTATTTTCTAGATAGATAGATAGATAGATAGATAGATAGATAGATAGATAGATAGATAGATAGATAGATAGATAGATAGATAGATAGATAGATAGATAGATTCTTATTATTATTGCATATAACATACGCAATAATAATAACACATATCAACAATCTGCACCGAAACTCTGATCCTTTCATCAGACTCCTTTACTGTCTCAGTTGAGCCACTGTCTCAACTAACCCCTGGCCAACTAGTTCAACTTACCCCAGAACTACTATAATGACTTTATTAGTTCTCTAGGCCAAAACGGTGGATTTTTATGCTAGGTTTTTTACCTCATGTTATAGCTCATAGATACCACCATTGATGTATAAAACAAATTTCAAATGATCTTTTTTGGTCTGAACACAATTCTAATAAAACTTATGCCAGACTAAATTCACTTACATAGTGACAAATATATATATTTTTTAATATAAATGCCTAACCCCCTCACCATGTGCTTCTCACCTTCACAGACTCCATGAATTGAGGCCAATCTCCGAAATATTTGTTCACATGATCAATTTCTTTTACCATTTCCGAGCAACAGGGGGTGGATCAACTTACCCTTCAGCTTAACTTACCCTACCCTCCCCTACTAATTTAGTATACTAAATTTTCCCTCTGTTTCAGCAACATTAACATATTAACAAAAAAGCCTGTGAACCGTGAGTAGAATTTTTGGCATTTAAAAGCAGAATTCTCTTTTTATTATATCAAGGTCGGTACAATATTTTGTATCATGACGAACACTCCGTTCTGGACAGACCATAGACTACATATACTTTATTATATACTGTATATACTATATATACCATATTCTTTATACAGTCTGTGGGACAGACTCACTAACTAAAACTCCAATCAGCTAGGGGGCAGTATACAGTATACAGTGCCGTCCATATATCCTACGACCCATGTGTGAGGAAGTACATGTGCCACTTTCCGTAAGTGTTTTCAAGCATGTCTCTGAACCAAAACAGAGGACAGCTTGACTTTTGCAACGCGTATTCGCGGCATTTCACTTGTGTATGACTTTAAGAATAGCAGATTTGCCTAAATGAGCTATTTTACCGGGAATTCAAGATAAGGAGAAGAAGAAAGAAGCTACTTATAGCGGCTCAGAAAGAGGAGACGATGATGGCCCGACCTTTCCAGCTCCTCTCCATCCTCTCCAGGCTGCGTGCTCCTTCATTTTCTGGAAGTGGCTGTCAATTTGCCAGCAGCAAAGCCAGTAAAGCATGGCAAAGCATAGGGCATAAACATGATCGCAGAGACAAACCATCAAACAGAGCTTCAAGATACAGCAGCGAGATGCCTGATGAGGAGGAGTTTGGTCTGGAGGATGTGGAAGACAAGCTCCAAGCTTTGACTGAGTAAGTTTCACATTTTATTCAGATGTAAAAACGCTCACTTTTTTTTCTTGTGTCAAATCACCTCACCCTTTCTTTTCAGTGAAGAAAGAAGGAAGCAGAAGGCTGTGAAATACCAAATACTGGAGAGAAAGATGACCCCACCAGGAGCTCCAGAGAGGACGCTGACCTGGGAAGCTATGGACCAGATCAGGTGAGAAGCTTTGTTGTTATTCCAATCCAACCAGCCACCCAAACAAAAAGCGTTTTCTCTTTCAAAGTGAATACATAACAGCAGTTTAAAGTAATCTTTTGATTTCTCAGATATTTGAAGCAGGAGCAACCAGAGGAGTGGACAGTAAAGCGCCTGGCTGAAGGTTTCAGTGTCAGCCCAGATGTCATCAGGAGAGTCCTCAAGAGCAAGTTTGTGCCTTCTCCTGAGAGAAAATCCAAGCAGGATGCGAAAATTATGGCAAGCCTCAGACCGAAAGCACTGCCTACGGTTGCAGGGACTGGGACAGATAGGCTGAAGCTGCCTGGAAACCGCACACCAGCCATGCTCCCATCTGGAACCGGAGAAGATGCAGCGCTATCTGTGTCTAATCGGACTGCATTGATTCAAAGTAAAATCTCAGAGGATAAAATGCTGATTCCTGCTTCCAGTGTGTCAACGCAGCTTAAAGCTGATACTGACAAAGAGACCCAAGTGACAATTTCAATGACAAATCTTACAGAGGAAGAGGAAGAAGATGAGGAAAGCTGGGATGGACAGGTGTTTACAGAGGAGGAGCTTGAACAGTTTATCAGCATGGCAAAGCCTTCCCCTGTAGTGCAAGTTGGAATGGAATTTTTTGACGCAGAGGGTAATTTCTTGTACAGAATCTGAGGCTATTCTCTGTTGGGACATATTAAGCACTTGATATACCCTGCTCTAAAACTCTCTGAACAAATACAATTATTCAGACCATGAAGCAAATTAAAAACAATTTTAAGAGATTTAGTTTGGAATTTTTTCACCTGAGTATTTCCATACCTCTTTCAATGTATTCCTGCTCATTCAAGAACAATGGCAGCAAAAACATAGATTTTACACCAATAATCTAGAGGGTCAAAGTCTGATTTAAGTTGTTCTTAGGGTGCCTAATCATGCTCACATCATCTGTCTTCAGCCAGAGTATGTTAAAGCAAGTGAGACCTCTGTGATCTGTGACAAGATATGAACACTGTAAGCAAATTACTTGAATAAATATGTTAGTAAGCCGCAGCAAACCCTGGTTTAAACATTGACAAGATGGCACGTTTAAACACTGCTGTTGAGTAAGAAATAATCTGACAATGGAAATAGAGGAAGATATGAATTTATTGGCAAACCCAAAGAAAATTGCCTCAAATATACAGGAGAGAGAAACAGCAGATACAAAGATGTAGCTTTGTATATTTACAGAACCATCACAATGACTTCAATTTATACAGTAGTTTTAAACTGTAAGAAAAACGTGTTACCTTCACTTTGTGTAATAAACATCATTAAATAAGAAACTGTGAAGTGTCTCCCAGTGCAGAGCAGCTAAATTATAACCCTGTATCAAATCTGTTTTAAATCAGAGTTGTCTCTTGTCAAAAAAAAAAAAATCACAGCCTGAATTAAATGCAGGAAATTAAGAAATGATCCAGTTATTGAGAGCTAAAGCTCTGCCAAATTTAGTTCAGAGTTAGCATGCAGTTCAATGGGAGCTCCAGTGACGCCGACATTTTCTTCACTGCTCAAGGATTCATTTTCAGGCAACAAGTGCAACTTCAGGATGTCTCTGACACACTGGATGAAGCTAGATGAACAGGAGTTGATATAAATAATTACGGGTAAATGGATTCTGGCCACACTCTGTGAGGGCGTCACATCATATCCTCACACCAGGCACTTGTGTAACCACCTCCACTGTACTGCACTCTGAACCTGCCAGTCAGGAATAAATAACTCCTTTATGAAAACAACTTATTTAACACTCAGTAGACAAATAATTGTGCAACAAATGTTTAAAAGAACAAGAGCCCTGTAAGACTTTAACATGATATACCAGAGAGACCTGTTGAGAAATGTAGCTTTAAAATGACAGCAGTATGAGCTTGATTCAAAAGAAAACAGTAGTTCAGTGTGACAGACAAAGATGAGGAACCTAAAATCTTGTCCACCTTAAATGTGAATACCACAAAAATAAACAGCGCTGCAACTTCTGCCACCATGTCCATTACTCTCCTTTAAGTCTAGGGTGTTTATAATGCTATACAACATTTACATGACACAGTTTCTTTTTCACATTGCTCCTGTGCTGTCTCCAAATGACATTGATGTATTTATCTGAATCAGATGTAAAATATATTTGAGATATTTACTATCAAACTAGCTTTATTTGTCATTTTTAGCATCTTTGAACCAAAGTTTGCTGAATTCAAAATTCGTGCAACAGTTCAAAAGTCAATTAGTACAAAAATTGCTCAGATTATTATAAACAGGACTTGTGAGAACAGTGATTTTTTTTCCAGTTTCATCACTTCATCATACGGTCACATTGAGGAAAAATGTTCAACCTTTAAAAAACCTTTAACATACAAACAACTTTGTGCTTTAGACGAATTTGGGACAACTCTACACTGAACAGACACACTTGACCAAACACTTATATAAATGTGCTTAACTCAGGGACATCTCCATTCATACAGCAGACAAATCGTTCCAGTGGGATTATTTAACATGTACGGACAGTTATTCTAAAGATGTTATTGCTATCAAACCTGATGCAAACGGTCATATCAAATTTGCACCCTAATGGGACTTTATGTAATCAAGGGACAAAGTATTCAAGCTTAATCTCCAAATAACAAAAAGTGACTTCAAGGGTCAGTGCCCAAAGAAGGACAATGCTAAAAAGCTAAAATTTACAACTTTTGTCCACTTTGGGCACATATTGAATCAACAAATACTTCTCTTTAAGTAAAGATTGAGAACGCAGCTTGAGAGACTTTTAACCAGCTACCAACAGCAACTTTTTCAACACCAACCAAGTGGATACCATGAGATGGCAAAGAAAAATGGTGTATGTACAATCATATGAGAGGAAAGGAATGCAGGTTGTTAACAGAGAGGAGAATTATTTGCAAGAGTGCTCCCTGGTAATGGAAAAAGCAGAACCTTGATCACAACAGTGAGATTTACAAAACTTTCTTTGCTTCAAACCCACTACTCCACTTCTCTATAACTGCAGAAGTTCTTTGTTTCCTAACATAAATAACTCAAAGATTCAATCTGGATCACTACGAGACCTCTTTTGACGTTCTTCTCATCAGTCCCACCGAGCCCCAGTACATTCATTTTTTCTTTGTACATGATGGCAGAGTGACAGAGACTCTTCGTTTGTATGCTGAGGCCAGAGTACAAACCAGGAGGTGAAGGGAGGAAGTAGCTGGAGACAAAAGAGGGACAGCAGCAGCAGCAGCCAGCCACAGGGGCAGATGGGAAATCTGTTGCTTGGTTGCACGACAGGTTGAACCGGTTATTCAAGCAGGTCCTGTGTGAAGAGAAGATAAAATGTGACAAACCAGCTCAAGTGAGCAACACAGAAGCATTATAGTGACACACACAGATCCTCACACAATACGGATCCTGAAGTGACCTATTTTAATGTGGAATCATATCAGTGTTTCAACTTTTCATCAGCAGTGTAAACCCATACTCTGTTATTAAGACAAAAACACCACACAGTAATGACTGACACCATAACATAAAGATAAATGACATGTCTTTTTAAAATCATATATGTCAGTGTTAATCAAACAGTCGGTGGATAATATTTCAGGGCACGACTGTTATCTCCACCTGGCCTGCATCCAACGAGCTATCAAGAGCACAAATGTTTGTGTAAATACAGGATCATTTGTTTAAATATTTGCATCTGAAAGGTTTGGCGTATGCCAGCTGATGAACGACAACAAATATTAGTTAGCAAATGGGCAAAACGTTTTTCAGAGTTCACAGTTCTTAAGCAATCAAATGTAACAGTTTCTTTTACTGACAGGTTTGTTTTTTGGTTTTCTTTTGGTTGGTATGAAGTGTTGATAAAGAAATGAAATACCAGCTTGTATGTCATTATCACTGTGGGCTACACTGTGTTATCCACTGTGAACCTTCACCTATACTACATTAGACATAATGAACCATGACAGGAGGCAGTACCACTGTGCAGAGTCCTCAATCATTTATGAAATGATAAAACATATACCAAGTTATTTTTCTACATCAGTAAACTCAAGATAATCAGCATTTCCCTTAGTCCCAGCTTCCAACCTTTTAACTTTTGTATGTGTTAAACTGTAACGAAACCACAGCTACAGCTGACATATTTTTTCAGATCAAGGAAAAATCTAAATAAAAAAAAACACTAAATAAAATATATGACAACAAAAGCCTGTCACACATGTTTCTGTGTCAGCCAGTCCATGAGGGGAAAAAGGATCCACTGTACCTCATCTGAGTCATCATGAAACTCGATCTTGCCATTCTGAGTGTGGTTGGTCTCGAGTGGGTCGTCCATCCCCTCAGCAGCATTTTCCTCAACATGCTGCTGCAGCACTGAATACCTGTGAACCAAGAACCTACAGGGGACATTCAAAATACTGTCAGGTTCATTTGAATTGACTGAAAAATAAAGAAAACAGTTGAGGTGTTGTCCTCTTGGATATGTCCTTCCTGTGTTTTCAACCAACCTGCCACCACAGACATATTTCTTGACAAAGATGACCCCTGCCACGACACTCAGCAGCATGATGATGATGACTGTAATCACGATGGGGACAGACTTGGAAGAGCGGTTATCTACCTGTAGAAACATATGTAGATATACTGCAGGTTAATAATCAGCACATGTTTGTAAATCCACTGAATATTCCCGTGATTTTCCTGAACTCTCAGGAAGTGCAGGTACTGACCGTGAGCTCTGGGCCGATCAGGTCGCTCACACACCTTTGACTGAGATCGATCTCTTTACGCTCGGGCATCCGACCCCCCTCACATTTATCTCCAGGGATTTTCCTATAACTGTGGACCACAGACACGTGGGTGTTATCAAAGTTCAATCCAAACTCTATCAGATACTTAGATTTGCTCATGATGGACTAAAAATTAAATTCAGACTTATTTTGCAAATGGTAAAACAGTGGGAGTATTTTGGGGTCCTGCTGATTTTTGGTAGCAAATAATGAAATAACGTTATTTTTTAACAACTGTACAAACAACTGCTCAATTTTAATTGAACTAGATGTCCATGTTTTACTGTAACTACTCTGTATTACCAGACAGCCTTATTATGTACAGTGTAGTGAGTTTTCATGCACTTAGCTACATACATCTTTTTCACAGTGAGCATGACACTCATTTAGACTTAAACCACTTCCTCTAACCGATTTCTGTGTCAGTAATTTCCCCATTTTCACCACTTCTTAAATAAAGAACTAAAATACAGAGGAATTGAACAGTTGAGTATCATTACTGTTATGAACAATTTCTCACTACTCAAAAAAACAAACAGCATAATAATTCAGATAACTATCAAGCAGACGAGAAAACAGCAAAGTTTAATGTCATGTATCATTAACACATTCAGTGCTTCCTCTTATATCTTGTGAAAAAAAGGCATTTTTTGTCAACCAGATAAAAAAAAACTGTTGACAACAAACTAGACAACAAGCAGAGACCTGCAGCTCTGTCAGACTGAAACTGGAGTCTTACCCGCTGGTCTGCAGTTGCTCCTCTTTGCCATGCAGACAGAACTCCAGCACTTTGCCCTTCAGGTCCGGCTGCTCCACACACTCTGAGCTGTTCTCTTTTCGGTAATAGCCAAAGTCACTGTAACCACATGATGGGCGATAAACGATGATAAACAGTTTATCAATTGCTTATCTTACTGCTTGTACTTCTTGAGTTTTGGTTTTAATTTATTTATATTCACAGGAAATGTGAGAAACAGAGAACTTTTGATCCCTGTTAGTAAAAAGTGTTACCACGACAGAATGATGACCATATATGGTTGAACTTTTGAGTAAGAGGATAAAAGAAATCACTTCCCCTCTGTCTCTAGTCAGCATGTCATTGTTACTGAATAATAAAGTACTTTATCCCTCCAAATGGACTTTTTGTTTCATGAGATAATAGAAATTCACCTTGCCATTAGTAAAATAAAGAGTTTTTTATATGTCAGCCATAAAAACTTTAAACTCCAGTGATGAGCATGTAGTAAAAATGTGAATCATTTTATAACAGAGGGAGTGTCTTACCACAGGAAGTCATCCAAGGTGCACGGGCACGGTGAAGGCTGGGTGTTCACCTCATAGTCTCGCCCATTCCAGCAGACTGAATCCTTCCTGAGACGCAGAAACCTCTCTTTGTAGCCCAGCATGCAACCATCATTAGGGTCACTGATGTCATCAGAGTGTGCTAACCACTGCACATAGTCCTGGTCATCACCTAACAAAGACACAGTCGACTCTGTTAAACACTGAGTCTCAACAGATATGAAACAAATATCTTGAAATTTACACAAGTGCTTTTAGTTGAGTTTGTTGGACTGTGTGACTCACAGTCTCTGGTGAGCAGATCCCTGAAGTCGATAGTGATGGAGATCCAGTACTGGCTGAGGATGGAGTCTCTGTAGCCCCAGATACTGACATTCATGGAGCGAGCACCTGGCTCTGAGGCCAGACCGGTGAAGTAGAGAGGCTCTTTGGTGAAAGTGTAAACACCCCAGCATTGTCCTTCATCTGTGGAAAACCTGTAAAGAAAATGCAGGAGGTATAAGATATAACGCTAAAGAAACTGAAGTTAAGTAGTGGTGTGAAAAACTGGTGCTGCTGTGTGTACTAAAGGTATAATATTTAAGAAGGTCTCACATTGGATTTTTAAAAATATTTTTTGTTATCCTTTTAACTAACGCAATATAAAAAACAGTAATGGATTTGTTTTTGCACGATAAGTTTTCACTTGCACTGCAAATCTTTCAAAGACACTTTGTGTAGCAGCATTTACCAAAGCAGACATAGATTTTAATATTCAGAAGTATCTTTTATTGCCATTTGTGTTTTTAAAAACTAAGAGTAAGGCTTTTATATCCACATAGGGAGCAGGCCCTCTTCAATGGTCTCCACCTTTTAACTCCATGTTTTTATACATGGGGATGAACAGACAAAGTAGTGGCAGCCATGTGTTTTTGTATTTGAAGAAAAAAGAGAAAAAGAAAAAAGAAGTAGAAATAGAGGAAGAAAAGAAGTGGTTGTTTTAGAATTTGCATTAAAAGGAGTTTTTGACAGCGAAAACTTAACAATTACAGGATCACACTTATTCATCAAAGTAGCATCTTGTCCTCCAAGGTTCACTGGAGCTTTACCAGCAGGAGAGGTGAGTAAAAGAGTGTTTCAGTCTAGAATCTGACAACTTCATATCACTAAATATTCCCAACTCTACACACTTTACCTTTAATAATTAAGAAAAACATTCAAATATTCCTTAGGTGGTTTTTTGTTGTCAGGGGCAACATAGTAAGGATGGTGTTAAGAGCCCATGACCAAGACATGCCCTAAAAATATTGATGTATTTGTAGTGGTGGGCTTAATTTACTAGGACTCACTTGATCTTGTCAATAGGTTGAGTGGGGCTGTGTTCCACAGCAACCAGCAGCCCTCCAGAGTCCAGAATGGCGTAATGATGAGGCCCATCAAGGGCCTTTATCCAGGAGTAACCTCCATCATCAGACACATAGACATCAGGCTTCATCACTGAGATGGCATCCCCGACACTCCCTGATCAGATACACAGAGAAGGTGGAAGAATAAATGTGTGTAATGAATATCCAACTGAAAAACTGTTGTTTGGAAGTTTGTTTAGGGATAGAAGTATGAAACTCTAATCAGAGACTTACCGTGAGCTAAGATGAGACCCACAGCGTTTGGTTCACTCAGAGGCAACATGGGGACGTTCAACCTCATGGCTGTACTATAGGCAGCATGGATGTGAAGACTGCACTGTAGACACAAACACAAGCAGCATGTGGGTTTTAACTGTTTATAGGAGCACACTAAAAAACTTTTGCAAAACATGCTTTAACATCTTACAATGACACATAATCTGTGCACACAAGCTACAAACGTGCACCATTTTTATCAAGACAGTTTTAGCTTCCTCCTGTTTGTTTTTTCCTTTTAACATCAGTTTCCTCTCTTTACCTTGTCTGGGTCTTTGGCAGTAGCATCACACTTGCTGTTAGAAGGTTGCCTCAGGGGAACCCACTCCCCTCCTTGATCAAAGGACACGACAGACTGCACCGAGTTGTCTGCAACAACACAACAACATTTATAGTTAGCATTGTGCTGATGTACCAAACTTGAAACAAGGTGAGCAAACAAAGTCGAGAGGGTTGTGTAAATGCCTGAAGATTAAAAAAATCAAAAAATGTTTTGGAGATACGTAGAGCAGATGACACAGCAAGATGTGAATGGTGACATGAAATATTTCTGGCTATGCGTCAGCCAGCCGCTTCACACAGACACCACATCTAACACTGAACAGCTAATTAAATATTTACCCAACGCCCTCCCTCTGATATGTAATGGAGAAGTAGTATGTGCGTGTTTTCTGATGGGAATTTGAGCACAGGCATGTGTCTATAGTCTTTTATCAAAGCGACACGTGAATAGATCTACCTTCTGCTAGGATGCTGGTGATGAAAACTCCTCGCAGGGAGGTGACGTTGGTGAAGTCTGTATCGCCTCCTGTGGTGGTGAAAAGGTGGTGCTCAAGTGACTTGGAGTACACAGTGCCTCGGTCATCTGATACGTAAATGGTGCCAAATCCTGTATCTGTGGAGGAGAAGGAAATGTTAACACACAATGTAGTGAGAAAGTAATGCACTGATGAAAATAAAACTGCCTGAATGACAAGACGCCTCTGCACTAAACCTCCACAGTGCTGGCGCTTTTTTTTTTTTTTTAAACACATCTGCTCTTAAATGCTGCACAATATGAATAGTGAACATGTAAAGACTTTCTCTAGAACTGACCTCCTGGCTCATCAACATGCATAAAGACCATTTCATCATTGGCAGCCAGGATGGAGTAAAACTGCTCATGTCCAACCGGTGGCAGCTGGGCCATGTTCCAGGTCTCACCCTGGTTCACTGATACGTAGATCATCCTCAGGGTGCCCTGCACAGAGGGACAAGGGAAAAAGGACAGGATAGAGGGGAATAATGAGAAAAAGTTTGACTCTAAAGAAGTGCAGCTTACCCTTGATTCACATAACCTTAGAAACAAGATTGAGAAATGAAGTAGAATCGGGGACTAAACAGACACGGGAAGCCCCCTCCTTTGACATACGACCTGCATCCATGTACAGATTATCTTCAAATATATTCTTCATATAGCATTAAATCAGCAGCTGTGTCATGTTTCTGGATGTGTTGGTGATTTGGACTAGTTGAACACTAACCTTGCCTGTCATGACGGAGGCAAAGAGAAAACGTCCGCCCAGGCCGAAAGAGTAGACCTTGTTGGCAACAGTCTTGATTGTTTTGCCATAGTCTGTAGTTCTCCTGAGTTCCAGCATTCCTCGATCACCTGGGAAATAAAAACACAAGAAAACTCAGATATTAAAAACCAGTAAAAGTTTGTGGTTTTACAACAGTGACTTACTTTTACAGTGTTTAAAGAGTAATATAAGGCTAAAACATGAAAACAAGGATAAGATATGAATAAATTCACTTCAAGGGATCATCTGTTATCTTTATATACTTTAATTCATGTCTCTGCATTTGTTTTTTAAAGGCGGTCTCAAGGAACCCATCTAGGCTCTTATTATTAGATCTACTCTTCAAGGTGATCCAGAGAAAAAAATGCAACGTCAGTGGGAAAATGAGGCTGTGACAGACGCCTTAAGAACAATTCAGACACCTATATCAAAACAAGTAATGGTATTGGAACACCTCTTACTTTATTACATGTGCCATTACTCTTTAAACAACATACAAGATAAGACAGGATCAAATGGATTTTTTACTTACTGCAGGATCCATTAAGGCTGGCCGTGAAGAAGATAGTATTCGTCCTTCCCCTAGAATCCAAGTGAGAAGCAACAAGAATTTTAGTCGAGCACACCCACACGTTTGAGTCCAAAGAGCCAAGAATATGTGAGAAAATGCATGAAGATTGGATTTATTAATGATGTGACAGCTCTAGATGTGCTAAATATCAAAGAATCCATAAACCAATCATTCAACTAGAACTGCAAATGGTTTCATAAAGGACTCTTAATGTATTAGCAATCTGTTGCTATAATAGGTTTTGCTTCATTGTGAAAGTGAGCACCGCATGACCTGGCTTATCAAATAAAACTAGCACACAGCCATACCCAGCCATGTGTGTCTTGACTTTAACCAGCTGTTTTCAAACTTTAAACTGCTGGTTTGAATGTAGCCTGTCTGGATCAGTACCACTGAGACACTAGCAAAAGATCATGTTTCAGGGAGGTGTCAAGTTCACTCAAGTGTGGAGAACTCAATAACAAAGCCTGAAAACTGAAACTAAAAAGACACGCAGAGCTGTCAAGTTTTCAACACCATAAATAGTTGAAGGATCTTCCAGAACAACAACACTGTGGTCATAACAGATCTGGTTGAACTGTCACCAAATGAAAGGATTTTTTTACAGCCAAGTTTGTTCAAGTGCAGTACCAATAAAACCTTTGAGTACTATCTGTGAACGTGCATCTGTCACAAACTAAACCATTAATCTTAAAATCAGCAAATAATCCTTCTCAGCTAGAGTAATACCGAAGAAGCAAAAATGGATCAAACTCTGTTTTTTTCCATGATCATAAACTATTTTTACTACCTATAATGATTAGCTCTTAGGAGGAACTACAGGTCGCATACTGCTTAGTGAAATCTTTGCTACATACCTGCACGATATGAAAGTCTTTTCACTCCTCCCTAATCTTACTAAATGGAAACATTCCCCTCAGATACAGACACACTTGGGGATACTGAATAAGCCTTTAATTGTCTACTGAACACCTGAGATCTCTTCTGATTTTATTAAGGTGTCTCCTTCCTTACCATTTGACCAGACACACCATATCATGCAGCTTCTTCCAGTTGCTGCCAAAATCTTCAGACAGCCAAAGTTCATTCTGAGGACACAAAGAAAAGTCTGAATGATTCACTCAGAGTCCAGCTGTAATGGCACCATGTTTATGTAGGTCACACCACACCAGAGCCATGTTAATAAATGTGGCCTGTGTAAACAAATAAAAGGCCATTCAAGGGCCTTTCCCTGCAATGAGGAAGTGAGATGATGATTTTTGCCAAGGAGTGTCGCAACAGGTCATGACAAAGATTTATGACACATTTACCAATAACTGCTTATCTAATCCATCATGTTCATATGTAGGCCTACTTGTTGACCTACATCTAGAGAGGTTACATTTTAAAACAAGTCTTTCATTTCACACTAAACTTACACTGTTGCTGAGGACTAGCAGCACATTTGAGTTGTAAGGGTTGTATGTGATCTGCATCATGGGGATGAAGGGTAATTCCTGGTGAGTGAAAGTCTTTCCGAAGTCATCAGAGACAAAGATCCGAGACGAAAGACCCCCAGACACTTCTGCTGTCAGAATCACCTGCAAGGCAAGAGTAGACTGATTGAACTGTGCAAAGACAAGATAATAGAGGCTATTAACACATCACAGAAGGGCTGCAGTTTGAGATCTTTTATTGAATTTGTAGCGATTAAGTTTGATTAGGCCGTGACTCACTTTCCCAGAGTTCTCGGGCCCAATGGCTATTCCAAACTCTGATCTGATAAAGGTGCTGTTGATGAGCTCAGTCACATCCTGGAACGACTTCCCGTAGTTCTCACTGGCAGTCAGACAGGGTAGTAACCAAATGAAATGCAAACTAAATACAAACACTTGCTTCTTTTAATGTGTAAGATCATGAGACTTACCTTCGATAGAGTTTGGACTGCCCGAACTTCAACATGAAGAAGGGCATTTGAAATGTAGTCAGAGCCAGGATCACCTGGAAAGACAGAAGGCAAAGGACAGATCAAGTTTCACTCTGCATGAGACCCTCAGTTGAGGACAGTCATTATAAACGACCTGTCACTTTTACACAGCCTACTGGATAATCCCAGAGGAAAAACACTGACTGTAAGTCGGACCAACACTTACCCCTGTGCCATCTCCAACCCAGGCCAGTGACACTGACCCACTCAGGTCATTGAAGGAATACTGAAAAGAGCATATTGAAATTAGTAAAACACATTATGAGTGAATATATGTTCCTATATCACTCTCTCTCTATTCTTGATATAGATTCTCATATCTACACTAAGGTTTTGGTAAATATCAAATGTAGCTACTATAATCGTCTTTCTTTCTTTACTTCACTACATTAATTGGCAGTCTCACAAATACACAATGCTATGTTTTGGGCAGTGTCTGATGCGTGTACAAAAACGACTCCATTTAGCAGCTAAGGAGTGAATAGCTGTGTAAGTCAAAACTCATTTTTAGAGGCAGACACTTTTTGCTGACAAAAGTGATGACACCGACAGAGTTGCAAACTGCAGTTCAACACTGTTGGTGAATTTTGCCTCCCTTCTGTATTTCTCATCTGAAGGGCACCATGTTTCCTCTCAGCATGTGTTCAAGCAAAGATGACAAAGTGAAAAACTGAAGCACCACTTCTCAGACCAGACAAGCACATCAGTGAGCAGGGGGCCAATTGCTCTCAGCCAAGACATCTGAGCAGCACTTACAAATACCACATCTAAAAAGGGTCAGGAATCACATTTTTACCTTGGCTATAACTTTATATACATGTTGTCAATTTAACAATGCAGCTCTAAGAGAATTTTGACATTTTTACACAGGATCCAACTGAAAAAGTTTTAGTTCCTGCAACCTATTTGTTGACCCACAGCAGAACCTCAAGGGGAATAAAGCAGCTGAGCTTTTTCTGGAATTCAGTCGACTTTAGATTACTGGAGCAACTATACAAAGAGTGCGATGCAAAGTTGATCACATGGCTGTGAGAGGCTAGGCAAATAAGCAGGGCAGGGCTGTGCTGGGATCAGCCTGCTGTTTGTTTTCAAAAAGAGGGCCTAGTTTCTTGGATACATTTTCAGCCGCATTGTTTTTGTGCTTTCTCTTCTCTTAGTGCTGGAAAAAAAGTGAAATCTATTACACATCTGGTGAGACTAAATTTAGCCCACTGTGCTACCCAGGATTTAAGTAAATACCATACACTCTTGTCTGCCTGCCTGCTTGCTGTTGTCAATACCACACAGACAGCTTTAAATTACTAAATAAGTGCCACACAGCCAGTCACATGGATTTGTGGGGGGACATTTCCCTGTCAATATTAACTCGTGCTAAGACAGAGAAAAAGAGGGGTCCTTCAATACAGATTACAGCTGCAGCCCTGAGAGGAACAGGATATAGGTCACAGCCATCAGTGGAGCATCTGAGAGGTAAACCGGTCTGGTTGTGCTTCAGTACAGCACACGTAGGTCTTAAAGCACGAGGAACATAGGCGTTGTTTCTGTCTAGGTATAGTACATTGTATTTCCCTGAACCTGATAGTAGGCATGAATCAAGGCAGGCCAACACCAACAGACAAATTGAGACATGAAGGTGCCTTTCGTGGCTGAAAGAACAGTCACACCCTTCACGTCTAAAATACTGCTTCAATAAATATACATGATGTACATTTGTAGATGTCTTATCTTGAGCTTCAAGACCTAGCCTGTGATTCAAATGTAGATACCACTGCATACACTGAATTACTGATCAGGCCCTGTTGTGCACCTGGTCAGCACCTGCGCATCCTCCCTCTTCTCTCCTTTACTGGTGAGACATAAAAGTAACCTAAAAGGACCTCACGGGGTAACTTACACGGTGGGTGTTGCCTTCTAACTTGGTTTCATGTCCCTGCAGGGCTTTGCAGGTGTCTCCTTGCTCTGCACTTCTTCGTTTTATCCTGTGATTCTGTGATGCTCCCAGCCATGCAGGCAGAGACCTCTTGACGATTTTCGCAGCTTTCTCCTCAATGTATGAGCGCCTTTGGAAAAGCGACTGTCCAAGAGGTTTGGATCCCTGCTGAAAATCTACGCCGGCTGTGAGAGTGGAAACAGAGAACAGCAGGAGACAGGGCAGCAAAAGTCCCATTCTCGGTGCTAGTGTCACTGACAAAGAAAACAAAACCAAGACGAAAAATCAGCAGAATGAGTCTTTGTTTATCCCCGTGTTGCCTTGAAATTGAAGGTCGCTACAGCTCTGCCGCGAATGACATCAACAAAACAGTAGTCCTGACAGCGACTGATTCAGGCTGTGAAAACACGGTGCGCCCTCTAAGCTCCAGCTAATACCTCGCACTGAAGCAGATAAAATGTATGAACCGATTAAAATAATATTTCCAGGATAAACCGGAGTGTTTCGCTACAATTCTTGGCGCTACTTCCCCTTACCCTACATGATACACTGTAATGAATACGCAAATAGTGTCTGCGGGTCGCTAGGAGCCTATGCAGAGAGCTGACACTGTGATTGGCTGGCCCTTTCATCAGGTCCACCTATTTGCTTTGTGATTGGTCCAAACCTGAAAAGGGCGGCGACAAACAGAGAAGGAGCAGGCCGACAGTTTGATGTCAAATCCTGTAGATAGGTTGAGCAGTACTATCTCATAACTCCTTGTACTTGGGCTAGACATGATCAAAATCGGAAATTCCAATACAAACTATTTTTAACTTTTTGTTTGCAACAAACTAAGTTCACACTCAGGGTTGCTAGCAACACAAGACACACTTTCATAACACTGAAGTGGCTCCCCTTTACGTCAGTGCTGCTTTATAATTAATTGGCTCAGCTTTATTAGGTCACACAGCAGGCAATGACACAAAGAAAGTGATAGGCTCAATAAGTTTGTTAAAATGAGGAGGGGGATAAACGACAATTTGAAAACTATGCAATTCTCTGACCTTCATTTTTGGCTGATGTTTGTTTTTGTGTAAGATACCTTTCCTGTTAATGCATGTTTAAACCGTTTTCCCCTTGACTCATCCAAATATTTAATTGGGTGTAGCAGATATGTGTGCGGGGGGGGGAGCATCAGAAAACACCTACAAAAACTGCCCTAGATTTAACAGTAATTTTAACACACTTTTGCCATGCTTCTGTGCTATCTGGTGGTGGCCTTGATCGCTCTCATCAACAAAAACAGGAAGACTAACCTTTCTATCATTTGATCTTAGATTCAGCAGATAACCGAGACTAAGTGTTTGCATAAAAAGTGCTGCATTCTTGATAATATTTACTCATTTTGTTGGTTGCATTAGGTCATATTGCTCTCTTGATTAAACGCATTCATGTGATGGGGCAGTGGGTCAAAACAAACCCATGACCGCTGGTCATGTGTCACAGGAGGGGGAAAACCTCCCCATGATCATAGCTGCCATGGGCAAGACTGACCAGATTCAACCTGCACAAAATCTAGTTTCTATATAAAATATATGAAGTTTAATTTTTGTCCTGTAACATGCTGGTTCATCTCCCTGTAAACATCCAGCAGTTCAGACTGAGACATTGCTCCTTTGTCATGCCAGCTTGATAACTGAAACTGTGTCTGTAGGAAATGGATGAGATTGTCTTGCCTGATATTTGATTAGTATCTTGTTTACTGTTTGGTGTGGCCCCACCTGTTTAACAAGCTTGCAAGTCTGCGACAAGAATTAAAGGTGACTCCTGATCTCAGAAAAAATGCAAACCTGTGGAACAAGTCTCAGAGGTTAGTAAAACCCTGAAACCTTGAACTTGAACTCATAACTTAGCCAAACTCAAACTTGCCTTGTGGCACCAAGGATACCTCTTTTTGGTTCAAAACTTAGTGTGTGTTCTTCTGAATACCAAGATTCACTCAGCAAGCCAAACAATTTGATCTGTATGGCAGCATTCCTTCACAAAAGGACTGTACAAAGGAGTAGTGGCCCCTCCCCCATAGCAGCCCAGTGGACTATTAAGGTGGAGAACAAAGCCACAATTATTCCTTCGAGATGTTCCCAGTTAGAAAGAGAATTCTGCCTTTCTTAAAAAGAAAATAAAGAAAAACAAAACAACAAAAACAAAAAAAAACCAACCCTATATTTGCTTTTCAGCAGCAGGTTGGCATGGAAGCTACAAGTTTCAAGATGTGGCCCAAAGTTTACCCAACTCCTACAGAGTATAGTCATTAATAACAAGCATTCTCACGGACCCAAACTGAAAGTCTTACATGGACAGCCTGTGTGTGAGGGAGATCAGCCCATACTGATGACAATCATGAGAAACTCAAGGTCTGCATTGCATGAAACGGTTAGTTAACAAATGTGCGCTTAATTGTGCCTGCAAATGGTGACCTCTAGTGAAAAACTATTTCCATTACAATGCATGGACTTCTAATGCATTTTTAGATATTTAAACTAACTTTAAAGAGGCAAATATTTAAATAATGATTTTTTACATGTTGAGAAAATAATTCTAACACTGTTCTGAAAGTGTGGGAAATCATATTATGGTGGTTCATTAAGATTTTCTTTAAATTTTCTTTAGACGAACAAGTTTAGGGATAAAAACTTAAAGGATTGGCATATTGCAATTTAAGATGAAACTGTGAAGTTTTTTTTTCTATTTGAAACACAATTACCTGTTTGTTTTCCTTTTAGCAGTTACCTTTTTTGATGCATGACCTGAATAACTGGTTAAGAGGCCTTAGGCAAGAAACAGGTTGTCTGACCCTAAACCACACTCACCTCTACTTCCCGTTGATGCTCCTACGTTTAGTGGAGTGTGTGGTTAATAAGTATCACGAAACCTTCTGTCAGGGCAGTGGTGTAGAGCTGTTTTGTAACCAAAATAAATGCCCAATGCCTCTCTGTGATGAGGATTGGAAAGTTCAACACCTGTTCAAAGACTGTTACAGACTCAAAAAACAAGACACAATGACATGTTTTAATGCTTTCAACAGCAAAATGTCTATTGTCTGCACTTTTTCATGAAACATTCACCGACAAACTTCTAGAAAATACCTCCGAACAACTAAAATACAGCCATCTATGACTATAAATGACCCTGTTTTTTTAAATTATTATTGCTAATCTTTGGAAAAGGACGGCCATAAACATAAAAACAGGCAGTCCTCTGCCCTGGTGAATCGTAAACCTTTGGGCTATAAATATATCACTTTACTGTGTTTGTTTTATGTGGCACTCGTAAAACTTTGCTGTGCTGCTGAACTGTATTTGTGCTGTAAGAGAGCACATTTAGCTATGTTTTGCAAACTTGAGTGAAGAATTTTTAAAAGTACACTAGCCTACTAATGCTTTTGTACTTTAAGTGATTTCACATTTCTGCTGCACCGACAAGGTGCAGTGTTCAGAAATAGGAATATTTAGCCATATCTATAGAGGTCAGCTTTTACATTTAAATGCTCCCTTGCTCACCCTTCCTGTAGGTGAAGTGGTAGTGGCTTTTGAGGACAGGATGCATAATAAATATGATCCTGTATTTTCAAGTTTTTACCATCTAAAAATCAACCAACACAATTATTTTACGCACAGTGAAACCACTGACTTAGTTTTCAAATACCAATAAGCACCCCTCACGGAAAAACAAAAATGTTTTAGTAATATAATAATATATATACAATATATATTCATTCACAGGAAAATGTACACTTGATTTAACATACTCATACAGTTCTGCCACTGCCAAATGCTGCTAAAAACTACACACTGAACCCTTAAGTTATTTTTATGATATTGAGCAAAACTGCAGTTATGTCTACATTACCACAGTGTAGACTTGACTAGCTGTGATCTAGACAGGGTAAAATATTAACGGAAAATCCCATCCATTTTTCTCTTTATTATAAATTTGAAGTGTGTTTTCAGGTTAAAAATCACATGTAGAGACACATAGCTTCTGCTCTTGGGACAAGACCTGCTATCAATGTCCTTGTCAAAGTCTTTAATAACTGCTTAGGTAGGGTAGGGTAAGTTGAGCCAAAGAGTAAGTTGAACCAACCCCTGTTAATTGGAAATGGTAAAAGAAATTGATCATGTGACCAAATATTTAGGAGATGGTCATCAATTCATGGAGTCTGTGAAGGTTAAGCACATGGTGGAAGGGGTTGGACATTTATTTATTTCTCAATCTTGAAAGTGAATTTAGTCTGCCATAAGTTTTATGAGAATTGTGTTCAGACCAAAAACTATAATTTTAAATTTGTTTTATACACCAATTGTGGTATTTTTGAGCTACGGCATGAGGTCAGAAACCTAGCATAAAAGTCCACCATTTTAACTTAGAGGACTAATAAAGTCATAACAGTAGTGGGATACGGCCCAATTTCCCCCGCTCCTAGGGTAAATTGACCATTGGAGACCACTTTTTTCTGGCATGCTATATTATCAAGACAGTTATGTTTACACTTATTCTGTTGGTTTGCAAGGATGCACAACATCTTGAAATATATGCAGACACACTAGTTAGAGACAAAACTATTATTGCCTTAATGTAGTGATCCGAAATATTAAAAAATGGCTCATCTTACCCCACTCTTCCCTATTCAAGACCATATTTCTGGGACCCCAATTGTAAGACCCTTTTCGCAAGCTACGGCACCACTCAGTGGGAACCAACGGCCGCAGTTTTGGTGTCTGATCTTATTTAAAAAGCAGCCCCCACCCCAATCAAGAGCCCAGAAGATGCGGTCCCAGAGTTGCGGTCGTGAAAGCGCAGTCTCCAGCTCTGGGGTCAGTGCGCCCAGTGGTGCCTGTGGGCCCCTCACAGCGCGGTGACGTCACTGATCACGTGTATCCGAGTGGTAGACGCTGAAGTTGGAGAAAAGTTTGACAAGCCCGAAGAAGAACCCTAAAGAGGAGTGAAGCTCGGAGAAGGAGACTCGGATCGATCTCAGCGCTGTTTTTCCTCCGGACTGATGATGGAATCTGTCGCACAGGTAACAGAGCTTACAGAGATAGATAGAGAGAGAGAAAAACGGTTAATGGCGCATACTAATACCAAACACACCTATCAGTGTGTGACTTGTGTCGCTGTATAACGGCCTCATTTGCTATGAAATGCTCTTATTTCTCTACAGAAAGTGCTGAGCTCGGGGTTTTCTCTTGACTTGGGGCCTTTAAAGGAGCCGTTGGCATTCATTCGTGTTCTCGAGTGGGTACGTCTCTCTCAAATCTTTTTTTTTTTTTACCATATGGCCAATGGCGGGGTGACAACTACGTGAGCTTTCCATCCCTGGCAGCATAAATACCTTTTAAATTGATTCTGCTGCTTGTCTTGTGACTCACTGCACGCCTGTGTAAGCTTTACGACTCATCCTGTGAGCTGGTACACCGTTTCAAACATGTTACACAAAGTAGTTAATTAGTGTAGATAGCCTACTTCAGATAAGCACATTAAAATGTGGGCCTAAACACATTTAAGCCAAAATCAGCTGATTGCTAACTTGAGTTAGCTTGTTAAAGTAGCACCTATGCATCAAGCAGTGTTGAAACATACTCTATATGACAACAAAGAAAACTAAATAATATCATAAGATACCACCTTGCAGAAATGTGTTGCTCTGTTGTTTTGAACTTTAAAATGAAATGTTGCTTAAAGTTTAATCTTATGATTGCTCAGGATACTCGGGATTTTGGTTCTTGCATTAGTTTTTCACAATGAGGGCATCCTGTGTGAAAGGGTTTCCTGTCAAATCAAATATAAGGAAGTGTGTATGTGAGATGAACTGCCTACTGTCCCTTGCTCTCACATGGTTCCCCTATCTTTTGTCTGTGGCTGCAGGTGTTTGCCATCTTTGCCTTTGCCACTACAGGAGGTTACAGCGGCACAACCAGCATCCTTATCCAGTGCGATGGAAAGACGAGTGAAGAAATAAAGGCTGAGTTTAACTACCCGTTCAGGTGTGTCTGTGTACACAAACAAAGACACACTCACACCCTGTTTACAGTGAGCAGGAGCATGTTGTGTTTGCTTTTGGGAGTGAATCTTTTTTTTTTTTTTTTTATTGATCTGTCTTTACACAGGTTGATGGAGCACCCGTATACCGTACCTACCTGCAACAATGAAAGCTCCACCAGCACTGTCTACCTAACTGGAGACCACACATCCTCAGCACAGTTTTATGTCTGTATTGGGGTGTTCGCCTTTCTTTACTGCACTGGCACTCTGATTCTTTACTTGGGCTACCAGCATGTATATAGAGGATCGAGTCGTGGCCCCATCATGGTATGTTTACACCAAAGGTGTTTTTCAAGCAGCTGTGACAGTCAGTAATGATATCACTGATGTGGTGGGATAAATGGAATTTTATTCACACAAGTAATGTTTATAGTTAACTTTCTGAGTTTAAGATGTTGTATCTGGTGTCAGCTGCTGGAGTTGACTTCATTCTGAAATCTTTCTCAGGTCAGAGGAAGTGCATTTAGCAGAGTTGTGTAAATGGAATAGTGAGAGGGGCGTGTTTCTCAGCTAGCTAGTGTGCTAGCTTTCGCCTAAACACTGATCAGACACTAATCATGTTTTGCTTTTTTCCCAAAGGACCTGTTGGTAACTGCGGCCTTTGCTTTTCTGTGGTTGGCATCCTCCTCTGCATGGGCTAAGGGCTTGTCAGACGTAAAGTGGGCCACCAGTCCTTCAACAATCGTAACCCTCCTCGAAGTTTGTAAGGGTGCCAAGTGCACCGCAGGTGCTGTCCCTCACATGGGTCGACTAAATGCCTCAGTGGTAAGTTATGCGAAAAACAAGTAATTTTCAAGCATGATAATCTTGTGTGTGCAACAGCCTGGGTCATTTGTCTTCTGTCTTACTCTCTGGCAGATCTTTGGTTTTCTCAACCTCATCCTGTGGGGTGGCAACTGCTGGTTCATTTACAAGGAAACACCTTTCCACAAATCAGCCAACCAGCCCTCTGACGCAGAGGGGGGAGTCGGTCCATCGTAACTGCTTCCTCATTTCTGAAAAGTTTAACAAGTAGTGTTATTAAATTAGTCATTTTGGTACTAATTATTCAAAGAAAAATTCAAGGTTATGAGAATACATTTCCAAACCAGGGGCTCCTTTTTGCTCTGTACTCTTTTTATATTTAGTGCTGTATTAACTCAAACTCATTTTGAAAGTTCAAATTAAGTCATAGAAGTCAAATAACTACAGGAAACTGTAGGCGCTGAACAGTTTTTTTCACTCTGGTGTCAAAACCCTCAGTCCCCTTGCTCAGACAGTACTGCTAAGACAGACTATATTTTGTGATTAATCATATAAAAGCAGAGCTTTGTTGACTTGTTTACAGCCAAATATTTTTCTACACAGTACATCCTCTCTGAAATCTGCATATTAAAAAAAGACTCAGGGCCATTAAGAGGATGAATAACATAATAACTAGTTATACTATATATGAAAAACTGAGACTAAATCTATTGTTAATACATTTCCAGAAAGAAAATTCAAAACCAAAACAAAATTCAGTTGCATCTTCAAACAGTAGGCTTCAGAAAACTTTGTTACAAATGAAGAATGGCAAATAGCTTACAAAATTTTGCCATTATGAGATTATTTATAGTGGCCGAGTGTTTTTATTGAACCCTTTGTTCCATGTTGCAACTCTTCATTTCACTCTGTAAGCCTTAAGTCACCAGAGTGACCTTATATTGAATGTGATAGTGCTTTTGAACATGTCAGCTCTTCAGGCGGTGTCTTTAGGAGTTTTAATGCACTTTTGTGAAGGGATCAGAGCAACAGAGTACAGTCCTTTGCAGATCTATGCTGACTGACAGAGGAAAGCTGTCTAGCTTCTCATTAAATCCTTTCTGTGGTATCCAAGGCTAGGTGACTTCCAAAAGTTCATCACAAGTTTGCAGACAGTTGATCCTTTGCGTTTAGGAAGTAGCAAGCCTCCCTCTGCCATACATCTTGTGAATCAGAACATCCTGTACTCCAGACAACATGAACAAAAGCATACTTATCCTCATAAGGTTGTAGTCTTAGCTGTATAACACAAATGATTTGACATCAAAACACATGCATAATTTTCCATCACTAAGAGCCACATTTACTACCTACGAAGCAGTGTTGTTTTAGTAAATAGTAGCTGTTACAGTTGGCTAATCTCCAACCTGTTTTTTTTTTCACTGCACCGTGTATCTTTTTATTTTTACAGCTGTAGTAGTAGTAGTTAGTCCCAGTTTTAAAAGGCAAGATGTTTTTCCTCTGTTACAACAATCTTTAAAATGTTTCTTCAATATAAGGCTGCTTTGCTGACAATTTGAAATTGGTTTAAACACTGTTGATAAAAGTGTCACATAGATGAGACTGAAGTTCCTTTGGGAGACCAGGAGTTCTCAGCTTGGACATGCAATGTTGTGCCGCATTAAAATACAGAACTGGACCATTTGGTATGTGTCTGATTTAATGCCTCCCCGTTTCACTCTTGAAGTGTTTTCTCAGCAAGGTGAACAATGTCTCACACACCTCCTGTTAGTAACTTTACAGATCTCATGTCTAAGATCAGATCATTTGTCTATAAAGCATTCAGAAAGCAGTGCCAGCTCCAGATGACCGTCTCCCAACCAGAGGCTTTAGGTAAACCTCCTGACCCTCACCAGTCCAGTCACACGCAGGCTCCTTACAGAGTGCTAGTCTGTCAGTGAATCAGCTGTGAAACATCAGTGCCCAATCCATTTTTTTCTGCTAACTCTTTTTAGCTGTGAGGCTGTTGAGCCTACTTTACATTCTTTGAATTTGTTAAGCTTTTATAACTTAGGTACTCAACATATTTTAATATCTGGCTAAATGTTATAGTAAAAGTAATGATTCCCGTTGATTAGTTTAAATGCTAGAATTTAAAAAAGATCATGTGATTTGTTGATCAACTAAAAACAAAACAACAGCGGTATACAGTATTTGAATATGCAAAGATAGATGCAGTTACGAGCGGTCACAGTAGTCGGTGCATAAAAATAGCCTAAATACATTTATGGATCAGGTGCAAGGAATGCAAATGCAATACACCATGAGCAGTAAAAGCAAATGGGAGGACACAAACACATTTGAGACTATAAAAATGTAATTTGCAGTGTGAACACATTACATATGAGATAGATACAGTATCAACAATATACACATGTATATAAAGAAAATATATGCGCAAACGTTAAGGGTCTTTTTATATTATAGTTTTTTCTAGTCTTGACACTTCATAATTGATAGTTTTCGTTTTTTTTTTTTTTTTAACCGGAGCCTTTGCAGTTTGTTACTTTCCAAATTGTCAGTAATGTAATGGTTACACTAAGATTTCAGGTTTACTGTTTGCTAATTATCACATCGACTGATAACTTAACAGTAACAGTCGTATCAGATAGTGCTAGCATACTCAGAAAACCGCAAAAAGGCTGTGGCATTTGTATGTATTAAACTTTAAACCTAGAAACCTCTATAGCCGGAGAGGACCATGCAACGTGGAGCGGCAACGAGCATCGGGACGCGGGCGTGCTGCGCGTGACCTGGCAGAGTCATTACATGAACGCGCAAGAGCAGCAATGGCCGCCTTGGATTGGCGAAACCCTAATCTCGACGATTTTGTCGGATTACAGTGGAGTTGTTGGGTTGATGGGGTAAATATTTTTCCATCTGACGGTGAGTCGTACTCCCTGTCCACACCTGGTTTCATTACATGACAGTATTGGCGTTCAGTGATTTATTTATTCGATAACGTTACTAACAGAGCGGCATAAAGTAGGACCCAAACAAAAGACCCACTGGGTCCTAGCGCAGGGTGAGTTTTCCAAGGAGGAAAACCAACAAAATAAACCAATAATAAATGAAAATTAATGTTTTCTTAAATCTATTTTGTAATGTAAAAACGAAATAATCACTTGTTACAAGAACATCGGTTTACCTGTACAAAAGCGCCGTTCACATAAACCGACAGCTTCTGTCACACCAAACACAACACCAGCACTTCAGAAGGATTTGTCCACTATGCTTCCAACAGTTGAGACTTGCACGGTTAATAAGGTAGTATCTGTTAGGAGATATGTGACTGAAAATGATAAGGAGCACAACCATTTTGAAAACTCTAAAAATATTATTTAAAAAACTAGTCGAAACGCCGATAGGCTAAAAAGTGACGTGAACGAGCTGTTCCGGGTTTTAATAAGCAAAGTATCCGCGTGTCCCGTTACACCTGCTTTTCTGTACAGCCCACAAGACGACCTCATCTTGGTATGCAAGGCTGACTGTTTTTGCTCTAAATGCAGCTGGTTCTAATACTGAAGACAGCTGCAAGTATGGGAGGACCCGCTGTGAGACCATGACCCTCATGAAAGAAGGTGAAGACAAGGGGGACCAAAGACACTCAACATCTCAAGAGTGCACCCAGTATCTTCTTAGGTTGATCATGAAATGAACTCATTGTGGTATACACTCCTTTCTAATTCCATTTCATATTTGCTTTCTCAGACATGCACATATATGGTCACTGCCCAGCACATGATGAGATATATCTGGTGGTGTGCAGTCACTGTGGCCAAGTAGTGAAGCCCCAGGCCTTTGAGAAGCACTGTGAGAGACGGCACGGTTCTCTCACTAAGACCTGTGAACCTTCACCTGCTTTGGCCTTGCAGCAGCAACCTCGCCCTAGCCATTCATCTTCTGATCTTTCCATCACAAGAGAAAAGCAGAAAGGTGGCAAAAGTCATGATGCCAATGCCTCTTCAACAGCAATACCTGTCCACAGACACAAGCCAACCAAAGACACAGTGAGGTACTGTTTCAGTATGTCTTAATCTATGTTGTGCTGTGACAGTACAGAAAACAGGTACATTTGGAAATGTTTCATGGTCTTGACGAACTCATTGGCTTTTGTTTTTATTTTGGGCTTAAGTCTTTCACTACTGTGTTTTAGCTGTTGGACTTAAATGAAATAATTTTTGTTAACCTTTCCTCCTTCCTCTACAGTTCTTCTTCAGCAGAGAAAGTCCCTCAGGAGACCCCTCCTCTTCCTCCTCTCAATCTTCACTCCTCCTCTGCACCTAGCCCCAGTGTTTCGCTGTTGCACTCAGGACCTCTGCCCCCTGGCCACTGTTCCTCCATATCCCCACCAGAGAGACTGTCTAAACAGAAGCCCACAGCTGGACAGTCCAGTCACTCAGACTCAGAGTCCTCAGCGGGGAATGAGAATCCACAGCCGTCTACACCAAAACAGCCATGGTAAGTCAGCATCTGTTGTTTCTCCTCCTGTGGCTTTCCTGACCTGCCTGTTGTGTAATAGCTTGCGTTTGGTTTACTGTATAAAGTAGTAACTGTATTAATGGGAGAAGAGAACAGTCATATATGCAAAGTAAACTCTTGCTGCTTTATCATGATATTTGATCTAAAATGAAATTATCTGCCCATAGTTGTGTCTGTTACCTCTCACTATCAGCATGAGTAGGGTTTCTGTCTGTGTCCTGCTGCTGCCCACAGACTTCTGTGTTTGCTTTGGTTTCCACAGAGAAAGAATTTGACCTGGACCAACACAGTGAAGGTGCTGATCCAAAAAGAAAGAAGCTCCACAGCCAAGAACATATATGCAAAGTAAACTCTTGCTGCTTTATCATGATATTTGATCTAAAATGAAATTATCGCCCATAGTTGTGTTTTTATTCACTATAAAGGTGATGGATTGTTTTTGTTCTCAAGAATTTAACTTAGAACTTGATCGTGTCTCTTGGTTGGGATGTGTTGCACCTAATTTTCCTTTTCCAATATTGTCTGATTCTGTTCAGCAGCAAAAGAAAACACTGGAGCATCCACGGGTATCCTCACCAGGACAGAATATGGATAAGCTTTCTATTGAATCAAAAGACAAACTGCAAAATTTGAAAGATAAAACAACAACTCAGGGCAGTCAATACAGCCTCAACAGCAGCCATCACATTTTCAGGTATAGTCATTATTTTTAAAAACTTTTTAAATTAGAACGATCATGCAAGAGAAAAACACACTGTGAATGGAGACTATCACTCAGTTAGCAGCAGCCCTATGTTGGTGTTTTTTTGTTGTTGTTGTTGTTGTTGATCATGAACTGTTTTTTTTGTGTGTGGTTTTGAAAGCAGGTCCAGGGGTCCATCGGAAAGCTTCCAAAGGAAAGAGGGTGATGGCACAGTGGAAGTGGAGGTGCAGCTCCCTTATCCCTTCAACCAAACTCTGCCCTCTAGCGATGAAGATGAAATTGACGATCAGGAGGATATTGCAGACCTGCCTGCCACACCCTGGCACCCAAAACCTCTGGGGGTGAGTGTAGAAATAAACATTCAATAATCTTTAACAGAGAAAAACACTACCATGAAACATACTGGCCTCATTAGAAGGTTTGGGCTAAATCATTAGGCCAACCCTGGCTCATAGAAACTTTGTTTTATAAGTTTGGTGAACAAATTGAATAAGAGGCCTGAAGCTAATTCCTGATCTTTTTCTTTCTGTGAAAATAGAAAAAGTAGTTGTCACTCATTTGTCATTAAATGTAAAGTCACTGTGGTCAGGTATGTAAAGGTTTATGTCTCTGAAGGACAAATGAGTGGCTGTAACTATGAAACTGTCTCTTCTGTAGCTTTGCACTTTTGGATGCCGCACTTTGGGTTGCAGCATCTTCACCTTCGACAGGCGGTGGCACCACCTGCGGTTCGCCCTCGGTGCCATGTTGGAGCGCCATGTCAGCACACATCGGTGGAAGTGAGTATCAGTACTCTACTATTTTTACATGGTAGGTCGTGCTCTGTCTGGTTTTATTCCCCAGCAGTCGAAAGGTTCTTTACATTTGAATAGTGTTAAATTATGTGCTGAAATACCATGAGATTAAGATCATGTACTCTTGTAGAAGTGGTAAAAGTAGAAATAAGTATCTGTGAATGGTTAACAAAAAGGATTTCTGAGATACCTTGTCTTCATAACACCATCAGACAGAGTAAGAAAGCGCTAGTGTGGTATTCTGGTTCAAATATCTAAATTCAGAGGAAAAATCTGTGAAAGAGACTCACTGTTTGAGATGCATCCTTTGTTGCATTTATTCTGTAGCCATTTGCAAATGAGTAAGACTGACTGGTTTCACTCATATTAAACTGAACAGCCTCTGACGGTGAAGAAAAACAAGGTGAATGGGGCCACATGAATCAGCGCAGCACTTAATTGAGTATCCCTGCCACATCACTGACAGACTGTGTGACATTTTCTTCTCTGTTCTGCTGTAATCCCATCTTTGTAACCAGTGTTCAGTTTCACTTCATGTGTCATTTTCTATTTCGAGATTCCTCCATTGTTGCCCTGGTTTTAAGTCAAATTCACCAGACTTGATCAATATGAGTTCTTTTTAGAGTTTTTATTAGAGCAGCATTCCATAGTGGTCCGCTATTGAGAAATAATAGACCTTCAGAATCGTGATCAACCTATCAGCTCCAAGTATTTCATAGAGCAGAGTAATAGAAGCTGTAGCCATTTTTGAAGAAGTCAGCTGATTGATAACTTGTCTCATAGAAAATTTGATATATAAACAGTATCATGCTCTCCTTTAATTTTCAGGAAAATGCCCCAAGTATCATCAAGTCTCAGGGCACGTCCGCACACACCTCTAAATGTAGCATCACCTCTCAGAACTGGAGCCAGACTCCCCAAATCCACAACCTCACAGGCAACCAAAAACAGTGAGAACTATTCTAACAGGACCAAACAGCCATCAGCCACAGCCCCTGAGACTCTTAGCCCTGGCCGACCCTGCAGCAGTCCTGTGGGGCGACACAGCAAGGCTCAGCTGAGGGGGGTGGAGCCTATGCATGAAGCAAACAGTGAGGGCAAATCCTCAAAATATATCAGGGATCATAAATTTTGCCAGCCACAATTCCCTTCCTCTGAAGGACCAGTCAATGGTTCCTTATCATACGGAAAGAAGCCATGTCCTCCTCTCCATCAATCAGCCAGCAGCAGAGGGAGGCCCCCAGGGATTCAGCAGCAGGTGTCGGACAGTGACCGCACAGGTCCCACCCAAAAGAGAAAAGGCAAAAATGAGTCAAAGCCCCTCAGCTCATCAATATCCAGAGCTTCCAAGTGTCAGCGCTTGTCCTCCTCTTCCTGCTCCAACCTACTGGCCTGGAAGGGAGAAAATAAGAGAGATGTGCTCGCGTGGGGGCGGGAGAGAAGATCTGACTCCTGAAAAGTGAGTAGACTGCTAGATTTCAGCACCTGATCGATCGCATACTATCAAAGTTTTTCTACAAGTTTGGTCTGTCTCTATGAAATGCAGGCATTTCTTGGTCTTGAATGGAATATTTATTATATGTTCATTTATTTATGGACAGAAGTGAATAAATGACAGTTGTTGTCTTCCTCTCTACCTCACAGCTTATAATGAGGCCGACCTGAAAAAGACATCTTGAAGAAGAGGCCTTCTGCAGACCAAAGCTGTTGACTGCTGAGTGTGAGTCTGTGTGTGCGTGTGTTAATGTTTTAAGTCATGTTTGATAATGTTTCTTTTGCAGAGTTCAGGTATAAATATTGGTCTGTCTGTTGCCATTGTTCGGAAGAAATGTTTATTTTTATACAGGATTAAATGTCTGAGTTTATAACTTGTGTTCAAAATAAAAAGTACCTCAGTCTTCTCACTGTGCTGCTAAAATAAAAATTACATTCATTAATAAAAAATGTTGATTTCCACTAAGCCCTGTGCCTTCTGTGATTTTGCTGTCATTCTGTCTGCATCAACCTGAAAAGGCAGATGAAAAGGGTCACATTTATTTACGTGTATATGGAACGTTTGGACTTGTCTTGGTGTAAACTCAGTTTACTACCCAACTATTGTCTCATGAATGAATATGAATGCTTGATTGGTTATTAATACAATTGTTGTAAATGTGAGTTAAATGTTTTAGTACTTAATTTGACCACTAGATGGTGTTGTGACATCAATATTGCTATTTAAAAAAACACTATGTTCAGCCACTACCATCCTGTTGTATAAGAACACAAACTGTAAAAACAGTTCAGGCTGTTTGATTACAGTTGTGACAGTTACTCAGAAGTAAAGATATCTTATAACAGTTCAGAAAATATTTATTCAAAAATACTAAATCAGTGTAAATTACACTTGCCATAAAGTTCTTTAAAAAAGCAGATCAGATTCGCAGTCCGTTATAAAAGCAACTTTTTTTTGTCTGAAGTATTGAAACAAGGTTACACTATATTTACTAAATTAGTTTCTTAGATTAGTCATAGTAACTTGAGCAAAATGCCCTTTGATTAGTCATAAAGATATTGAAGTAATTCACTGTCACAGATGGTTTCGTTAAATAAGAGACAACAGAAATAATAAAGACAGCACACAGTGTGAATCTTGATCTTTATTAAGCCAAATAAAATCCAGTGTTCTCAATCTTCTTATGCTTACTAGTTTTCACCTCTCCTGCAGTCTGAAAAGCTCTTAAGCATACCATGCAAAGCCATTCCACTTCAGCTGCGAGACCTTTCAGGGTTTATGGTGATGACCAACAGCTCGTCTTCAGAGCTGTGGTCAATAAACTCAGAGCTTTTAATGCAGATAAAAGCTCCGATGTGTGGAAGGCTTTTAGCTCCATTGCCTCGAGGATGTTTTCCTGTAATTTGCTACTTCATAGTGGGATAAATGGAGAAAGATGTTTGCTGGCAGTGATACGCCACTCCCTTCCCTGAAGTGATCATTAAGACGACAGCTAATGATCTATTACTGCAAATAGCAAAGAGCCTGGAAACTGCACCAATCTGAAAACCTGGATTTTGTCTTATTGATGCTGCTTGAAAAAAGCAAGCTTTAAGTTCTCTCATAACTTTAAAACTTAAAACAGACACATCTCCTGAGATTTAATTACCCTCTGTCTTCAGATCTTTTCAAAAATATCATAGTGTTTCAGGATTTTGTTTATGGCTGCTGATATCACTCCTAGCTTAAAAAAAATACTCTCCAACTTTTTACAGAAAAATTGTTGCTTTAATTGTCATAAATTATTTATTGTAACACTTACCCATATTACCTGACAAAGTCACCAAACTTATCAGTCTTTCTTTTCTCCTGAATTCTTTATGGCTTAATAACTAAAGTCAAATACTGACTGAAAATAACTACCAGCTACATACTCACTGCCCATCAAGACCAATCAAGCTCCAGAACTGTCCGTCACTCATGCACCTCTGTTAGAAACATTTTAACATGTCTTTTTTTTTTAACCTAATTCTGTAGCAGAATCAAATGCAAAATACATCCTATTATTTCAATAAAAAACTAAACCCCGCCCTGCTTAAAAAATAAACATTTATGTTAAGACTTAAAGTTTGAAACAGCTAGCAGCACAGCGGCAGACGAAATGCAAAATGATCAACATTTTAGATTATACAAGAATACAGTTAGTACACTGGTAGAACATAGCATTACACAACTAATCAATACTGAACACACAGAAAAGTGAACCTTAATACATATATATACGGTATATAGAGATATATATAGGAAGGCAGATTTGCTTTGGAAAGAACAAAGCCTAGCTTATCCTCCACATCAGGACCAAAAACACTTTGTTTCTTTTAACAGCGCTGAACCTCGTAGTCTGAGCAACAACCAGAAGACCATCTATTAGTCACAGCAGATTTAACTTGACTGACACTCGCTGACTTCAAGACAGAAACATGATATTCCTTGATTTTCAGGCAGTACAGTGTGTGCCCTTTAACAGCCATAAAACCTGTGTGATGAGTTTTCAGCAGTCTCAGATTCTGTGGCTAGCTCTCAGTGGCTCCTTGTGAGGACTTGAGTAGCCAGGCTGTGAAACCTGAGGAAATTTAAATTGATCTCAGGATGAAAAAGCAGGAAACAGCTCTTATTTATCTATTCCAAGGGGCAAAACCTGGAGCCTGAATCTCCTGAAAATGGACTGGATTCTCATCAACCAGAGCGAGTCTGCGCTGGTGCTAAATGTGGCTTCATTTGAGTGCGTCTTGTGGTATTTTTTGCTGCTATCCCTTTCTCCACCTGGTATTCCTGTGTGAGGAACGGGATGATTCACACACCAACCTCTCTGAGAAGTGTGACTTCCTCTTCTCACCCACACAAGAGTTGCTGCGGTGCACATTGCAACTGTGAATATAACATTAAATTTGCGTAAAACCCTATTGCACTCTTAAATGTGTACATCTTACTGTCTGACAACTCTACTGACATTAAAACTTATAATCTGAAACTATTTATTCCTCTATGTGCTATAAACTGGAAAACTAAGAGGTACTAAACATGAACTGCTATTATACTTTCCTAAATCTTACATTTTACCCTCCACCCCACTGTTTTAGTAGGAAATCTAATGCGAAATAAAAAAAAAAAACTGCAGGTGTTTCCCTCATAAACACATGTCAGACAACGTAAAGGGCATCACATTCATCGTCTGGCTGAGTGATTGCTTTTGAACTTCATAAGGGCAGGCACATAATGACTGAGGAACACAAACAAAGCAGACGTATCTGGGCTGAATTGAGGCTGTTTGTGTACAAAGAGAATGGCTTTGTGTGGCTTTGATAACACACCTATCCTTTTCTGCTCGCAAAGACAAAGACGTGAGAAGCAGAGGCAAGCTGCTGCAACCCATCAGAAGATCCAACTAGCATTTCTATCAATTTAGCCTTGCAGTTAAACCCCTCACCGTTTAATTAAATCTCTCCTTCTTGTTTACACAGAGACACAGTCCCCAGTTTTTAACCTTGATAGTGAAATATACTCAGCAAAGGAGGCATCTTAAATCTGAATATGCAAAAATTTACATTATTTAACGATGACTGTAAAAGACACTGTCAGGACTAACTAACATAAGCTAATAGGCATTTGTTTACTCTGCACCTTATGCATGGAATATGCTACAGAAGGACTGGAAACTAACTGACTTAATTTTTTTTTAACACTTTTAAATCTAAACTGAGAGTTATTGAGGCCAATTTCACAATGTGCACTTGTTTCTGATGATGTGTTTAAGTTCTGTGTCTAACTGTATTTTGTGTTTGCTGCCCCTTGACCAGGACTCCCTTGAAAAAGAGATTCTTAATCTCAATGGGATATTTCCTGGTTAAATAGAGGTTAAATAAAAAATGCCAAACAAACCATATTCAGCTTTGATTATGCCTTACCTGCAGGTCTGATCTTATAGCAGACAGGTTTTCCTGCTTTTATGTCGGAAATCTTTCTAAACAGCAACATTTCACATCACTGAGTCTGGTGGTTGTCCATCTGAGCACTTTGAAAATTTTTGTTTATGACCCCACAATGCCCAAAGATTTATCATTTTTAAGTCAAAGTTCAATCAAATATTTAAGGATTTGATGTAGGGTGCTTATTTTAAATTGAACAGAGAATAGGTTAATATTGCAGCATTAACTTGTTGTTTACTTATCAATATAATTTGACAATAATTTAAACTCAGTGACCTGTGAATGTCGGTAAATTCATGTTTTAAGGTTAATACATAGTATTCCAGGCTTTTACATGAGGTGCTTGTTTTACACCCTGGAGAGAGAGACAGGAACAGTATGAGCCAGAGTGAACCATAATTTGACCTGGATGATTCACTGCTTGTCTGTTCATGTCTATGTCATGTATTTTTAAATGAGACATGCTTATTGTGTGTCAAGAGTGAATGGAAATGCTCCGTGTATTTAAGGCTCTAGCTGTTTCTTTTGAGTTTTTACAAATGATAATGACGAGCAAGAACTGAGAGACAGCTATTTAGTTACACCGGGGTTCATTTTTAGCTGGTCATCTATTTTACTTTGTGTTCATATTTAAACTGTAGGTGGAAAAAACAACCCTCATTTTCTATGGCTATATGGTTGACTTTCTAATAACTATAATGACACACCACCATCTCCTACCATTGTTTAAGTGAAGCTAAAATCCTGCCTAGATGTTGATATATTATGCTCTTCTAAGTATTCTGGGGCAAAGACATGCACAGAAATCATCTGGCTAGTGGAGCCAAAGGACTGATGTCTTTACTGCTGATCAAAACACTCATTTAACCTTCTGACAAAACTGCCTCCATAAGATCAAAGATCCCTCAGTCCACAGCAGCACATATTACTAAGTTGATTTGAAGCAGACAATGATGCTTATATAAAGTTCAATAAATCCTGTGTTAGAGTTAATTTCTTTTTCTCCAGCCATCTCTACCCTGTGACATCTCATCCTGACTTTCTTCATTAAATAAACTTTGTTGGAAAATGAACAGTTATTCTATCTGTTGTAATAAGTGGGTCGGCTTTATGATCTATACTGCAGCTATTCATCAGGCAGAATACTAAAAGTTTAACTTTCACTTTTGGGGAGCTGTTGTCCCGTCCTGTGTTTTATGCAGAGTCTTCAGGCTGCACATACCTCTTCAATATGAACAACAATTAGTTGATTAACCATCTCTCAGTGCTACTACAGGAAGTATCAGCCAAACAGTAGGATAGACCTGACCTAAAACACAGACAATGTGTGTCTGACATGCTGTTCTTTCTACAAATGACTCAAGCCTAAAGTTGGGATGTGTTCACAACCTGTTAGTGCCAGCCTGTGTTAGTCTATGTCCCTGACTGAGGTGGGGTTAAGCATCTATGCTCAGCTGTCTATATTTGAGATGCAGTTTAATCTAATCAGGCAGTCTAATCATTGTCATAAATACTACAATTAGCCAGCTGTGGTTAAAAAAAAAGTGGTTTCTCTATTTTTGTAACTACTTACAACCTGTGATTTATGTGAAACATGTATTTCCCCACACTTTAAGTTGGTTTGATCTCTTCCTGAGTGCTGATATTAACAATAAACAGTATCATCTACAGACTTTAGTATTTTCCACTTTTCCTGTCCTCTGCCATTCCTTCACAGTATAAATAATAAGTGCTACACATTAATATGCTGGAAGAGTCTTGCTTGTTGTCATTTCAGACAACAACATAGTTTGTTCATTTATTCCTTTTGAGATCCAGATTTTCACTTGCCAACAACCAGAGAGGGAAATCCATCCTTATTTTCTGTTTAAGTAGTGACAGTCATGAGTTACATGAGCTGGAAATGGTCCGTTTTGTGTTTTTAAAATCCATTCACGTCATCTCTGCCTGTTTATTCTCAGACCACCATAGGAGTGTCCGAGAAGACGGAGCTGATGGACTCTGCTACTGACTTCTTCCTCTTCCCTTTCACAAGAGAACCAGCCTCTGCATCTATCTCATCATCATCATCCTCATCATCCTCCTCCCCGTTTGGGTTCAGCTTTCCATTCTGGCCCTGCAGGTCCTTTGAGTCTACGAACGCTACGTGCCGGTTCAGTTCCGCCTTTAGCGCTGGGTCCTCATGGGTGGGCGTCACACTGAGCATGGATGAGTGGATGCTGTCTTCCCCGCGAGTTTTACCTTTATTGGGGCAGCAGAAGCAGCGGCAAGGTGTCATGTAAAGGTACATGAGCACCAGCACCACACTCACCAGGCAGCCCACTAAGGTGGTGTACGCCGTATTTAGGGTCTCCCCACTCCCCTGCATGGTGAAATTGTGGACCTTCAGCACCACATAGATGGTCTCATTGAAGGTCTCGCTCATTGCGATGCAAGTGTAGGTCCCAGAGTCCTCTGCTTTTACTGGACTGATCTCCAGATTCCCATCTTTCAACACTTTGGCTGTCTGGTTGGTTCCAGGTGACACCATCACATTTCCAGGCATCATCCAGGTCTTGGACATCTTCCTGTGTTTGGTGTCACAGTTAAGGGTTAGTCTTTGCTCCAAATAAGCCTCTTCATCTTTCTCCTTGAATGTACTGCAGTTCATGCTGTCGCCACTCAGATCAAAAACACGCTCTGAGATTTTTTGTGGGCCGGGCAGGATGCATGTGTAGTTGTCTTTGAAGTCCAGAGCTGAGTTAAACTTCCGGATGTACCAGTGGGCTAAGAGTGTGTAGAGATCACAGTGACACAGCAGGGGGTTATCATGGAAGTAGAGGCCATTTTTAATCCAGGCAGGCAGCACCTGGAGCTCATCAGTGGGTAAAATCTTGATCTTGTTGGAGGACACATCCAAGAGGCTTAGTTTATCTAGTCGAGATCTTTCTTTGACCAGCTCTAGAGGGAAACGACTGATTTGGTTCTGACTTAGGTACAGCTTCTGAAGGTTGACCATGGTGACAAAAGCAGAGCGATCAATCTGAGAAATCTGGTTGTTGTAGAGAAGGAGGACCTCAAGATTCACCAAAGGCTCAAAGACAAACTCATCCAGGAACTTCAGGCCGTTTGAGGACAGATCCAAGTAGCGAAGGTACTTCACATACACAAATGCCTCTGATGACAGAAAAGTGAGACCATTATGACTGAGCAGGAGGTTATGGAGCTTCGGGAGCCTAACCGGGGTCCACTCAGACCTCAACAGCTGTATGTTATTGTAGCTGAGATCCAGCACAGCCATGTAGAGTGGTAGGCCTGTCGGGACAGCACTCAGATTCATCTTTGAGCAGCTCACTATGTTGGAGGCACAGATACAGGTTTTTTGGTAGCTCTGGGCAGATCCCACCACCCCTGGAAGCCAGAGGAGAGCCATGCAGAGGGTGAGGGAGAGAGCCCATCTCTGGTGCTTACTCCAGCGAGGTATTGCTCCAAACAGGCTGTCACCTGCTCTGGTGGAGGGCTGCAACATGCTCGTAGCTGATCTAAATCCCAGAGAGGTTTACTACGATCCCGTTCTCAGAGAACAGCACGGGGGAACAGCTGGAGGATTCCCAGGCATCGCTGACGAACGGCTGAAACAAAGCAGAAACAAAGATGATAAAAAAAGATATATTCATAGATAGATAGATAGATAGATAGACTTGAAATTGTTGTGTAAAAACAAACACACAGACATGCTTGTGCACATTCATATCTTAACGAGAAAGTACTCAAATCTCAACACTACAAAAATACTGTGAATGAATCTCCAAGCATAACACCACCACATTTCAAAACACGTGAATTTTCCGTCCCTCCCACATTGACAACCAGTAGACAACTGATTCTGAAACACTTCCAAACGTTTACTTACATGTTTGTTATGTTTGTATATGCGGGTGTAAAGTCTACCTTAGAAATAATGGCCAACTTATACTGACTTTTTATTTTTTGACTACATTTGTCTATGATTTTGAGATGTTTGGGAATAGAAGAAGTCATTGTTTTGATCTGCATTTTGATGCTCTTTGTGTATCTGCTCTTTTTAGAATCCAATTCTTCAAATAGATCACATTTTACGCGTGTGTTTGCTTTGCAAGTAAAAGCTGTATATGCAAATAAAGCATGCAGTCACAGCCTTACGTGTAAACACTGCATGTTTGTCTGCATCTTCTCCCTTTGCTCCTTAAACCAAATGAAGTCATATGCGCAAACTGAACAGTTCTTACCGTCCGTGAATATTTCCCAGAGTCAGCACAAATAGTAGAGACTATATATTTCTGTCAGCTTCTTTATACATACACTGAATTGGGTACAATATCTCCTCTGCTGCTCTTCTCAATGCACGACTGCCTTAAAAATACACACACACTCTCTCTCGGTAAACACGCTAACCCATGTGCATTCACACTCTGGGAGACATGCATTGATTTTTTCCTCTCCCCATTTCCTCCTCTTTCTCCCCCTCTCTCGCCACCAATGTTATGGCACACTACAACCACAAAAAGAATAAATGCATGACTTAAATCCAAATACGAAATCGTGCAAATGTTCAGTTATGTTTTGAGATTTTCCTGTCCATTTGAGGAAGCGCTGTGCTAACGATGCACTGCACCATTCTGCTCGATAACAAACGCGCACATCATGGGAACGTGAGCGGAGAGATGGAGGGAGAGCTGGAGGGTGACTCCTACCTTTGAGCGGGATGCAGCGATGCTGGCTTTCATCAAGTAAACTCCTCGTCTGTTTACAACGCTGCTGCATTCAGATTCTCCGTCTGAATGAGTCTAAAGCCTGTCGCTGCTGTTGAGGACAACAACGGAAACAGGGAGGGGGGAAAAGCACCGGAGCTGTCCTCGCCAAAATAATCCAGCTCCACGCGACATCCAGTGTTAAATTACGCAAAAAAGGATTACGTAAAGAGCAGAGGGCACGTCCTTTTCGCAACAGCCGATGAGTGACTCTGTTTCGATCAGCTCTTTCTTTTTAAATGTAACGTGTTGCTCGGTACACACACGGCCACAAAGCAGCGCATCCGTCCTGCTCAGAGAGGCTAATTGGCGCAATTTGAGCAGCACCACATCATGTCTGCTCTCATCAGCAGCCGCGGAAGTAATGAGGAAAGATTGGTCTGTAGCTGACGAGCTCTCCTGTAGCTCCTCGCTGCCCTGCTGCTGGGTATGTGCAGTCCTGCTGCTGCAGTGGAAGGCAGAAAAAGTGCGCTCAAAGCCAGAAGGCGCTGTTCAGCCAAGGAGGACGCGCTGAAGTTGCGCTGCGCAAATACAATAAAACGCGGCAGCCCAAGAAAGACGCAACGAGTATTATTATAGATTTGATAACTAAGTGGTCAGACTGCCTCATCAGGAGAACTAAACATGTAACACTCTGGCTGACCCCCACCACCATGAAGTTAAAATAATATTACATTTCCCCTTAAAACACACCTGCTTAATAAGGCTTAAAACGTAATAACGAAAGCAAATCAAGACGCATGTGATTTAAAAATATAATACTCATCAAAGATGAAAGAAAGCAGCTGGATGCCTCTGTGCCAAAAAGACATATACATGTGGCTAAATGTGTCCACACATGCAGTGGCACAAATCATTGTCAAAGTAACATCTGACTTGACTATTTTTCACTGATTAATCATCTCTCTGCTTAGAACGAGTAAAACATGTGGTTATTGTTGCCAGTGTATGTGTGACTGATGAGCTGATGATTCAGCTGCAGTTAAAAAAATCTGTCAAAATGAGGTGCCTAATTTCTGCACAGATGTCTCAGTTAAAGCAACATCCAGTGACTGAAGGCCTCGACAGCAAAAAAAAAAAAGACAGTCTACCACTTGATTTTCTGCAGCAAGTTTGTCTAATTCTACTAATGTTAGTATTATTGTACATGTACATTTTTCTGGATTTCAGGTGGACACTGACCTGTCCACCTGTCCCTCCTGGATTTCCCACCACTCTTCTTTACTGCACTGACTCTGTTTATTTGTTTGATTAGGTCTGTGTATGAGTACCGACTGAGCGGGGAAAACCTTGTCTTTTTTTTTTTACTCAGCCGAATCCACCCACATGCTGCATTTTGAGATTTTTTCGGGTTTTCCTCGATTCACAGATCCACTGCAGCGAGCTAGGCTTTGGCAGCACTGCTGTGAGAGGCTTCATTGCCAATAAGCTGCTAAACCAGTGTAGCCTCCTACTCAAAATGCCTCCAGACATCATTTAATAAATGAAGATTATAGCAACAAGGGGACACAGGATCATTGAAATGTCACACCAATCATCACCTCATCATAAATAATAACGTATGAATGGGTGTAAATGTTCACTGAGAAATAACATACATCACATAATCGGTCAGAGTCCCAACTTAGAATAATTTTTAAATGAATCTCGTTCAGCCCATCTGATTTCAAGGGCCAACTCCAACTCACGAGCAAAAGCAGGGTTATACAAAACAAAGGCCCTATATGACATGTTGGCCTTTTAGATCTTACTTTGAGTTATGAATTTCAAGCCGTTTAGTGGACATAGGGCCACGTTTTTCTCTTGCAGTGCAAGATTTAGCCCCAGAGACAGCACACATGGCGAAGTAGGTATGAATGCAGAGACTCTGCTCGAGCTGACGTTGCCTTAAAAAGATACGCTTTGGCAGGTTAGACAAACAGATGGAGGCAGGCAAAGCTGCAGGCAGACATCCCTCATGATTTGTTTTAAGCTAATTCAGAGCCGAATAAAGTCTCTGAGCACAAGATCAATTACATAAAACTGGTGGAACAAGAACAAAAAGGATGCTTAGACTGTAAACTTCCTGAAAAAGCAGGACAAAACCTGCATGATGTTGATCCATAGAAATGTATTCCATTAACAGTACAAATAAATGCGTAAGAGCTGTCTCATTTTCTCATGTATGCAGTAAGAGCAGGTAAAAAATACAGACAGGAAGCAGGGTGAGTGAACGCAGTGTGAAAACCTCTGTCTGACCGTGGCACTGACTCCTGTGAGATGGAGCCGAAAGTGATTAATGTGCTGTTCGACTACACTTCCTGCTGTGATAGGGATAGTGTTGCCTGGCAACTGCCTGCGGCCTTTGGTTGACTGTTTTGGCTCAGTGGCAAATCTGAGGTGGCCTTGCCTTCTTGTATTTGTTCCTGTGTACCTGCACAGATGGGATTTCTGGCGCACTAGCAGATCTGTATCGTTACAGAAAAAAAGAAACTCAAAGCCTCCTCATGGACACAGACAAACTTTAACAGCCACATTTACTGCCTGACTCCATAATTTATCGGTTTATATTAAAATATTCAAATTGTTCTGGTCTGTCTTTCTCTGGAGAGCTATCATTTGAGGCAGACAGGATCCAGCACTTATCAATCATTAAGTAGAGGCAGCTTTGTAAAGTAACTAAAGCTCCTGTAACCGGCACTTAAGCAGACAGGATGCCATGTCTTTGCCTGAGATGACCTGATCATATTTCACAAATGATAACACAAACTCAATGATCCGAGGATATTAACCTCACCCTATAGCTGTCAGGATTATCAGTCAGTTGCTTTAACTTTTAAAGCCGGATCACATGGTTGTAAATGATGTTTACATACAGCCATCTTTCTGTGAGCTCCACCTGCTCCTTTGCTGACACAGTAAACACACATTGTTGTTTCTCAGTCTACTGGTTTACACAACATACATGATTGAATGTAACTAGATTCTATGCTGGCACATGAGACCTGCAGCTGGGTCTACAACATGGCACAAAATACAAAGGTTTATTTTGGACCAGATAATTACCGTCATTGAGCCATTGCATCTGTCAGCACACAGGAATCTTGAAGCTTGCTTTACACGCTGGTTGGCCACTTGTAAACAGCATAACCAACATCATCACATAAGACTCAGTTAAAACCTGTTCGCATTAAGATGCTCTCATACAAATCAAGCAGATAGTCATGACCACAGCAATGTCAGAAATGTTCCCACTTTAAATATCTGATAGGTTATATCCATAGACTGTATATAGAATGGACGCCGTCTGCCTCCTCACTGGGTGAAGCCACCGCAAGAACAGCATCCTCTGGTGGTGGGCTGCAGTATAAGTCATAAATCCCAACTCCTTTGTGGACAAACTTCAGAAATTTATTACACAGAATATTATTTTTTCCCTCCTGCTTGCAATATTGACATGCAGTTACTGTAAGACTAGTTTGTGCTCAAGTCCTCTTTTTTTGTACAGCTCCATTTTTTTTAAGTCATTAGGGGGTTCATGTTTTCCATGATTGACACTTGATACAGCCTATGGGCGTACAAAAATTGCGTAGCTGTTTGAGCCGAGCGTCATCACAGCGACGCTCGGCGACTGTTCCGCCGAATACATACAATGCTACTGCACAAGTGGTGGTTCCAGGAAGTGGAGGATATTCATATGCTGACGGAAGGCGGGACCAAGTTGTCCATAGAATATACAGTCTATGTTTATATCTTCTGAATAATGGGACCAACACACCAATTTAAAATATCAAGGAAGCTTTAAATAGTGTTTTTAGATGGTATTTTGCTGCCATGACTGCCAGTCCAGCTACCAATGTAACTATAGAATTCAGTTGCCGCACTAACAACTTGCAGGACTGAAAATTCAACATGGCAATGACAGATTGTAAAAGAGGGCTACATGGCTGCACAGAAACCGCACATTGGGGACTTTGCTGAGGAAAGAAAGTTTAACGTCAACAAGAAAATATTATTACTGCATCCCATTAAGTTGGAATGCCATGACGGTCAAATTTATAATAATAATAACGCATCAGGTTTTATAGCACTTTTTGTTAGTGACCTTAAAGCGCTATACATTTGATACATCATTCAATCGCTCACACAATCACACCTAAGTGGTGGTAACCTACCTTAGTAGTCACAGCTGCCCTGGGGCAGACTGACAGAAACATGGCTGCCAGTTTGCACCTACAGCCTTTCCGACCATCGCCACAGAACACTCACAATCATACACCTGTGGAGGACACACAATGGGAGCAAGGTGGGATAAGTGTCTTAACCAAGGACACAACAGACAGACTATGCATAGGGCGGGACTCGAACTACTAACCTTCCAGTTATTGACCGTGTGTGTGTGTGTGTGTGTGTGTGTGTGTGTGTGTGTGTGTGTGTGTGTGTGTGTGTGTGTGTGTGTCTGTTCAATGTATTTAAAATATATGGAATTGAAATAACTTTTGATTCACTGAAAGCAAATTCATACCCTATCTCATATTATTGTGTTGTTTTTAAAAATAGTCAACACAGCAGCTTTCAAGGCAATAAATTGTGAAATAGTCATGTAAACACCAACAACAATGAATCTGTAACCACTTGTCACACGTTAAAACCTGCCTCTGGCTGACTTAACGGCTAATTTTCTCACATAATGGTGTTAATAGGCTGAACTGCCTTTTTTTCTAATATAGCTTAAAGGTAAATAGCTTGTGCTGAAAACATTGTTAGTATTATAACAGTTCAAACTAGACAAGTCTAACTGAGTGACTCTGATGAAGGTAAACGGGTGTTTGTCTCATCAGGGGTCCAGTTGCTCATCTCACAGGATCACCTCCCTCTGGCTGTGAAAAAAAAATCTGAGACACTCAGACTGGAGCAGTCTCCTGAGAAAAGAGCAAAAGAAATATCACCGTAATCTTTGTTAAACCTGTGTCTTGACAGCTCCTGGTTTCCACAGCAACATGTTCAGTTTGGTGTTTAATTAGAGGTACCGGGGATAAAACAAGGTCATCCCACTATCATATCTCAGAGCCCACATTGACGCCACATGCTTCGATTCAAGTAAAGCTGTTTGTAATCTTGGCATGTCTTCTTCTCCAGTCACTATAGCAACAAACCATGCTTATAGCCATGTGAATCCACTACTCTAAATGATAGAGAAAGGGGCTGCAGGTGTCAGCCCACACTGAGGGGCCAATGGATGTAAACAGGAGGCCAGGGACTCATTGTTTTTACTCAACAATTACTGCTGCCTCTGATGGAGTTACAATGCAATGGTAAGTAACATATAGTATTGGGCTATAGTTGTCTGGGGAAACTGTCCAGCCAAGGATTCTGTTGCAGATAAACTGTATTTTAAAAACTGTATTAAAGCTCATTACGATATCCTGAAGGGAGATAAAATAAAAGAGTTACGCTGGACGATAAGGCATTTAGTCTGTGTCATACACTGTAGG